ATGCAGAGAAGAGGCGCAATGCTTGTCCGCGCGTTATACATTGGGTTCTAACCACGACCCGTTCTTCCAAGTACCTTCATACCCGCTCAGCCGATGCCTGACTACGGAGGAACTTACAGACTTTACGTGAAGCAACTGCTTGAACTAGTGGAGCAACCCTGGTAACGATAGGTTAATAGATTCCCCTCCACTATGCAACTCACCTTGCCCGTGACACCTTGCGTATGTTGGTGATTTGTGAATTCGGGGATCTATCCCAATGTAGATGTGAGGTTGAGTGAAGGATTCTCCCCCCTACATAGGCGTCCAATCACCGTCATGAATGAAACCCGACAGTTTGGTTCCCCCTGTGAGGGCCTGGTCCTCCAGGCCTCCCAGACGCTCTGACTAATCAGACGCCAGCCAGGTGGATCCACCCGACCAGCCAGAGGGATCCACCCAACTGACTAATGGAAGCTCGGCCAGAGCCCCCACCTTGAGACGCCCTGGAAGAATCTTGCGAGGGGAGGCTTTTGAGCTTCTTTTCCCTTTTCCCTTTAGTTTAGAATCTTCGTCTATAGCGCCCAATAGAGGAGTTCCGCCCTCATTCCAAGCCGGCCGTGACACCCCCACCTACAATCGCAATCGTGGCTGAGTGCGAGTACGCAGTAAGCGCCGCTTTGCCGCCTTTTAGTCTGTGTCACTTGTCAGTTATCACCCTCTCAGGGTTAATTCTTCACGAGCTGTCCACCAGCCGCATCTGTCACGCTCTGTCAGTTACCAGATTTCTAGCGCTAAGTGCAGCCGAGCATAAAGTCGCGGTGAATTGCCGTCTTTGAGGTTCCGGTGGAAATTCCGCAGTATCAACAGCAACCAGCTCTGACATTCACGACCTAAACGATCACATTACACTGAGAGAACATGGCGAGAGACGAACTCGGGAAGGTAATACAACAGCTATACGTGATTAATCGCAAAACTGACTTTTAAACCCAGATTTTCCAGAGTTTCATAATCGGCGATCAACGGAAAAACACATGTTATTTACTTTTACCTTTTTGAGCTGCTTCCAGAATACGGAAAACCGAAGGGGAGTGAAGGTCAGAAATAGATAGCCAAACGCGCACGCGCGATCGGGCGTACCACCAGCTATACATTAGAGTCCGCGCGAGCATACCCTTTTAGGGTAGTACGGTATAAGATTAATAATAAGCAGTCCCCAAATTGCCACGTTATCAGGGGCTCATTTCTGGCTCAGGGAACTCTCGGCTGGGGCTTGGGCGGCAGTTGGTGTCGCTTTCGGCTTTTTGCCGTGCAGCTAATGTGCATTAGCTTTGATCCATCCGCAGCAGTCAGACGCAGATATGTTCCCTCCCAGTTTTCGCCGTAGATAGAAAAAGCGACAATTCGTGACCAGACGTGCGTTCCTAAAAACTTCTACAGATAAGAGCAGGATAAGAAAGGGGCAGGCAGCGCCTACTGCTGCCCATGTATGCCGCCCATGTATGACTCCCTCTTTCTCGACCTAGGACCTGGCTCTATTCTTGCCTATAATATAATACCACTATCCGCCGGTACGTAAATACCCAGAATAGAATTAGTTAGATACTAATTACTCGTTAGATATGTGCGTAACTTGGACGATTCATTACTCGTGTGGATGTGACTTCTCTAGAAAGGCCCGAATAATAACTGTGACGGGAAATGTGCCGGGGGAGATATTACGTACGACGAGACAAGGGATAGTACACAAGAGGGGCGTTGTGCTGAACATATGTACCAGACGCCGCCGACAAGCAGCGGTTCCAGTGCTTCAGATATCTCAGAGGAGTAATCCGGAAGGAAGTGGATGTGCAACTCCATGTCAAGGGCACTTCAACTCGTCAAAGGAAGAGAGCTAGATTAAAATTCTATGACATTCTATTAAAGATAAATTTTAACCCAGCCCAAGTCATAATGAGAAATCGAACACCCCAGTCAACGGCCAAGCAGATCAGCCCCTGATTCAACAGTCTCAGGAGTAAAAAATACAGGTAATGGATACGAATTGGCCTAGGAAAACGTAAGTAGGTATTCAAAATGGAGAAATATGGCAGAGCACGTACAACATCTTCTTTAGATGGAGGCCAGTTAAATCCTTGACTTGTTGAGTAGACGTAAAAACGACAGTTTATACGGATTAGAAGATAGACTTCTGCGTTCGATTGCTTATGAATTTCATTGGCTTTCTTTATAAGTGTTGATCTCCGTTTTCGTATCCTCGATAACAGATGTCGCTGGTTATTACGAGAAGGTTGCATTTTGCTTCGATGTGGAGTTGCGGAACGGCTAGCTGGTGAAGCTCTTTCAATGAGCATTCGTTTGCCTTTTTAAGGAGAGAATCGGAAGTAGTGAATGCCGATATACCGATAATAGTGCGTTTTCTTAAAGCGGTCTTGTGGCGTTCGGCCTCCTTCCGCGGCGGGGATGTCGCAGTCCTGCGGGGGCCAAGTTGGGTCAATAGCTACCCAAGTACCTAAAGAGATAGATAAAGCTGAGATGGGTAATATCGTATTTATCCCCCAAGCCAATATGGATCCTCTAAATCTTGAATTACTAGACTCGTATTTTGTGGGCGAGCTTGATCTCCCAGAAACTACCGACATATTTGCCTTTGATATCGGATGAGAAACGCCCACACCCCTAAAGACGCCCACAAAAGCGCCCCGCCGAATAGCACATATCCCTTACACCATTACGGGATGTAATAAACTGTTCACCAGGAACTCGAACCTAAAAGCCCATCAACGTACGCATAATAAAAGTGGCGAGCGTCCGTATAAGTGCACGAGTTGTAAAAGCCATTTTACACGCAAGTCCGATGTCGTTAGGCACTATAACAATGTCCATCTACGTGAACGAAACTATCACTGCGCTAATTGCAATCGGTATTTCGGCCGTAAGGATACACTCGAACGGTTAGTAAGCCTCCTCTATTGAAGATAATCATTAACATAGTCTAGGCATATGGGCCTGTGTAAGACCGGGAAAGGCCAATTTAGTGCTAGGATTCAGCCAGGTTCGGCACCGCCTTCAGGCTCAAACGTAGACCTAATCCAGTTTGAAAGTTGTTTTAGCAATCCCCCCTTTGTATTTCCCTAAGATAGTTTTACTACTTAATAAAGATCTCGTCTTGCACTTATCCCAATCTTGTTCAATCACATTTCACCCAAGAAATCTAAAATATCCCTCGTTACGAAGACCAAGAAAACGGCCCAGGCTGGACTTAGAGAGAAAGAAGCTCCTGAGGCTGGAACTAGGAGCGGAACTACCACCAAAGCCAAGATAAAGAAGACTACCCAGGTTGGACCTAGGGATGGAGAGACTACCCAAGCGCCCCAGGCGAAGATAAAGACGAGTACCCAGGCTGGACCTGGGGATGGAGCCGCCAGATCCGCAACCCAGGCTGGACCTGGGGACGGAGAGACTACCCAAGCGCCCCAGGCGAAGATAAAGAAGAGTACCCAGGCTGGACCTGGGACTGGAGCTACCCAGGCCGGAGCTACCCAGGCTAGACCTAGGACCGGAGCCGCTGAAGCCGGAACTCAGGCTAGACCTGGGGACGGAGAGACTACCCAAGCGCCCCAGGCGAAGATAAAGAAGAGTACCCAGGCTGGACCTGGGGATGGAGCCGCCAAATCCGTAACCCAGGCTGGACCTGGGACCGGAGCTACCCAGGCTGGACTTGGGGACGGAGCCGCCAAAGCCGGAACCGAGGCTGGACCTGGGGCCAGAGCCGCCAAAGCCGGAACCCAGGCTGGACCTGGGACCGGAGCCGCCAAAGCCGGAACCCAAGCCGGACCTAGGACCGGAGCCGCTGAAGCCGGAACCCAGGCTGGAACTGGGACCACCCAGGCGAAAATAAAGAAGATCAACCAGGCTGGATCCGGGGACGGAGAGAAAGAAATCCGAGCCCAGGCTAATTCTCAGAAGACACAGCAGGTTACCCCTCTCGGCGAGAAAAGAAAATTAGTAGAGGAAAAGAATGAAGAACGGGGTAATAAGCAGCGAGCGCTAGGCAGCTTCAATATGAGTGATCTCATGGGAGAGATGAACTCTATTATTAGGTTGGAAATACGACCGTTTGATCAATCCGAATCACTTTATTCTCGATCGTCTCGTTCGCGTTCTCAATCTTTTTCACGGTCTCGTTCTCAACTATCGTCCAGTTCACGCTCTTCGCGCTCTTCCTCCCGCTCTTCCTCCCGCCCTTCCCCTCGCTTATCTTCGTTTAATCCGAGAAAAAAACAAATCCCAATGACTGAGAGTCTAATACAACACCGATCAGAGTCAGGTTTTCAGTGTGGCACCTTCAAAATACAGAGGCTAGTTTACGCTAAGCGTTGGGCCTTTTGCACAGTCGAGAAAGACGGATATGAAGAGGCTATTCTAGTTAATATAGCAAGAAATAAGCAAGAACTGCCACCTAAGGACAAGGTAGCGCATTTAGCGTTCAACACAGGGGAGTATCAAGCATATCTCAAGATCAAAGAGAAATCGGAGTGGAGTATATACGCAAAGGGGGAAGAAAAAGAAAGAGAGGTGATTATAGTAGAAATGATACATTACGAAAACGAGAAGAAGACGTATACGTATTGGAGTTTTGCTGCACTCGCTCAAGCGTGGGGTGAAGAGGCTGTGTTGGAAGCAATGAGGAATGATAACGAAAGGAGGAAAGGTTGGCACGTGCTATAACATCCAAATAATTAAATAGACATCACAGAATGGAATTAAATACACCTCCTGGATTGTTCTCTAAGGTCACCGTCTCTATCATTAGTCCCTCTAATCCTTACCTATCTTAATATTGCTATCGTAATCCTCGCTCTCGATACCATCGCCTTGATCCCCGCTGTCGTGATCCTCGCTATCGTGGTCCTCGTTATCGTGGTCCTCGTTATCACTACCATCACCCTAATCCCCGCTATAATCTTCGCTCTCATTACCATCACCCTCACCCTGATCCCCACTATCGTAGGCCTCGTTATCGTAATCACTATGATTCCTACTACAATTAGAATCGCAATTAACCTCATACTCACTTTGATAATTATCCTATTGATCGTCGTTACCGTGGGTAAATTAGATATTATGGTCTTTAATATCTTGGATATACTGAGCGTCGTGATCATTGTAACCTTGCTGATTCTCGGAATAGGAGGCATCGTAAGCTAACTCGGGATCCTACGGATTATCGGTAACCTGGTAGACGGAGTGAGAATCGTCTTGCTGGACGCTATCCTCACAGGCGGCATAGACAAACTCTGCTAATTTTATATAAAGAGCTCTCAAAGCCATATATAGAGATGGGGACACTATAGCTAAGAAGGTAGTCTCATTACACATCGCAGTTACCCGCCACTCAGAGGGTGTTTTGCTCGTGATGACCTGGACTTCATTTTTAATAATAAACTCGCAGTTTTCTATAATGCTATTAGCGTTTCTTACTCCGAGATTTGGGAAGAAAGCTTACTAATTATCTCAGAACGAAGATTAAGTGGTATTTTAATGATAATAGTGGCTCTTTGTATCGGAATCCTCAAGCTCGGGGTCCCAAGGGAGGTTTAAGTGGAATTGCTCACGTAATCGCTTCTGTTTACTTCCCCCTGGCGTTCCAAATACACAGCCCTTAATATACCAATACGGCAATGAGCCGCTTCATGCGCGCACCGCCCAGTGATGCGCTGCCCAGTGGTGCGCCGCCTAGTGGTGCGCCGTTCAGCGTGTGATGCGCCGTTCAGCGATGCGCCGCTCTGCGTGGTGATCTCGACGACACGCATCACTACGCTGCATATAAACTAGAGAAAGTTACTACAAATCAAGAGGGGGAAAGTTAGCCGTTTTTTGTAATGAACCCACTGCAAAGGATATTCAACAAATTATTGCAATTAAACGAAAATCAAATGCAGCAGCACAAGGAAACCCCGCTAGTTGAATATGTCGTTCCCTCGCCTAGCTCCACCGTCTTCAGCTCGGGAGGAAGTGATACAGCAACCGGCACGACCCAAGATGCCTCTAATCCAGGATACGGACAAAAGAAACCTCCCTAGGCTGGGCAAAGGTCAAACGCAGCCCCAACGAGCCAACTCAACGTACCCCAAGACATCTCCAATCTAGGAAACGGGCAGAAATGCGAACCCGATTCATCCTACCAAGCACCCATCGTATCCAGTCAATCAAGTTCCTAATAACCTCCTAAAATAAAAAACACCTAATGGGGGAATTATACGAGGGTAGTAAGCAACGACAAGCCTTATCTAAGGGAATAACGTACGTAAAACCTAATATATAACTCCAAACCAAAACTAATATATCATACTTAATAGCTTAATTTCAAGTATTTATCAGCTAGGGGATTGCGGATCGTCGCTATGGTGACGATGTGAACGGTAGATCCTTTGGCTGGACCAAAGATTGCGGGTCATCTGCCGGGTTAATGATGAGAACCGTGGAGATCATCTGGCTGGACCAACGGTAAAGAGAATTGCGGATCTACGTTTTCTGCAAAAAATTGAAGAGCGGCCTATAGGTAATCTTACTCTCCCGAATAAGCTGGTCTTTAGGGATGCCTTAGTTAGGCTTATTTAAAAACGAGCTGGTCTCTTTTTATTTACTCTTGCAAAGCTTCAAGTTCCAACGGGTTTAACACGTACCACCAACAGGTGGCACTTCTTCGTGGCCCGTGCATGAACCCCGCTACGGGAAGTCCGTTCTTGCCCACAGCCTCCGCGAGTGTGGCAGCTCTAGTTGGAACATTTGTCTTCCATAGACGATGGGAACCATCCCGCGTGCTTTTGGCAACGAAACAATGACTTGCGGCGGTGTTGGCGGTTTCTCCGTCCCACCGGTCCATATATATCTGGCAGCCTGGTATGCTTTGCCCGCGTAAAAATGCGCTTTCCTGCAAGCCACGACCACAGTTGACTTTGCCTTGCCTTGAATCCCCTGCACCCACAAGATGGACAACACCACCACCGATCAACAGAACCTGGCGTTAGTCGGCTACTTATTGTCCTGCATCTTTTATGTCATGTTCCTCGCAACCGAATGGGAGGTTTTCAGGCTGCCGAACACCCCACACGACTTTTGATACTCAAAAAACTGGCTTCGATTCCCATTCATTTGCTCGGCTTTTCTCGCATCCTGCTTAGTTCTCTTGGGGCTTCTTTTCATCCTCGCCTGGCATAAGGTTGTCATTCCACACGAAGTTGCATATCCAGTCTTCGTTACTTTGGAAGGCGTGTCTCTTTTATCCATGCAAATGTTAATGGTATTGGCTACCCAGCTCCCCCGTTTTTGGAGCGCGCCGACACTGTCTAAGGGAATTGATCTGAAGTGCGTTGCGTGCGAGGTTGAGAGAAAGGTGGTATTTAAGTAGTTGGTTGTCGCTGTCGATTTTAAGTTTGTGGGTTGTATGGAATTGTGGTGTTTTAGCATCTGCTGTTTTGTGTTTTGATCGCTGGGTCAGGCGGTACTGAGCGGGGGGGGAGGGTTGCTGGCAGCCAAGGGGCCGCGGCCGGCCTCAGCAGATGGAAGTGCTATTAAAGACAAATTATCAGACGCGTGGGATAGCTAGTAATAGGATCCCGCCCGGACAAGGATAGGAGGACGGCCGCACATGCACAGACTCGTCGCCGCTGCCGTCTTCGCTTGTGCGGTCTTCCTCGTCGTGGGCTAGGCTCGGCAGGTCGGCGTTGCTGCATTGCTCCGCCGACTCAGCACTCAGACGTCTCCGAAGAGGCGTGCGGCGAGTGTGCCGCCGCCGCCGCCTGTTGACGCCGGCACTGGTTCCAGTGAACGCGCATGCCCTCCAGGATTTTGCTCTTGACCGGCTTGGCGAGGTCGACGTCCATACCTGCTGATGAGATTTATGGCCAGATTACTGTCATCATTTTCCTCGCCAAGCCATATGATGACTTCCGCTGCTTGTTCGTAGATTTCACGCATTTGGCGAACTTATTCATTCCGTTCGGAAATATTGCTCTGGTTAATGCAAATAGCATCTACCCGGAGTATCCGAGAGTATTCTTCAGGAAAGATGCTATAATGCCACCCAAAGATTTCTTATAATATCCACCACATCCTTATTAATCCGGACGGGGCACACTCGTTACGAACTTCTCCACACATAAGGCAGTGCACAATAAATTGGCTTTTCGTCCAGAGAAGCGTTGAATAGAGTGCATCCTATCTCAGAATCCGGATTGACTAAGGATGGAGAGATAGGAGTCGGATCTAGGTCGACATACATAAGGAGATCGAGTTTCAGATGCCGTTGCTTGTGGAAGATGATCCTGCCGCAAAGCTAGTGGAGTTTTACAGACTCCTCCATGGACGTCAAGGCTCCGATTTATGGGAGGATCGCCCTCAAAGGGTAGGTTTGTCATGAGAGATGGATCCCAAAGACGCGTTTAGGCGGAAATTTTGTTATTTCGGTTACGAAGAAAAAGGCTCTTAAGGAGCAAAGAGACGAAGTGAGGAACGAAAGCTCCTAACGTTAGAGGACGCGAGAAACGACCTCGCTCCCCGCGCGACTTTCCAGTTCCGCCCTCGCCGCCCACAAATAAGCACAGGTAGGGCGTCCCCTGCTCGCCGAGGCGGATTCGATCCAGCTGCCTGCATATCAGCCGGACGGCAATGCTCTGTCTTCCGTTGAGCGTCAAGGAGTCCGCGAGCCGCTTCCCCGCCTCGGCGCTTCTTATGACCCAAGCGGCGTCTCTCATTCTTTAACTAGAGCCTATCTGAAGGTCTGAAGTTGTGTGCCTCCAGGGAAGCCCTCTTTCGAGAAAGATGATGAGCAACAGAGTGACCAGCAGCAGCGGCATAGTGACCGCAAAATACAGGCCGACGCTCGAGATGTTCATACTGGAATCCCCGAACATGGTTGAGCTGAAAAGAGACTATTCAAGTCATATACCAGCTAAATATCCATAGTGTTCCTTGAAAAGACACTCACAGCTATAAGAGATGCTGGAAGAAACATCGTGGCGATCTGGGTGAGTATCTTGATTGTTGCAGCATCTTTGTGTCCAAGCGTACTGACACGTAGTAATTGTTCTGTGTTGAAACCAGCTTGGCTGGATTGCGATTGGAGACCAGTGATGCCTATGTAAACGCCGTTCATGGTGGTATTCAAACTGGCTTTTGCTCAAGCTGCTAGAAGAGCGGAGAGCTTCCGTCGGATTAGTAACCAGGCACACAGCTGCCGGTGCGAGGTGTGGTCGTGGGCGAAGCATCCTCCGTAGAAGTTGTCCTTGGCGCCATTCTGGCAGTTCTGGCAGGGGAAGTAGGTGCCGTCGTCGTCCGCCGAGGTGGTGGCGGCGATGAGCAAGCCATCGATGTCTCTGCGGTGGACGTCCTGGCGAGGCTTGGTGAAGAACTCGCAGTTCTGGACCATGACCATGAGGTCAACGGAGTAGCGGTGGAAACCGTTGTTTCGACTGAGCGTCTTCTTCTGGGAAGGTTGTAGAGGGCAAGACTCAAGCCACTGAAGGAGAGCCTCCGTCTTGATGCGGAAGACTTTTCCGAGGTCATGGTCATGGTAGACGGCGCCGTGGGTGTCAAGCAACTCCTTCAGGGAGAGCGACTTCAGGTCGTCCTCATCCATATTGGCGGGGCGATAGCAAAGGCAGACGCAATGTGATAGACAGGCTGTGAGTAGGCGGGGAGATTAGCGATGAAGATGGAGGGCGGGTGCAAGGGGTATGGCCTACCTCTTGGGGGCAATCGATGCTGCTGGGTCGCGAGTGGACGACGCTGTCGCGCTCCGTGGATCTGGGATCGGACTAGACACTGCTACGCGGGGGGGTCAATGGCTGTGATCTCCGGGCGAGGAACACTGACGCGATGGCTGCCTTGGGCCGTCAATGGAGAGGTCGGAGCATGGCGTGTGTGCTTGGGCAAGCCGGCCGAGTGTGGGCGTTTGGGTAAAAGCGGGAAGAGAAGCGGGCGTAAAGGAGCTGGGGGAGATGAGCGTTGAGGAGCTCAATGCAGGTGAGCGGGTTTGAGAAAAGAAGAAAGGTCGAGCTTGAAATAGAGAGTTAACCCAAGGGGACGATAAACGGTTGTGTAATATCGGGCCGGATTCGAGGCGCGCAGCTGGAAGGCGCTCGCAGGAAGATTCCTGTGGTCGGAATCTGTCACAATATTGGGATTAGTGAGCAAGAAAGATCTAGAAGCTGCTATGTGATTCTTCGCCACCAGCTTTTGCCACTATTCATAACTATAAAAAAGAGACTTTTGGCCCTGCCAAAGGAAACAAAAGATTAGACCTTTTCAGACAATTCAAGCCTTACCTCCCTGCATCAAATGTTTCATTTCTGTTGCCCTGTGAATGCGCGCGACAGAATCGTTGCTAAACTGGTCTGTTTTATGTGCGCTCAATCGGTACGGCTAGTGCTGCAAAACAGATAAAGTCAGGATACTCGGAAGCGTAGCTCGTGCGGGAGGCTAAGCAGGCGGGAGCGGCGGGGCTGTTCTTGTTTCAAGGACGGCAATGCTGCTGCTGATGGTGGACGTAGTGACAATTGGCTTAGGAAATCTATTGGCAGATTGTGACACACGACTGTAAGGCGGTGATCAGTGGCAGATTAGCGGGGTAGTACCAAAAACGAGCCCCCGCAACGAGTTTCCAGCCGCGAGAATTGACCCCGCCTTACGCCAACCCGGCGGCTCGGCAACGACTTGTGCTTGTTTACGGTGGGCAGCGGGCAGAAGGATCCCAAAGTGAAGGAGGAAGAAACATCACAGAACGGAGTTCACACAAGCAGTACTTGCAGCCCCACCAATTTCACGCTATTTAGAGTGCCGTATTTCTAATAGTTCCTACGTAATGTTGCCCTACGGTTGCGGCCAGCAACTCCAGCCTTGTCTGACAAGTTGCTAAGCGTTGTAGGCGGCGGCCCTATGTCTAAGAAAAACGCGTGGTTGTGTTTGGGATGGGTCGTAAGGGTAAGGAGAAGAGACAGCAGAACGCAGGCTGCAGGGATGCCACGGAAGTGAGCGTCGAGGGCATGCTAGTGAGGGGTGCATCGCGGCTGCGACAACAAGCTGGGATTGTTTGCATTCTGCCAGTTTGGCGTATATATCCGTGCAGTAGATGAGGATAACGGAGCCCTGAAGTGGCTGCATGAGGAGGACCCAGAAGTGACCTGGGAGACAGGTACGTTTTGGTAGCTCGAATTAGCTTGCAAACAGAAGCCAGTTTTGGCGATTGTACTACTTATGGGTAGAGCCCAAAAGGGAGCCGTGGGACTTGTGCCCAAGACTCTCCGCCGACGGGAGCGAGGCGAGTTCGACGCCGTCGAGGGAGGGGTCGAGGAACTCGAGGTGGGAGGTCGCGGGGTTAGAGATCAAGACACAGCATAGCTAAAGTATTAGAGAGGTGTTATTCTCGTTGATTGGTCCGCCTAGCTCACATTTCGATGAGGCGGCATCAAATACGACCGGACGATGGGCGTTGTCTAGTACTGGTTTCGGCCATAGCCAGGTGAAAGTGGGTCACCACCTGACAAAGTGGTGAAGCTACACGCATCCCATGCACATTGCCACTTCGCCGGGGTGTTCCTGTACAAAGCAGTGTCAATATACAAAAGGTTTGGCGGTTACTAGAAACCAGCGTTGGACATACTGGGAACTAAGGTGCCCTGACTTGAGTACGTGACTTTCCAAAGGCAGGCTTGGCATTTCCCCCCTCACCCCGGGTCAAACATTGCCCCTCACCTATCTCAGATAATGGAATCATACACTTCTGGCGCGCTCGTCCCGAATTTCTACCTTATCTTCCTCACAACAGCTTCTGCGGCGTCGCGCGACTACGCTTCCGCAGGATCCGACTCTGATTCGCACCGGCGGAAACACCACCAATGGTGATACTTCAAATTGTGCGCGCCAATGTCGACAAACGCCCAACGTGCGGGGTTAGGCAGTGGGCCACTTGACGACGATAACGACAACCGCATTCGACACCTTCATCAGACCGACCAAGATTCACACTAAGAATTTCGACAGCTGCTTACGTAGACTTCTCGTCCGTCTAGCAGTTACCCCTATTTCAACTGCTGATTAGCTGTACTGACAGTCCTGCGAACATTAGCCCTTACCGTCTAGTTAGATCGCCTTTTCCTACCTACTGCCGATCACCGGTACGATTCCTGCTGGAGGCTGAGCCTGATAAGCGTGCGAGATGCGGTTCCTAGAACGAGACGATACCGGCGAATTCCGCCTGACCAAGCACCTCCCGAACGATGCGACCCCTGAGATTCCGCCATACGCGATACTTTCACACACATGGGGCGGTGAAGAGGTCCTCTTCAAAGACGTGGAGAAGGGTACGGCCAAGAATAAAGCTGGTTATGCCAAGATCCAGTTCTGCGGAGATCAAGCCTGGCACGATGCTGAAGCACTTCTGGGTTGACACATGTTGCATCGACAAGTCCGACGCTGCTGAGCTTCAGCACGCTCTCAACTCCATGTTTCGCTGGTACCGAGGGGCATCGTCTGTATAGTATCTTTCGGTCAATTGATTCAGACTCCGCAAGTGATTGGTCCAGCGGCGACGAGCCGCAACACCAACTTCATAATGCCGCTAGTTCCGCGAGACAGCCAGTTCGTGGCGCGAGGCTGCCGCAACGGAGCGAGTTACGACCCGCTCGCAACACCCTCCCATTCGTGCCATATGAGGACTGGGTCCCAGGCCAATTATATGAACAACACCCACCCACCTGCATGCGCTACATCATGGAATGGAAGTTGACACTGAACAAGAGAGCAGCGGTCAAGCAGACCGAAGAAAACCTCGTGATGGCTCCAAGCGACTTCTGGAACCAGGAGCTGGCATGCAAGATCGCCGATATCGTGCGGTCGAAGGGCAAACCTATAGCGCCGACTCAACAACGATCGCAATCTCCGTGAACGACCGCTCCGAGAGGGATATAACAAAGCACTTCAAAGAGTTGCAGATTGACTGGCCGGTGGCGGAGAGGCAACTCCAATCGTGGAGCCACCTTCTCCGCATTGGCAAGACCTTAGAAAAGCAGCCCGCACCGCTGGACGGGGGGCTACTGCTACTCAGCTGGCCGAGAGGGATGTTCGGCTCGATGCGGAGCAGGTGGCCTCTGGTGCGCCGGACGCCTGGAGGCATGTATACACTATCTTTAGATGCCTAGAACCCCCATGCAATCGGGGGCCCTACTGCTAGTCGTGCGCTGGAGGGAGCCGCCGACGTGTGGGTGACGGCGGTGGCAATGGGCTTGGCCGCGGGGGTTTGTGCACGGCCCCCTATCGATAAGACTATCGATAAGGAAATAGTGAGGCTTTACCGGCATGCAGAGCTGCGAAGCCACAACCACGGGCCACCAAACCATAGCGGTAGGAAACCCCTTTCCGTCGTTCATACCACCTTCGCCTGTCTACATCTCGAGGCTCCTCCAATCGCCAAATCCATTCTGCAACATCTAATACTAGTCGAGCGCGCATAAAACAGACCCTTCTGGCGACAATTTTCCGACCGTAGGAATTTCCTGCAAGCGCCTTCCAACTGCGCACCTCGACTCAGGCGCTTGCTTCCAACTAGCAGAGTCGTAATTGCCTCGGCACGGTTACCATACCAAAGTGGGGATCATTCTCCTATCTATCGCTCTCAAGTCTATAGGTCATATACTGACCATCGTGACCCACCAGATGTCTGCCAACACTATTATTGAAGCCATCGCCCGTCTTGGTGGGGATAAAGATCTAGACATCGCACCTGACAACGGTCCGCTTGAGATAAGACACATCGAAGCCGCTGCAGGCTCCCTGCGCCAACGATACTCCCGATGTGCCTTTGAAGTTGGCGATATCAATACTAGAGTCTGGTCTGAGAATTTTCGTCACCATTAGAAGTGGAATGATGACCGCGGAGCGCCAGACTACGTGGTATTCTTCGTCCGCTACGGCGATATCTGGGCTCTCTGTGTCGGAGATATGCGTCCCGAGGTCGATCACGGCCATAGCAACGACTGAGCAAATATCAATTTCCACAAGAACGATATCTCTTTCGAGCAGTCCGTACATCTGTCGAGCAGTCCGTACATCTGCAGGACGGCACCCATACCATCCTCACCGTCGTTGGTGCCAAAGGTTGGTGGGACGAGGAGTGGGAGTTCTACCAGGGTCTGGTAGTACAGAAACCATACCCAACTCGAGCTGCTAACACCGCGTTTATGTGCGTGGCTATTACGGAGCAGGTAGGAAAGGGTGAGGGCTTTTGTGAGAACATTACTTTGGGATAGAGTGTGGGTAAGGCAAAGAGAGCCGCAAAGGATCTCTACAAGGCGGCGTTAGACATGGCCGCTTAAGTGTCGGTCTGAACGGGGAGAAGGGAATATCGTCTTCTTTATCCAAGGGGATAGCCGATTGGCTTTAAATGAGATTGGTAGAATAAGGCGGAACAAGAGTAGCAGAATAGGCGTTACGTGTAATTCACTTTCTTCCTCCTGCTGTTTCCAGTAGAACTGAACCGCACCACACCACACCCCTCAAGCAACGTTTTCTTTCTAATTCCGTCTCAGAACGTCGGGCTTTCACGTCAACGCCCTATAATCCACCGTACTGCCAAAAATAGGAGAATACTATGTCTACTCCGTACAACTCCCTGAGGAAGAGTTAAAAACACCTTTCTATTTCTGAAGATGGCGCTCAATTTAATGAAGAACTCGCTATATGGTAGTTGACTATTGATTGGCTTTGGAGCAGAGTTTTCACCTCCTAGCAAGTGGAAAATACCGCACACAACCACATATACAACCACAACATAACGCGTTCTTCATCAAATAACACGCACTCTTCGGAATAGTATAGCCCTAAATAGCTCCTATATACTCTCAACTTTTCAGCTGCGCGCATGCACGCGCTGTTGTGTTATTTACATCTACGTATACGAATCTTTAGCTTCAAAACAACGCAACCTGCCAACAACCACTCGATGCCGCCAAAAAAGTGGTGATTCCTCTCAGGGTTTCCGGTAGTAGTGGCCGGGGTCCAGGGATGCGGGGTGGGAGGCAGCCTATTCGAAAACGGAAGTCACCGTTTTATAACGGTCAATTTTACACAAGTCCGTGAGTCACTAACAGAGGGAAAGAGGGACCCGTTTTTGGATCCCCAAGTACCCCTGTTTCTGACCCCCTCTACCTCGTAGGGCAAGCTTCTAGGGATTGGGTTGCATGTGCATGTGCATGCACTAGGTAGGGGGTGGTGGATGAGGGGTCAGTGAATGCGGACTAGGTTGCCGATAGATGGATGGATGGATGCCGAGGGCCTGGGAGTCGGCGGCCTTGTCTGGCTCGCGGAATTCTGATGTAATTGTCTACTTACAAGACGCTTACCTGCACATCATGATGCGTCTCGAGATGGGCCGCGCTGCTGGCTGCGTTTTCGTGCCGATTGCCCACTACGGCTAGCTTACCTATTTTTGTCTTTTATCACCCCGCGACACGGTTTCTGGGAATTGGACGGGACGCATGCATCCATTGCATGTGTTGGTTGGTGTGTCTGCCGCAGCCCAAAATCCAAATCCAGCCCCCAACAGAACACAATGGATGCGGCAAAGCAAGGTGGGTTGGTGGGGGAGTTGGTCCATGGTTCAGGGGAAAACGCTGCCGAGCGCAACTCTTTTTTTTTTCTCTTGCTATTTTTGGCAAGTGAAAAAAAACGGAAGGACCTAACGTCTGTTGGAACTTGCCAGTCGGCAGTTGGCGGTTAGCCGCGCCAAGTTCCAACAAGCGCTGTGGCGCCCAACGAGAATCCTAATGTCGAATTCAGAATTCCAGAGAAAACCTGGAAAACTCAGCTTTCCTGCGCCACCGCCTCTTCCTCTTCCTCTTCCCTATCCTCCCATTATTTGTGCCGCATCCAGGACTCCAACAACTCCCAGAAGCCCTGTCCTTGAGTGGCAAAGAAGAAAAAGGAACAAAATGCCAAGCGTGGAAATAGAAAGGCACGAAAACAGAAGTTAATGTCACGGGAGAATATGGAGATTCGAGAAAAAAACTCGAAAAATGACCAAACCCTTCGTCTTCGTGAAATATGACAATATCTATATCTAATTTACCCACGGCCCGCGCCTCACATTCATTTTTAGATACCAATGCCATACATACATACATAATGAAGAGAACAAAAAATGACAGACACAGCGACCAAAAATAATGACTCGGCAGTGTGAAACTGTATCCGCCGTCCGTTTTTGTTTTTGAGCCCGGAACCTAGACTTGGACCTGGACCTGACATTGCTGCTGCTGCAATGGCGAGTGTTGTTGTTACAAGGACACACATAAACATATCGATTATGCACGCGAACGGATGGATGCTCCATGGTGGTCATATAGCGACAGCGTTCCAGTTCTGCACGCCGCCCTCACACGTGGTGGTGATGGCGGGCCCGGTGACCTTTGCGATCTCAGCCCCGGCGCGCTTGACTGTCAGGGTGACGGCGCCCGTGTTGGCGCCGATGGGGATGGCGCCCAAGTAGACGCCGGGGGTGCCCTTGCCGCCGGCGGGCGCCTGGGTGAAGGCTGCTGTGGCCGCCGTCCCGTTGGCGCCGCCCCCGGGCGCCGCCGCGCCAGTGGCGCCGCCGAACGTCACCTCGACGGTCACGCCCTCGTCAGAGTTGAGCAGCGCGGCGAAGAAGACGCTGTCCTCGACGAGCGTCTCGGGCGGCACCTCGACCTGCGGCGGGTTGCCAAAGGCCTTGTTGTTGCCCGTGGTGCCGCCCGACGGGCAGGCCGTGGCCTTGGTCTTGCGGTACGTCATGTAGGCGTCCTCCTTGGTGATGGCGGGGGCCTTGCCGCCGGCCTTGTACTGGGCGATATAGAAGGGCAGGAACTTCTGCCAGCCCGTGTGAGGGTTGTTGGCGGCGTACTTGACGGGGGCGTTGGCGTTGTCGAAGAGGCCGAGCTCAGACACGCGCACGTTGTTGATGTAGTGCGACTCGCCCCAGTCGTTCCACGTCAGGATCTCGACAAAGTCCGGGTTGACCTCCATGACCTGGGCCCAGCGCGTGTCCCACAGGTTGTCGCCGCGCCACATCCAGTTCTTGTTGAACCCCGGCAGGTTGGTGAAGAACCACGGCGACACGGGCATCATGTATTTCTTACCACCCGTCAGCGCCGCCTGGAAGTCCTTGTCGGGCTTCGTCGTGATGTTGGCGTCGCCGTTGGGCCACGCGTCGAAGCTGAAGAGCCCGTCGGCGACTCCGCCACCCGCCGCCACGGCAGCCGGGGCGCCGAGCGACGACCAGTCGGGCACGAAGAAGCAGTTGGTGGCCTTCTTGATGTCGGGCCAGTCACCGGCGGCGGCGGGACCTTCAAAGGTCGAGACAAAGGGCTTGCCGTCTACCTTGAAGTAGGCCGGGTCCGCCGCGAACGTTTGGACTAGCGCTAGGGCGTCGGCCTTGGGAAAGGCCTGCTTTGGACCGCCGAGGTAGTCGAGCGACAGGAAGCCCTTGAACTGCTGAGCGTTGGCGGCCTTGAAAGCGGTCGCTAGTGTCTTGTCGTTGGCGTCGTCGCCGAAGCCGACGTTGAATACGAAGCCGTCAATGGACAGGCTCTTGGCGAGCTTCATGTCCGTTTCCCAGTCCTGCTGGGAGAGTGATTGAGTGTTTCCGACCTGCAAAAAATTGCCATCGCGTCAGTAACTCTGGCCCCTGATGAGCGTGGTGTCGTCGGGGCTTACAATGACGTGCGCAAATACTTCTTTTGCGGCTTGGGCCTGGAGAAAGGCCATGGACGCCGCCACGGCGAGTGCGAGGACTCCCTTCATCCTTGCGTTGCCAGCGGATTGTCAAGATGATTCCGGAATCAAATGGATGTGTATAAAAGGTCGTCGTCAAGACGAGAGATCCCGTTGCCAGCACGGAATGGAACAAGATTTAGTTGGTTGTCGAGGATGGTCGATGAGATCTGAGCCGCTGGTTCGGGTCGGATGACTTGGGAAGTTCAGACGGATGTATAAGTAGCCAAAAGATGAGATAGACAAAGAATCCCAAGGCAAGCTCGAACAATTGAACAAAGGATCACGTCTCTAGGCCACGAGCATCCTGACTCGTCATGGGGTGCAGATCAGGGACACGCAAAGACCTGAACGGCAGCCGCAGGCTCGATATGGGAGGACCAGATGTACAGCCACGCGGCCCGGGATGTCAAGGCCCGGACGTAGTTTGTTATCCAGGAGCTGCCTTTGCTGGGCTTGGTAGCGGCTCCGAGAGCTGCAGCGAACCCTGAGACTGCCACTAGATTTCGAGGTCTGACGATCGGGGCGACGGGTGATGGCGGTAATATGTGTGGTTTGCGTCGAGGCTCGCCTAGATCGCTGGCCTGATACGGATGTGTCAGTGTTTAGATCAAGCTTCGACGACGTTGGGTTCGGACGGTTTGGGTTGCGACACATCAAACATCTGGAAGACGGGCCCGGCCGGTAGCCGGGTGACCTACTTTTGAAGTCTAGCGAATGCCGCTTCGGTGGCTTCTCTGCGGGCTCAAAAATGGGCCACACCTCACCCCGGGTCGGGGCTGGTGGGACGTGAAACTGCGCCCCATCTGATACCTCGGGGCCAAATATGCTACTATTGATGGTGTTGGTGCCGGAGACGGGCAGCAATAGTCGGCGGGGAAAGCCGAAAGCGAGTTAGCCAGCTTGGCATCTGCAGTTCCAGCCCCCAAAAATAGCCCGGGCAGGAGCCGGTGTGTTGGAACGCCTTTGGGGGCACCTTTGGGGCTTGTTCAGACAGAGTTGCAATTGCGAACCGGCGGCGTGCCGGCGTCGGTCCCTGCATTGTTGGGCTGGTCCGCCGCAGACCGACATATCTGACTCCAGTTTTGACCGATTTGTGTGGGCTACGGACGGGGACGGGCACCACGCATGCCACCCACCGGGGCGGGGGAGCCAATGCCAGCCAGTGCACTCGGGTCAGGGGTAACAGTGGTGCGGCTGGCCCGCGGCCCAGGCCTCGACCGTCCTCCATGTCAGAGCAGCAGAGGCGCTGTTTCAGGCCGTCAGCCGTCGGCACTTTTGGCGAGCTGAACTGCAAGTCATGGGATGGTGGAGGGACCGCCCGGCTGGGCACTGTTGCGGGCGCTTCAGAGGACTTACTTCAGAGTGTTATTGCATGCAAGTTTGCCCAGGCTGTGACAGTGTGTGCACAGCCTCAGCCACGGCTGGGCATCCACTCGAGCGTTTTGCCATCCTCAGTTAAGCAGTCGTGGCCTTTTCAGGGGTCTCAGTCGCAAATGCAGTGAGCATTGTTGATTTGTTTGCGAGCGCGGAATTTGTCGTTTGTTTATGATGCTCTGCATCGATGTCTGTCGCTGCTCTGCATCGGTGTCTGTCGCTGCTCTCAACGCTGCCGATTGCGCATTAAAATCCTCTAAAATCTCACACGCGTCATGTATCTCTTCGCACGCAATCCGGTGCGCCGCAAGGTCACCGCAGGGGCCCGCTGAATCTGAGTTCTGACAGGGCGGTCAGCACCCACAGATGCCGCCAAGAATGGTTGCCGACTATAGGGCTATCCTGTTTGCCGAGCTTCGCCTCCTCCTCGAGGGCCCAACGTCACAGTCTCGGTCCCACCCACGCGGGCCCAAACCAAGGCGTGTCTGAAGCTCGGCGATCGGCAGCCCGATATCGAGAGCCGTCTTTTTTCCATCCAGAGTATAATAATCGCTTCTGCCCCAAACCCAGAGAGGCCAAGTGGCAGGGCTGACGGGATTCGGGATTGGGGCGCGAGCAATCCTCCCATCCTGACATGGTAAACTCACAAGATCTGCACTGGAAGGTCCCAAAGGAAGAATCCGTGGCCGTGTCCGTCTCCGCCCCTGGTTCCCCTGTCGCCGCCTCTTTCGATTATCAGGCCCAGCAAGCTTGGCCTCTGCTGCTGCCGGAATATAGTGACGTGATTTTGCGCCAAGCAGCAAGTTGTTGTCAGGACTCAGAAATCAGAACCGGGGAGCGCATCTCGGCGGCCTGTCACCTGTCACCTGTCGCCTGTCGCCTGAAACCACCCAGTTACGCGTCCTAGACCTGGGTTGTTGAGTTTCGAGACCCAAACTGCAAGTCACGCAATCATCAATGGGAACACGGACTCAGAGCAGCAAAACGAACTTCGCAACAAACCACCACGAGAGACTCGCGCGACGCTTTGCAAGGCTGTCCCATTCACAGCTCCTGAGCTCATAAGAAAAAGGTGACCAAGGTGACCAAGGTGACCAAGGTGGTGGATCCAATCGAGCGCCCCGCCCCTTCTTCGCATCCCAGCGATGCCATCTAAAGCTCTATGCCTGCCGCCTTCAGACCCTCCAGCCAAATCCCCCAGCGCTCCTGGTTGAAGCCCTTCCACTTGCGGTCTTTGTACTTGTCGCCCGGGGCGCCCTGGTTGGCGACGAAGGGGCGGTTCTCCTCGCACATCGTGTGTAGGGCGTCGCTGGCAAAGCGGACCCAGACGGCAGCAAGTTCGGCGAGCTTGACCTTGCTGGCGGCGCTCTGGCCGGCCGGGGGAGCCTCTTCAAAGGCGGTGCGCAGTGACCACAGCGCGAACAGGGCGAAGTCGAAGGCGTCCTTTGGCTTGTCGGCGCCGGCGATGGCCGTCAGCTTGGCCATGAACGCGAGCTGGTTCCCGAGCGACAGGGTTTTTGCCTGATCGAGATCCAAATCTGCTTGTAAGTCCAAGGGCGCACCTATCAGTGATGATTCGAAGTTTTAGTTCTGGACCCCGGGAAAAAAACAAGACGACGAAGTGAGAGGGGGTTGCTTGGATCACTTGATCTTTCGCTGGACCATACCATAGTTAAAGTACTCGCGCGCCACCCAGCCAAAGGTGGGCAGATCTGTCCAGACGAGGCCGCCCTCGTAGGTGAGCGGCTGGTCGTCGGCACCCGTGACGGGGGCTTTGCGTAGCTGCACGAGAAAGTCGACCAGCGGGCCCTGGCGCTCGGCCGGCGTGGCGGCGGCAATGTCGAAGACGACACGAAAAATGGTCCAGACATAGTCGGCTAGTGCCAACGAGGAAACGGCAGCGGCAGCCTTGACCTGTTTGGAGAACTCGGTCACGGCAGCCACGACGGCGTCTCCCTCGGCGGCGGGCTTGTTGACGAGATTGTTGATAACATCTCGGGCGAGGCACTCGGTGCGGAACGGATCCGGTGCGCTCATCTTGACGGTTGAATTCTGGGACGCCGACGCTCCAGGCTCAAGTCAGCCAAATATTCGAGAACTATCAGTTCTGGACCAGGACTGGGCAAGGTATGAGTGAGCGTGCAGGGTAGGTAATGAAGGGCGAACCACCACCAAACAATCAAGACACATCAAGTCAAGAGCCCGCTTTTGGCACTCGCTGAGCCGGTGAAGCGCAACCGACAAAAGAGAAGAGAGGCAAGGGTGGGTGAGTGGAATGTGGATGAAGTTGCGGTTGCGGGATGACGGATTTGCGGGATGACAGATTTGCGGGATGACAATTTGCGGGATGACAGATTTGCGGATGACGGATTTGCGGGATGACGGACTGTGGAAGGTGAGTGTATCGTGGGGTGGACCGTGGGGTTGCCGTGGTTCAGTGCATGGATGTGGAATGGAATTGTGGTTGGGTGGGAATCAGATCGATCGTGCATCAAGCAAGTGACACGGAACCTAGCTGGAAACTCTATCTAGCTTCTATCGCAGCCCGAAGCTAGAAACTGAAAGCAGTGGAGAGTTGAATAGAATTGGTTACCGTACCTTTAGATCAACTTGCCAGTTGTGCTAGGAACCCGGGATGAAGCACGGTTCCGCACTTGTGGTTGCCGTGAAATCTAGCGCAAAGAGGGCGAGCGCTGCGGGAGAAATAAAATAGCTCGGTGCCCCTCCTCGCAGTTCAGTTCCAAGCTTCGCACTGCGCAGGAAGCTACGACACGTCATTGGGGCCGCCCTGCTGCTGCTTAGGCCAATGAGGAACGAGCCCCTTGCTTGCTCCCCACAATACTGCAGTGGGGAATACTGCAGTGGGGAATACTGCAGTGGGGAGGGGGAAATGTCTACTACCAAGACAGCCGACCATCCCAAGCAGAGTTGAGCTCAAATCTGCAGCTTTCAATCATGCATCAAGACCAAAGCCCAGGCAAGACCTGCACACAGCATCACATCACACCGACTGGACTGAGACATGGCCGGCCGCCATCGACGACGGAGCGGCTCACCATCTATCTTATTACCCCCCTTACCTGAGTATTACCTTGGGTCCGGATACTAGGTATCCGTATGCACACAGTGCAGTGTGGCTGCAGGCTAGAGCACTTCATAAACCGTTAAGTCCGGACTAGGCGGGCTTCTAGGCTCTCTTGGCGTTCGAGCTTGCAAGCCAGCTGAAAAAAAGAGGCTGCCTCTGGCTTGGCGCGACAAAGTTTTTTTCCAATTTCCACGACGGACGCGCCGTTTATTTAACTCGGGGCGGCTGAGCTGGATTGTCCCCGCATCCTGTTTCCTTTGTCGCCAAACCGCGGAGCAAGCTTTGCATCCAAGGTGGCATCATCATCATCATCGACATCATCATCATCACCATCATCGTCGACATCATCATCATCATCGACATCAACTCCAAAATCGACAGGATGCCGACCTACGCCGTCAGCCTGCAGTTGCTCCTGTGCCATGCCGTATGGCTCGTTGCAGCAGCAGCCGCCGCTGTGGGAACGGACGGGCTGGCCTCAATCAAATGCTCGACGACTGTCTGGACTAAGCAGCAGGTTGACGCGGCCGTTGCCGAGGGCTGTCGCCTGCAAAAGGCCAACACGCCCATTGGGAGGTCTTCGTATCCCCACAAGTTCAATAACTACGAGAAGCTCGTGTTTGCGGCTGCCAGCCCCTACTTTGAATTCCCCATCGTGCTGAACGGCATCTACGCCGGAGGTAAGTCGCCGTGATCTCTCTTCACGCGTGTTTGATGTTCTCGCAAAGAAGGCGAGAAAGTGAAGGAGTCGGGCTGAGAACTCGCTTTCGCGCGCAATCAAGGCGCTCCCGGCGCCGACCGCGTCGTCTTCAACCCCGACCTCAACAACTCGTGCGTCTACGTCGGCGCCATGACGCACTCGGGCGCCAGCGGGAACGGCTTCCTGTCATGCTCGGAGAAGCGCGACGGCTCGGGCAGCCCCTCGTCCACCGAGTCGAAGACCAAGACAAAGACGACGGGAACCGCGACAAAAACAACAACAGGCACAGCGCAGACGACGCTGGAAACAACGGCGAAGCCGGACACGACGGGATCGGCGCAGACCACCGCCACAACGGCAGCGCAGTCCAGCACCACCACAGGCCCCGGATCCGGCGCCCCGCGCATGGCCCTGCCAGGCGGCGACGGGGGCGGCGGGTGGGGCTTGCTGCTTTGGATTGCGTCCGTTGTTGGGATGGCCGTGCTTCTGTAATCGAGAGAAACCAGAATCAGCCGCCACGACAGGCCCTGTGGACGGCGACGGAAGGGAGGCCGTTTGGTTTTGAAACGCCAGGCGACGAAGAAAACGGCTCCTTGTACGACTCGTGGGCCACTTTCAGGCGCACCGAGGTTATTTCGTTGATTCTTCCGCGGACGGAATGGCCACTTTTTCCGCGTAATTGAAAATTCCGGCGGCGTTTTTGTGGGTTGTTGGTCGCCCAATGTTTGTTGGTTGGCATCTGGGCTGTGCGTGGGGAGACCATGTTGGGGGCCGGCGGTACTGCAGTTGGTCCTTGGCGCGCCAATGCTCTGCGCGTGTCCGCCGTGTGGTCCTGGCACAGAACCTTTTCTAGCAAGATGATGGTCTGGAAATGAGGTGTGCCCGGTTCACGAAGTGGTCCTTGCCTGTCGGCCAGATTGTGCGACAGACACGGTCTATATACAATGGACATTTTTGACCTGCCACCCTGTCAACCCGACAGAACCCAACTGAACTCCGCAGTTTCCTGCACCATGTTCTGTTTATGAAACAAAGTCTCGGCTGCCAAGCTATCCCGCCGCCTCCCCGCCCCGGCGGCCAGCGGCCATGCCCACCACGTTGTGATTGCTGGTTTCCAGCGGCGCCAGCCAGCTCATTGACACGCATTTCTGCAGCATTGGACATGGCATGCCAGGCACACATCGGCTCTTTCACTGCTATGTAACACGCAGGCCCCCGGGTGAACAATGTTTCACACCCAAAGAAACCTCCCTCAGGATAATCGACTTCAGACGGGTTGACTTTAGACGGGCGGATGCATGTCCGAATCTCGGTCGGCCCTAGTGGAATACACGGACGGCCGTGATACATGCGAGAACTGAGAGATCATGGACTATAAATTTTGCAGGATTCCCAGAGGAGGAAATGTTTTTTGCCGCCATCATCAGCACTCACTCTTCGCCTTCATCGCCTTCTATCGCCGACATCCAACCGACCGACAACCGCCTTCTATCGCCGATAACCAACCGACCGAGAACCGACCGACTCCACTCAAATCAAAGCAATCAAACTAAATTAAACTACCAGCCTACTTCCAAAATGGTTCTCGTCCGAATCTTCACCGTGGCTCTCGCCGCCATGTTCGGCCTTGCCGCCGCCGCGCCCGTTGAGGACCGCTCCGTAGGCACTAGCGATGTGGACGCCCTTAACAAGCGCGACCACTTTCAATTCTTCTTCCGATTCTGTGCGTCCTTCTTCTCCCCAGTCCCGGTCTAGCCGACTTCTCCGAGCATCCATGGGTGGCCGAGAGAGGTGCAATTACTGATCTGGTGTGTGTCGAAACAGACAGTACTCCTGGTGGGGTTTGCGACCACAAAAGCGATACTATCACCACCGACCCTCCCATGAAGGGACAGCCGTACGTAGCAGCCCATCCATCCATCCATCCATCCCACCCTCCTTATTCTCACATGACAAGACGAGACATGACATGGCAGAACCAAAACTGACGGTGTTGCGTGACCACAGCTACGGAGGCAGCGAAAACCTATGCTTCACCGCGCCGGGGGGCCAATTCGGGTCCCTTGAGATCAACAGGGACCTCGCCGCGCTCCCGTGGGCCGTCACCACGTTCAGCGAGGGCGATTGCAAGGGCCTCAAGTCGCCTCCCCAGCGCAAGCCGTACTGCTTCACAAGCCCCGGAACTGCCGTGAATCAACAGATCAAGAGCTTGTACGTCCCCCCACCCCCCTCTCCTCTCCATTTCTGGTCTGGTTCCTTTGCCTGGTGTTGATGTCTCGCGGCCTGCTGACTTTTGCATCTCTTTCGCCATCATTATAGCATGGTCTCCCCGGCGCCAAAATAGATGTGAGTCTTTTTTCTCGGCGAATCCCTCCCGCGACGGATGTAGGCTGGCCCGCTTACTATGCGGCAGGTGCGGCAGGTGCGGCAGCTGCAGCAGGCACGGTGGGATGGGGAGGTGTTTAGAGGAGAGGATTTCTGCGTTCTTTTTTGGGTGTGGTGTGTTGAGGAGTGTACTACCATGGAAGATGTCTACTATAATCAAGGGCCGAACAGGTGGGATTGTGGAGAAAGTGTCGTGAACGGAAAGCTCTGTCACGCTCACTGCCCAATCGTTCGTGTATACCTAACCTAGACTAGGCCAGGTAGCCAAGGTAGTGTAGTGGTGATGGAGTTTCTCGATTCAAAGGATAGAACACAACGTCTCGGGCTGCGAGCCATCAGCTTTTCCGACTTTGCAAGGTGGTCCTCGGGCAGATGCAAACAGGTTTCTTCTTCTGGCTCCCACCGCAGCTATGCTATGCTGGCGCTGACGATCTTGAGCTCTTTCACAGTTCGCCACTCTCACCTCTCAAACGGGCAAGTCCGACAAATACGTGCCAAATGGCTTAGCTCGAAGTGCGCAGACAATCCGAGACTCTGTTCCTTGGACCTGTGAAATTGTTGCACGTTGGATCGTTCCGGCCTCCTACTTGCCCCATCCTCTTGTTCCGGCATCCTACTTGCCCCATCCTCTTGTGTGACCAGCCACATAATGTTGACACGGGACAAGTGCACAGTCAAATGAAACAAACAGAATGACAACACCAGGCCTGCACCATGTGCTGACTCTGCATCTCCTTCCTCGTAAGCCACATCCTGAAATTATAACAACGCAGCGCAGAGCGGACAGTTGAAACCCACTGAGATCCGCTCCTATTGATTCCTCCAGACAATTCTTCAACCGTGAATATTGAGACTGAGTCAAGTGCCAATTCACTCAGGGGATTTGTCACGAGAGAGCTTGGCCGTCGGCAGTGCCTCTCGGTTGCCTCCCAGACAACCGCCTCAAGCAAGAGCATTTAATAAGGACCCTCTGGCCAAGCCCCCGGAGTCCGAGAGGCGGCCCAAATATTCCATTTCAACGCCTGAGCTGGTTTCCTCCAATTGGCTTCCAGGGAGGTCGAGAGGACGCAGACTTTTCAGTTGAACGGGACCGAACGCGGCCTGCTGCTGCTGCTACTGCTGCGATCGGCCGGGCGTCATCTTATTGTTCTCGCTCGGGGTAATATAGCGGCCCGCTCACACGAGCTGCGTGTACGCAAGCACGCACGCCTCGGAGATGGCCCCCCGCGGCGTACAGCGTAATCCCGTACCCTGCGTATTTACTTTCCCGCTAGCGTACCGCGTATGCTGGATGGCGGATAGCCAATAATTGGCAGAGACAATTCGTTGCGGTCTGACTAAACCCGTGGACCACCGAGCACTTTGGGGCCATGCCGCAGAGCCGGCTCTGGCGACCCTCGTGCCGTCTCCACCTTGACAAATAGTCTGTCTGATGCTACCTCGACGTCGCCGAACTCGGGAGATCGGGGCTGCGCCTCGATTCGTCGTCATTGTCACATTGAGCGAGGTCCAAGTAAACATTGGCCTAAATCTATAACCAAAATCGGCAACTTTGACTAATTTCTCCGTGCCTTGACGTAGTCGGAGTGCATCCGTATCCGGGTGGTCCGAGATTTGTGGTTCGAGATAACTGTAAGACAAATTGAACACAGCTTGGCCGTGATGTATACTCGGCACACTGGCACCTATAAAGCTCGAGTGCCCTCGTTATTCCTCGGACATAACTGCACTCCTCAGCTTGATAACCACCAGGTCAAGACAGAAAAAACAAGCCTGCCCTGTCCAGAACAAACACCCCCTCGCTCAAACCCCCGTCCACGAGTCCGCAATGGTTATTCTCGGTCTCGCCACAGCTCTGCTGTCCCTCGGTGCCACGCTGTCAGCAGCAGCAGCCGCGCCATCCGTCGCGCCGCGCGAATCGGCGCAGAAGGCATCCAGCAAATGCTCCAACGTGCAATTCATCGTCTCAGCCACGGCGCAAAACGTCAAGTTCGTCTCGCCCCCCGACCCAAAAAACGCCACGGCCATCCTCGCGTTCCTCGGCCAGGCGCTCTCGACGGGCGTGCCGACCAACGGCACGCAGACCGTCAGCGGCGACTGGATCATCAACGGCGTCTACTGCAAGCCGACCGTCACCACACGGCCCGGCGGCGGCGTGCTGCAGTTCCTGGTGCACGGCTCCCTCTACGACAAGAGCTTCTGGAGCGGCGTGGGCCAGGGCGCCCTGTACGACTACCAGGCGTTTGCCAACCTCGCGGGCTACCACACACTGGCCATCGACCGCCTGGGCCACGGGTCCAACCCGCAGCGCCCCGACCCGGTCGACGTCGTGCAGCCGTCGCTCAGCATTGAGATTATCCACCAGATCATCGCCGCCATCCGCGGCAACACCGAGAGAAACGCCCTCGACCGCGGGTTCAGCAAGATTGCCTACGTAGGCGAACCCCCTTCCCCCCCCCCCCCCCCCCCTATTTTGAGGACATTTGCTGACACTCCCAAAACAGGTCGGCCACTCGCACGGCTCCATGCTCGGACAGGGTCTCGCAGCGCGGTACCCGTCGGACGCGGACGCGTCGGTCCTCACGGGGTACAGCCAGACACCGAACCTGGTCAAGTTTGCCGAGAACAAACTCGGTCCAGCCGCAGTTCTGCGCCCGACGCAGTACGCCGGGCAGCCGCTCGGGGAGCTGGTGTCTGTGAACGGGACGACCTTCATCGCGGGCTTCTACGGGCCGGCGGGCTCGTTTGACCCGGCTGTGGCGCGCGCCGACGTCGCGGTGCAGGCCACAACGTCGGTCGGCGAGTTGATCGGCGCCCAGATCCTGGGGCCTGCGCCTGCTTATGTGAACCCTGTGCTGGTTGCTACCGGCGTCAACGATAACTACTTCTGCGCCACGCCGGTTGCTGCGTGCAACACCATCCTCGCCAATGTTCACTCGGCCGTGTTTCCGAATGTGGCCAAGTTCGAGTATACGGCGATTCCGTTTACCGGGCACGTCATGCAGCTGAGCTACTCGGCGCCCGTGACGGCGCTGCGCATCCAGGTGTTCCTCGACAAGTTCTTTTGATCTGGTGGTGTGATTAGCCAAGGTGGTTTGGGCTGTCTGAGAAATGCTTCTGGGTCCAGGGATGTCAGTCCTCAAGTTTGTTGTAATTAGAGTCTTTTGGAACTGGGAATTATAGATTGTAATAGGCGAACAGACTCACAACATTCAGCAAAAGCATATATCACGAGTGTCTTCTATGCAAGTGAGCATATGGACCCCCCCCCTTTAATGCTCCATGATGTTGTCTTATAATTGCCTCCAACAATTGGGCCTAACAAGCATCCACGGGCCACCATGAAGTTGGTCGCTCACGGAGGGTTATATCTGTAATAGCGAAGGCGGACGTGTTATATCATCATGGATCAGGCAATAAACCTGCTCATTTCATTTGTCTAGCGCCTCTCAATGAGACTTGGCAAACAAATTCACGTCACTCAGTGATTAGCGTGTAATTATCCCAAAACTCAAAATTGACATTACCAGTAATAATTAATCATCAGCGTTTCCTCCTGGGACACGCGTTAGGGCTAGAAGAGGGCCGCTCGCAGACGGCCTTCATGAGCCAGTACTCGGACACGCAGGGCTTGCAGTTGGGGGCGACGAGGACGCGGTCGCCGGGGCTGCGGAGGCGGCCGAGGGGCACACCGCGGGTGTCGGCGAGCACGTAGACGTGGCCCTCGGTCTGGCAGGCGGACCACGAGTTGCCCATGAACACAGTGACCTTGTCGTCGACGCCTCGATGGTGGCCCGTGATGGCCCGCGTCTTGGTGTGCCGCACCGTGTACGTCGCGTGCGCCGAGCCTCGCACCACGATGCACCGGAACCCCTGCGCGATCGCCTCGGCCCGGCACACGCGGTTGGTGCCTTGGATCATGGCCTCCTTGAGGTCGTCGTCTCCGCCCGTCAAGTGGTCCAGCACGTCGTGAGGGACGCCCCATATAACCTGCCGAAACAAAGTGTTAGCCAACATTGTGCATGTGCCCTGGGGTAGTGTTCATTGTTCAACTTACCCAAGGGTCTCCGTAGGTTCCCGAACCCGTGCGGTGGTACTCCTTTGGCCATCTACCAGTTTGGGTTCGCGGAGGACAGATGCCCGATGTTGACGGCGTGGTCCCGGAAACGTACCTCGGCCTCTCTCTCCGGAAGGGGCGTGCATATACTACAGGCATTTTAACCAAAAGTGAAACAAGATGTTGGCCAGCAACGTAGTAAGTCGATTAGAATCAAACGCAAGTCCTCACAACACTGCCGTCTGTCTCATCGGTGAGACATACAGGTATTTAACACCATCTGGATCGGCATGGTATCGGGACACAAAGAACTCAAGAGACAACCACTGACTTTGCGATGCGCCTATATTTAGCATGATCCAATCACGCTGTCCTTTGTGTTGGAGAAACGCGTCTGAAGCGAGATGAAGCATTAAATCTCAAACCTGAAGACCGAACGCACCTCAAGCCAGCACCTCGCAGTATGAAGTTGCTATTTTGGAACTCGGTGGGGCGGTTGAGAGTACATTTTCTTAGTCCTCGATGGGCTGCTTTGCTGACAGATAAAGACAGTGAGCGAACCGTCAGTGCCGAGGTTGTGTCTTTGTCGCCTTCTCCCGTTAGAGTCAAAGCAACATGTCTGAATAAAGCCAGAAAGGACATGTAATAGAGGGATGGCCGTTTTTCCATTCTCGAGGAGCCTCTCCAGCGTTGCGTACTTGGGCGAGTCGATCCCGGAATCTGTCAAATATTTACGCAGTCACTAAACAACTCCCAACTCAGTTGCCATTGCAACCAACACCTCACCCAACATGGACCACAATCAGCAGTTCACGCAGGAGCCAGAGTACACGTACTTCGCCGGTATTGACGTGGCCGAGGACCCTAACTTGTACAGGCTAGGCGGATTCCACCCAGTGCTCTTAGGCGACGTGCTTGACGACCGCTTCCGGGTAGTGCACAAGCTCAGGTGCGGCGGCCAGGCGACAGTATAGCTCTGCCGTGATATCATCCGCAACAACTGGCGCGCCATCAAAATTCACACGGCTGACGCCTCGCACGACGACTGCGCCGACCTAGCCGCGGCGCGGCTGTTTACTGCTGCCGCTGTACCGACACAGAAACAGACACGGGCAGATTGGCCGAGCAGCTGTGGCGGCGCCACCTGGCTGTTCCGCTTGAGCACTTCCAGGTGCACGGTCCAAACGGGTCACATCTGTGCAGCGTGCTGCCGGTGCTGGGGCCATCGATCGATAACGCGGCCGACCATTTCAGAGCAGTGCGGGCGCCGCATGCCATCAAGGACTTGTGTCTCCAGCTTGTCGAGGCCATGAATTCCCTGCATCGCATGGGGCTGTGCCATGGCGACTTTTGGCCCGGGAATATCCTACTTCGCACCACTGACGATATCGACTGCCTGAGTGAGGATGCGCTGGTCGAACTCTTCGGGGAGCCTGTCTTGTTGGCGGTGTCCAAGTCGCTGCTCCACGACGAGAATGGGGAATACTATGGTGGCTATGAATACGAAGGACATGCCCCTAACGAGTATGAAGGTGGTGAACTAGACGAGGGAGACTATAGCGATCACGATCACGATCATGACCACGATCACAATCATGGCCACAACGAAGCCGAGGACGAATACATGGAGGAATTCGACGAGACACTCGGCCCACATGTGCCAAAATATCTTGTGCAGCCAGCCGGGTTATACATGGACGACGAGCGGGCACGGCGGTACATCTCGACGACAATAGCCGTAATCGACTTCGGTGTGTCCTTTTCTCCAGAAACGTCGGGCGTCGACATCAAAAACGCCAGCACGGGTATCCCCGCGGCGTACGGTGCACCTGAAGACATATTCGCCAAAGGCCAGCTCGGGTTTGCCAGTGATGTGTGGTCGCTTGCGGCAACGCTGTTTGTCACGGTCAGCGGTGCGCTACCGTTCTCTGACTTTTTTGGCCTAAAAACCATGATGCCGTGGCTCGAGAGCTACCTCGGCCCGCTGCCTGCCGTGTACCGTCCCGGGTGGGAGCGGTACCTTGATGCGACGAATACGGTAAGGCACGCGTTTGAGGACTGTGGCACGAAGGTGAGGGATGATGAGAGGATTCCGGTGAGCAGGACGAACGAGTCGGTTGACAAGACGAGAGAGAGGCGTGTCAAGGAATGGGGTACCGAAGACACGCTTGAGGCGATCCTGCGGAGGGAGTTACGATTCCCGGCTGAGACTGCCGATACCAGTGGCACCGATGAAGGCGAGGTTGAACGCGAGGATGGAGGTGACGTTGTTTACGACTACTGTATGAACTTGGACAACATCGCGCAGCTTGCAGACCTGCTGCGTCGTATGTTTGCGTGGATGCCACAGGACCGCGCCACTCTTGATGAGGTTCTGGCGCACCCGTGGTTCGAGGGCCACAGGATCACAGTCGATGCGACCGATGGCCATGATGACAGCGATGCAGACAGTGCAGCTTCCCCTAATGGGTGGGGTGCGAGTCTTGGGCTCTCTGTCGTAACGGCGAGAATTCTGCGGAGGGTGGCCGGTTTCCTAGGCTATGCCTCCGATGCAGATGAGTCAGAGCTGGGGAGTGAGGTGCAGTAGACTACACACCGCGCTTAGCATACCGTCCCCAGTCTTCGCTGGGACCTGTAAAAACCTTAGACATAGGCTTGGACATAGAGTTGACCTAGAAGCCTCAAGCGCCCTCCGGAATAGATTTCAGCAGAGTAGTCGCCGGTGCCGTCTTGCCCTGTTTCTGTTCGCAGCGGGTAATTCAAGCACACCAATGATAACACAGCGAGCAGACAAATCACGACGGGTAGGTTCGGCACTTGAAAGACAAGTTTCATGGCGTGCAATGAGCCAGTGACATTTTTCAAGGAGGCCATGGGCCCATAACCGCCCGCGTTCCGGAATGATGCTTTAGCTCTGGTTTTCCGAGACAGCTCGCTTGCCAGAGAGGCCAAATGAGAACCCGGGGGCGTTAGCCTCTGTTCAGGTAGGTAATGAGCGGATAGGCAAGTCGACGGCCTACTTACCGACGGCGAAGCAAACACCATCATGCCCGCAGCTGCCCTTGGGAAACATGACCGCCGGTTCTCTTACTGACGCACGGCGTGTGGCGTCATGCTCTGTCAGAAGAGCAATAAACGTCGGCCGATGGTCATGGCCCCAGTGGGCACATCCACCCAGGGCGCGTGCAAAACTTGAACTTCCCTTGCACTCTTCATTGTTGGTTGGTTCCTGCTGCGCTGGGCCAATTTATAAGTCCACCTTGGGCAGGAGCAACCACCAAACATTGTCGGCGGGTGACCGCAGGCTTCGTGATCCAGGAGGCGCCTTCCGATTTCAAACTCGCATTACTCTCGGCGCCTCACCTAGCCGATACGGCACTAACCTAGTTGGCCTTGGGGTCTGTCATGAGGCTCCACAAAAGCATGTGAGATCAAGGAATGACGAGTGGTGGTTTGAGAGATGAGAAGCTGCGGCCACAGCCGCTCTTTCCAAGATTACCCAGGTGGCAGGAAGTCTGGAAGGTGACCACTGACTAGTCACCGCGACACCACGAATGCAGAATTATGCAGTGCATCTGCCTGTGACTAGCGCTGATGCTGTGACGACCTATTCCATACCGTTGTAGCTGGGCAGGCGCTTGTGTTTGTGCTCCGCCGTGGTTATCACTGTCCGTTTGCAGCTTGCACAGTTTGAAGAGTGCACGATGAAAGAAAAGGCACCCCAGCCCAACGGGTTGGGGGCCTTGCAGCCAATCACCATCGCGGGAAATGTGGGTCAATGCACAGCCCACTATCCTCTTCAGGCAGCCGTCATCATGTGAGGACGTCCGACGCTACATTCGAGGCTCCAAACTGCCGTAGTGGATCAAGGCTCTTCAGAAACAACGCGTATGGCTGCACGACGATACAAGGCAGACCCAAGAAGACATAGAAATTTGGGGTTCGTATGCGAAGGGAGTCAACTGCGCCATCCACTGCTTCCCTCAATCACCTAAAGCAGTCTTGGGTACCTACCTACCCACCTTGCCGACTTAGCCAGCTCTCACAAATAGAGCACGACCCCGCTCTTCGCACAGATCGCGACGACTCAAATCTAAAATCGCGATAGTTTTCAGCTCCGCCTACGACTTTTCTTCAACCGCGCATCTCGCGCCGCCTTTGCGATATGAGCGCCACGGATGCGATAAACGCCACGGATGTGATGGATGCCCCAGATGCCAAGGACGCCCAGGATGCGAATGACGTCTCGGATGTGAAGGATGTCCCGGATGTGAAGGACGTCCCGGTCTGGGATGCGAAGGAGCTCCGAGCCGTCCACGACCAGCTCGGAACCATCAAAAATGTCATTCTCTGCGTCGACCCCGTCGACTTGGACAATATTTGGGTGAGCCTGTGGGCCCTCGTCCGCGTCCCAAACGCCCACATCCACATCGTCCTCTCGCCACGCGTGCTAGATCTGCGCGTTCCCAACTTCGGCGAGCTCTTTAGAGAGTTCATGCAAAAGGATATCGGTGGCAATAAGTACATGCTCAACGTGCTCAACAAGGACGCCAAGAATATCTTCGCGAAGCTGGGGGGTAGGGAGTTCCGAGACTACTTCAGACGAGACACAACATTCCAGAAGGACAAGCACACCAGAACACACATCCCCCTCTATATGGCCCTGTCGGCGCTCCGCTTTGCCCTCAAGTTCTCAAGCAAGGGTCACACCCGCGACCGGTACACCTTCTACTGGGACCGCAAGTCGATGAATACTATCATCCCCGGCATCCACCACCCAACTCACGTCAACGACTTTCTCTACGCATGTACCACCGCAGAACGCAATGAGGCCCACCAGTACGTGCATCAGCGGGGAAAAGAGCGCGAGAGAAACATGCTGTCCGTCATGGAGAAGACAGCCGACAGGCTGGCCAAAGACCTGGGCTACGTGAAGCCAGGCGACATCTTGAAACCCCTCGAGGACCTGATCACGCTCTGCAGAGGCGACGGGCACATCGCTAGCAACCCAAGCCTGATCCTAGGCGGGGGGCCGTTCACCGAGATGGTTCGCATCCTCGAAGAGACTAGTCTCAAGCCCAAAGCCATCATGGCCATGGCGCGCACCTGGTTCGCCGACGCCAACATCTTCCTCAACAATTATAACGATCTCATGGATTTGGATTCGGCCATGCGGCTTGAGGAGATCGTCAAGACGAGAGCGATACCCACGTGGTTGTTTCCAACCGAGTGCGCCAAAGCCAAGGTGGTAAAAAATGAAGTCCTTCGAGCGTGTCCCTGGGACTTTTCCAGGACTGAACTGGAAGGCATCTTCCGGAAGGCTGGCGACATGGAGTCGTTGAATCAGGCGGATGCATTTGCCAAAGAGACCCAGACATTGGCTAAGATCCACATGTTCGACGTGCTCGCCGTGGTACCGGTCACCTTCCCAGACTCGCTGCCGTACGTCCGCGCCGAGAGCTACTGGGAAAAGGTTGGGGAGCAGCGCGTCATCCGTCTCAGGAAGAATGAAGCCGGTCCCATCAATGTCTTCGAACCCGTGGAAGAGGTCATGAAGAAATACAAGCAAGCGGCGATGGACGAGATTAGCTACGTTCTGACTTCCATCAAGAAGCCCGAGCTAAGTGAACTAGAACAGCCAGGTGATCAGGGTGGGCAGGCAGGGTGATCAAGGTGGGCAGGGTGATTAAGGTGGGCAGGGTGATCAAGGTGGGCAGGGTGATCATGGTGGTCAGGGTGGACAGGGCGGACAGAATGATCGGGACACGCAGGGCAACCAGGCCACGCAGGACAAGCAGCAGAGTATACAGCTCGAGCAGCACTGGCAGTCCACGCATAGCCAATAAGGCCAGCAGCCTAAGCAAGTCATTTATGGTTAGCAAGGCCAGCAGAGCGCCCAGCAGAGCGCCCAGCAGAGCGCCCAGTTCAAGCAGCAGAGTGTGCAGCCCAAACAGCCGAACGTGCAGTCCAACAAGCCCGCACAGCCAGTGCAGCCCGTGCAACCCAAACGATTCACTCATGGCCAGCAGGGCCAGCAGGGCCAGCGGGGCGTGCAGGTCAAGCAGCAGGGCGCGCAGGGCTAGCAAAGTAAACAGGTTATTCTGGTCGAGCGCGGTCCACTGGGGCCGCTGGGAAATCTAGGTAGGAATCGAAGACACAAGGCTGGCAGGACACAGAGTGGAGCGAGAGAAGGGGTAAGTTCAGTGCGAGTCCAGTAGGACACGGCAGTGGCGTGTGGGAACCAGTAACGGGTTCTTTTTCATCCCCTTTGGGGATATCTGATTGGCTTTTGTTTTCCTTCTTTTGATATCATCCAAGGTGGTCATGAAGTGTTAGATCGGTTTCTTGCGTGACTCTTTCGTTATCTTCCTTTCGTTTATTCTCTTCTCTTCCCTTTTCTTTTCCCGCCCCATGGGGCGGGCTCGCAACTAAGTTAATAGCACTCCGTTCAACTGTTGCGTCTCTAAATCTTGCTCTCGTCAACCCGGGCCGACCACACCACCCCTCGCCGCCTTTTTCTCAAGCACTTGCTAAGATGCCGTCGGGGAAGCAACTGAAGTTGGTTGAAACCGAATTAGCAGTGTTCTGGGTGTCTACGGAATCGAGTTGAGACAATGAGAATCGCCAACTTTCCGTGATGGAAAATATAATTAGTACTTGCCCACCCACATTTGAGGGCTTGCTTGTAGAGCCTAGTTTATGATCTTCTGTGGCGTTTCTTGCTTTGTCTCTCGGTCCAGTGAGACGCGGCAGTGGTGTGTGGGAATCAGGAACGGATTCTTGCCCTTTACTAGAGAAGTTTAGATAATTAGGAGAATGGACAATGGACAATGGACAATGTGCACAGACATCCTTTTCACAAGCTAGATCTATGCTTTAAGAGTTGAATGGTGTAATTGGATGAGATTTGATAATCGTGTTATCTCGTCCTATGATGGCAAGAGTGCACTGGCTTGCTTTCAGCTTTGGCGATGGCTAGGTGGTTATTAGCGTGTCTGTGAAGATATTAATCTTCAAAATAAATGGGCTGGTGCTTTTCTGTTAAAGTCAGGTGTATTTGCGAGGAAGACAGACAGCAACAGTGGCCACGAGGAGTAATTATCTCTAATGGCCAGTCAAGAGAGAGAGGACTGGCCTATTCCTTGACCGACTCCGAGAAGTATTCCGTGATAAAGCTTCAGCCGTCCGAACAGCAGAACCAGGCAGCTGTCGCTCTTCCATTCGTCAAGATTTTACCCCCACACGAATGGTGGAATTTCCACTTGATAAGTCCGAACCCAAATATGACCTGGAAAGCAATGACACCTGCCTTAGACCCAGAGGCGCAGCTCGAGCAGACCACCAATAGCCATCCCGCACTAACCAAGGCCTAACTACTGCATCGGAGGATGAATGTTTTCTCCAGAAACAGCCCTGGGCTAACTCGGCCGTTTCTAGCACGAGGCATAACACGATTGCCTCGCCAACTGCGTGCTTGTTCTAGGTGCCAAGGCCGACACGAGGATGTGTGAAAATTGAGCAGCTGTCTAGATGGGCCGGGCAAAGTCGACAAGAGATTAATTCGAGCCCGGTTGCCATTAGGCAAGTCCATTGCGTTTATTTGTGGTACTGTTATTACAAAGTTCGGTGTATTATTTGGCATTTCATTCAAGTCCTTGGCCCCGCAAAGCCTCATTTCCGGTTTATAGCCTAAATGCAGTGATTCTGACATATACTAGGGTTGCGAACTAAGCAGTATACAGAGATTACCCATGCATGGGAAGTTCCCATTTCGGTTGGCGATGGTGGAATGCTTAATTTTATTCCAACTCGAACGCAAAAATGGAGATTATCACCAAGGACTGATGTTTCTTGATTGGCACTTGCACAAAGACCCCCCGAGACACAAGCCGTAAACATCACTAGCCAAATAGATGGCTCGGGCTGAATTGTAATATCGACCAGCCCCAAAACGACAAACTGCTTGCCAATGGGCCCAACTCGAACTGGGGTATTAGCTCGTTCTCTGCGCCCTCCTGCACAACAGACACCAGCCTCCGGAGCCAAACGGCGAGTGCTGTTCTCAATCCATGCAAACAGCTGCAAACTGCGCATAGACCGAAGACTGCCCAGACTGCACCTCGAACGTAACGATACCAGAAATCCGCCTGGCCTGCCGGCGGGAGGAGCAGTCCCAGCAACATTCTGGCAGACAAGTCAGCAAGCGACCTTTTGAGTTGGAATCTAGTTTGCTCAGGCAAATGGGCCACTGAGGATTAGGTGGCAATGGGGTCCAGACATATCAAACTTACGTGGCGCCAGGATAAACCAGGGACCTAGTCGCAGCGGTTTTCGATCGCTCCGAAACCCGATCCAGCATTAAGCCCAGCATGATTAGGTCCGAGGCCAGCTGGTCCCGCACTACTATGAGCTCCCAGACGTCGCTTACCAGCTCCTCTGTTGGTCCTGAGAGAGCGCGCAGAGATGATGAGAAGGTGGATGGATTTCTAATTGATCATTGTCCCGAAACCGTGGGCTGGGACTTAGTAACATACCAGACGCGCTGCCCGCCCTGCGTCCTCCCGAGCTCGTGCTCATGGTGTCGCGAATCAACTTGCGGATCCATCGCGCGTCGGACTCCTCGGACGGCGGTTGAGTGGTGGGCGCGCGTCGTGACAAGATCCTGCGCCGGATGACCAGATACTCGCTAAGGGAGTGGTGCGCGGAGCGCCTCTGTGCGTCGAGCCGTATCCGATTGATGGAAGCCGCGCCGTGGTCCGAGTCCGAGCCGTTCGTGTTGCCCGGGCCATCATCTAAGACGCCGTTCGTGTTGCCCGGGTCATCATCTAAGACGTCGTTTGTTGCCATCTGGGGACGAGCAGTTTAGTCGGGGGAGTTGATTGCCGCACATGCGTGTGTGATGTGGTGTGGTGTGAATTGGGGAAGGAACGTAGCTGGCGGCGACGCTAAATTCCCCTAACCAACAACCATCAATCCCCGATCACTTCAACCCACCCTCCCTGATTGCTTGCGACCCCGAGACCCAAAAAAGCTGGACATGCACCAAAATACCCCTGAAATGTTCAAACAACAATAACTCGAGCAAAACCGACTCAGAGACGAAGAGGCTAACCCCAGGAAAATTCTCATCACTCTTATTTCCTATTTCACCAGGTTTCTCGAATCTTGAGCGATTTTGTTGAGCGGGCGATTGAGTCTTGAAGTCTAGATCTGGCCGCTGTGCGGCTGACCACAGATGCACAGTGAAGCGGGGCAGGAAAAGCCACCGAGCGGCGAACGGCGAACAGCTGATCTGCGATGTTCTAGAAGCCTGTGGCCTTCAGAGCCTCGTCGCCGCTCCAGGTGCGGTGTTTTCTCCCACGGGAATTGACCGCTCTTGCAAGAGTGCTACTGCAATCCGAATTGCTAGGCTTGTTTCTGCCCCTGACTTTGGTTGCTGGGCCTTGTTGCGACGACAACGACAACGGCTCGGCCTCGGATGAAGACCGCCTTCTTCAGCGCTACCAAGTTGGCCAATTGCTCGGCTGTTGCGGGCTAGAACTGTGTGCGACCATGGCATCCTCCATCGGACGCCCTCCCCGCATCACAGCTCGGATAGTCGCTTGGGAGGGCGGCTTCAGCGGGCATGTCAAAGAGCAGCAGATGGTCAAGGAGTACACGGCTCACCTGAAAGAGTCCATCACTGAAGAGGTGCAGGGCACGGGCTGGCGATACCAAAGATTCAAAACGTGCAAGGGCTCCAGCGGCGGGACATTCAAGCTCGAGGTTCGCACTGGACTGACCCTTCCCCCCCCGACCCTCCGGCGATGCCGCCACGCTTCTAAGACCTAGACTACAGGTAGTTACTAACCGATACGCCATACAACAGCTGTACCTCGTCCACTCCGATGCGCCCGAGTCGCCGACATCAACCGAACAGCTCCTCCTGCTCTCCGAGAAACTCCTCAGCCCCCGACTCGCTGCCCACCTGCGGTCACTCAACCCCAGCGCCGGGTTCTTCTTCGCCCCGTCGTGCGAGGGCGACCAGACGGTCACGGACAGGACATTCATGCGGTGCTTTAGCGCGGGCATAGTCAGCCAGTACTGCATCAACACGAAGCTGTCGAAGGAGCTGGAAGCTGAACGAGACGGTTTCTTGGCCAGGAACTCGACGAGATTCATTCACACCGTGTAAGCAAGCAAGCAAGCCATGGTCCGAACTGACACAAAGTACAGGTGCTAAATAACTGCGTTTCGTCGTCCCGTATTATTAGCATGGTAGGGATGCACAACGCCGCCTCCATGGTAGCGCGTTGCGCGAGCCAGATCGAGCAGCTCACCCAGCAGGTCGAGAAGTTCAACGGCATCGCGTTCGACGGGGGCGTCGTCAGGGCCGGCGCCGCCGTGTACGGGCACGTCTCGGGCGAGGACCGGGCATCGCTGGAAGCCGCTGCACAGACCATTAGGATCGGCATTGCTAATGCTTGCCATTTTGTGAGGGCTGCGAAGGGATTCGCAACCGATGTGAAAAAAGAGGTATGTACTATGTAAAGTGCCCGCGGGTAATTAATTGGGCCGTGGTGATGAATCTGGGGCCTAGCCGTTTGCTTAGTCGATTAATTTGAGCCGCATGTTTTAGTTGGAGCCGAAGATCTTGAAACTCCACTCGACGGTAATTCAAGCAAGGCTCGCATTGGCTTCCGACGCTTACCTGAGGGAGTCGGTCCGTGGAATTGAGACTTTGAAGCTTCTAGAAAGTAAGCACGTTTTCCATTACCACTGTGGGTGCAATGGGTTGCCCACCTTGCTTACACAAAACAGAGATAGAGAAGCCAACACCCGACGACCTTGCCATCACCATCAACGCCTTTGGCAATCTGATGCAGACTACGATGCCCCTCTTTCGTGCCACGCTCGCCGTGTCGGACGACGAGCTAAGGGACATTCTGCCCACCCTGGTCATTGCGGGGGCCACCGCAGCAACGGCCATCGGCGCCGGCGGCCTAGTGTACTTTGGCGTTGCGTCGTTGTTTGGCCCGGTCGGCATCATTGGGGCCGCAGCGAGTGCCGCCGGCCTAGCATTTGGATCAATGGGGGCCAAGAAGGGAGCCGAGTGGATGGAGAGCCAACAGAACAACCGTAAGCATGGCCAAGAGAGCAGCAGGGAGCGTATGAATTGATGCGCTGACCCGAAATCAATGTCAACAGCATCCGTCGTCCTCCTCGACGTCCAAAAGACGTTGGAGGAATGTGCAGCCTACCTCCTCGGCCTGCTGGTCATCTCGACCGAAGCCGAGGGCGGAGATGACGCAGTCTTTCTTGAAAGGGTGCAACAGCTACGGTCTCAGGTCTCTAGTGACCTCGTCTTGACCCCAGAGTATGTCAAGGCGTATTTCAGGCAGGCGACTAAAAAGCTCGAGGGGGACATGGGCCTCCTCAAGGTCAGGCTTGAGAAGTATTCGGCCAAGCTCGCGGCGAAGCAGTTGAAGGATATTGATCTCCTATCGCTTTCTGGAGTCGAGGAGAGAACCGTAGTTGAGGAGTAAAGAGGTTGTGTGTTTCTAGGTGGGCTTGCAGAGATCTGGCGAGATGCATATAACAACACATTGATAATCCATGCCAGAATCATAATTACCACAGTTAGTCTAGTCAACCGTTAGTCTAGTCGACAGGTGTACAGATGACCTGTTGTTAACAATCCCGTCTCCTTCGGCTCATACCACCACTTCTGAATATGTTCAACTGGAGATAGACGTGTGATAGTGTGTAGGAGGAGACGTGCTGAGATACCTCCGAGTACCAGATTCTGTATGGATATCAGGCTAGTGGATAACTACTGCTACGTACTGCTAGGTGATGAGTCTCGTTGAAACTAGCAACAGCTTACCTGACAGGAGTGCAAGGCTCCGGGCTGTATCCCACTGTCACCGCCAAGCCGACACTGCCACCACCGAAACGGCACCGCCACCACCAGATTCTCGGCAGCATTGAGCCTCAGAATGCTCTGAATGGGATCAAAAGGGTGGGATAAAAGTCTACTAGGCGAAAGCGTTTCAATGGCTGACAGGCCATCCTTCTGCAAGTAACTAGTTACTCGCCCCCTGCGGATATACCAACCCGGCCAGCTAGCTCATCAGCAACTTACCTAATTAACTAAATTAACTAACATGGACAATTTCAGCGGCCATTGCAGCCCCGCCACTCGAAAGTACAGTCCGGTCCCGGAGCATTCCCCGAAGGCACCTCAGGGAACGTATGGGAGGAGGTACCAGAGGCGGATGTTCAGCTGATCGCATATGCATCTCCCGTTACCCCCACTAGGCGAGGGTTTCAACTAACACTTTAACCCCGATATACTAATATCATGGGCCCTACCGGTTCAGGAAAGAGCAGTGTGTGTACATACCAAACTCTACTGGCTAACTCGGCTGTGTCACGATACATGCACCAGAGGACAACTACTGCTGGAAAGCTTCTCGGATAGTAATTAGTTCATCAACCTGCTCCTCAGCCCTGACAGCAAACAAGCCAAGGTATGACACGGCCTCAACTCGTGCACGGCGAGCGTGGAGGCGATTCCCTTCGACATCAACGGCTTCGGGGGTAGCATTATCGACACGCCTGGATTCAACGACACTCATCTCACAGACACTGAGGTTCTTCGCCGCATCTCGGAATGGATGGTTACAAATGGATGGATACGACGTCAAGGTGGAGGAGATGCTGAGGCGAGGAGGAGCCGGAAAACAACTACCGATAGGAAGAAGGGTGGAAGTGAGCGGATAGCCTATAGTCTCTCAATCAGGCTTACAGCAGACCCCATGTCGTCCGACTAAACCATCGCTGACATCTCTCATCCTAATCAACTAGCTGCTGAGCGGTCCGGTCACCGCCACGCCGCTCATCCTCATCCTGCAGGAGTGGCAGGCGTGGAAAGAGCTCCGCGAAAGCCACCGGGCCGAGGAGAACGAGCTCGCGCACAAACGGCGGGAGCAGGAGATGGCGTCCAAGAAGCGCCGGCTGGAGATCGAGAACGAGATTGCGCGCGAGAAGGAGGTGCTGAGTCTGCGCAAGGGGGCCGAAATCGTATCGTGCCTTGAACAAGATCCCGCTTGTCGGCCTGCTGGCGCTGCCCGAAGTCAAGGCGTTGATGGACGCGAACTAGGACTGGCCCTTGATGTCGGTTGGGATGTTGATTGGGCAGTTTGCTCGAGCTTGATTCGGCTCGGATTGCTATTATTTGTTTCTCGAGGTTGGGTGCGGAACTCGTATACGGTGCTTGCCTATATAATGGTCTCGCGGGATTGTCTCGACGCTCAGAGGCACCTCATAGGCTGCGTTGTGTGTCAGGGCTCTCCCGCTCTCTCCATCCGTCATTAGGTGCCAAGCCTAACGGACAAGGGGAGAAGGAGGGGGGGGGGGGGGGGGGGGGCCAACGAAAAATATAATAGTATCTGGCCGAGGGGGGTAGAGTCGTGCCCGAGACGAGAGGTCGCAGCCCTGGTTATTATATAGTATCGGAGCTATCCGGAAGACCTCGTCTGCTGATGCTCCGAATTGAACATAAAATCTTCAAGACTCGACGTGTAACGTTATGTCTGCTTGCCGCCAACTGGAGTCCTGGATGGACTTGCGCGGCCATCTTGTGATAGCTTTGCGCAGCGTGGCCATGGACGAGTATGAGCTCTCGAGTGAGTCGCGTCGCCGCCTCTTGGCTTGCACTTTGCTTTTCTAGAGACGCGTTGCCACAACCCGACGGGTTGCCTCAACTCTCTCATTTGCCTAATGCTAAGTACGCCTCGCCCTGGTACCCTCCCCACCACGCCGCCTCTGACCACCGCTTGTCCTACCAGGCCAACTGCATGTCGTCCTGCCGCCGCCCCTTTTGGTGTTCCTGGTCCTCGTTGGAACAACGCGCTAGTCAGCCACAGATGTGGCGGTGGAGGCGGAAACAGCCACATGTGGCTGTGGAGGCGAAGGGGCGCAGGGCCACCGAACCTAAATAAGTGGCCGTAGGCCACTTCCACCTTCCTTCTTAGACGTGGCGACCCAACAAAGAAATCGCCCCACAACGAAATTGGCCCACGCCATGCCCACACCCACTCCACGGGCGCAAATTATCCATTTCTACACAAAATAACTAGCAAAAAAATACTCAATCCTCTTCTTCGGCCTGTCTATATTGTTCGAGCCCACGGGCGATTATTTCCCGGGCTTCTTCGACTGCATGTGGCTGGCTTTCTGCCCGAGCCGTTTTTTTCCGCTTTGGGGGTATTTGACTAGCTTTTTGTGCCTTGGCGATGTCCTCTATACGTGCAAATCGCTCATTTCCATCTTCATATACCCTCTTACGCGTGCGAGGCTTTGAAGCCTCTAATTCGGTTGTGAGATGCGTAATTTGTGCCTTCAAAGACGCGATCTCTGTATTCTTCAGATCCAGGGACCTCCCGACCTAGTAAACAAGGCCCGCACACGCCGCTGAGCCGGACTGAGGGCATTCCGAATACTGTCCTGGTACTTCTTGATGTCCTGACTGCCGTGCGGTGTTTTGAAGAGCCTGTCATCGTCGTTCGGGGCCGTCGGCGGCGGTGTTGAAGGCCGGGCCGGGAGTGCCTCATTGTCCTTGACCGCCTCAGGGTCATCAAGTAAACAAGCCGGGTTGAAGGGCCAAATCCCGGTTTTACTGAAGCCCGACATGATGTTACGGGCACTCATGCCTTTACCCGAGGCATCTCTGTAGCAGTAAAGGAACCGAACCTTGTTGACAGGAGCTGACGATGTGAAGCTCGCGAGGGCCTTGGTATTTTCCCTAAAATAGGTCTTTAAAGGTGAAAAGACCGAGCGATCGAGAGGCTGAGACTTGTGCGATGTATGAGAAGGGAAATAGACGAACTGGACCTTATTTTGGAAGGCCGCTAACATGAATTTTTCGTTCATATGGCTCGAATGTTCGTCAAGGACCAGTATACGCCATTCGCCCGGCCTTTGGGGCTTTGTTTGGATCAGGTAGACCTCTTTGAGCCATTTCAGCGCAATACTGGCGTTGCTCCAGCCTGTAATTGAGTAATCGTACTTCCATTCCCGGAATTCCTTCGTCAGGTTGAAGTTATCAGGAAAGTGTTGTCCTTGAAGACTGGCCCCGGTAAATATGATCACGGGCTTCAAACGAACGCCCTCAGCAGTGCCGCATTCGATAACTGAAACCCAGGTTGTTGCATCAGAGCTTTTCACGTAGGTTCGGTTCGTCAGGGAGCTTCCTATGACCTTTCCGGCCCGGGTCTCGAGCTCCTGCATGCCGTGCTCATCCATGTTAGCGATGTTGGCCGGGATGACCTTTTTATCCTTGATTTGGAAGGCCAGGCGCTTGAAGAAAGCTTCATAAGCTTCACGAGTAGATCCGCAGACTCGAGAGGATTCCAACAAGGTTGAATTCTTCATCTTTACCGCCGGGTTGCGGCGTAGGAAGCGGTCCACATATCGCTCCCCAATGGTCTTTTTCGTGCCGGCCTCATTGAGTATAGCTTGAGCGAATCTCTGCACCTGACGACGGCTAGGAGCCCTGCCTGCAGCCTCCTCATTGAGGCACCAGTCGGCTAGGAAGCTTTCCTGCGCATTGGAGAGGTTTCTTTCGGCTTGTTTACTTTGTGCTCGATTTTCTGCCCCGTGGATGCGTTTGCAGAGGGTAGAAGGAGGGATCCCGAAGTCATGCGCGGCCTGCTTCTGCGATGCGCCCTGTTCAACTGCAAGTATTGCAGATTGAATTAACTGCTCTCGACGGTTCGACATGATGTATTTTGAAGCTATTCGAGCCTGAATTGATGAAGTTGTGTTGTGTTGAAGTTGAAGGGCGGGAAATTAGATGACAGGGGCAGAGATTTCGTTGTGGGGCGATTTCTTTGTTGGGTCGCCACGTCTAGATATAGATAGCATCAACGAAATCCAACACTTGAACCACCAGTATACGGCGCGCAGCGCGCCCTGTTGATTCCAGTACCGGTACCTGGTAGTTCCAACACTCACGTACCCCATCCCAATACTAATTAATGATTTAAGCAGCCGTACTACCGCCTCGTAGCCGTTCTCCGCGGCTCTCGACAGCGGCGTCCGGCCGCCGTCATCCGTCAAATCGATACTGGCGCCCTTCTCGAGCAGCAGCCGTACAGCCGCCTCGTGGCCGTTCGCCGCGGCCCTCGACAGCGGCGTCCGGCCGTCGTCATCCTTCAAATCGATACTGGCGCCTTCTCGAGCAGCAGCCGTACAACCGCCTCGTGGCTGCTTGCCGCGGCCCTCGACAGCGGCGTCTGGCCGCCGTCATCCGTCAAATCGATACTGGCGCCCTTCTCGAGCAGCAGCCGTACAGCCGCCTCGTGGCCGTTCGCCGCGGCCCTCGACAGCGGCGTCCGGCCGTCGTCATCCTTCAAATCGATACTGGCGCCTTCTCGAGCAGCAGCCGTACAACCGCCTCGTGGCTGCTTGCCGCGGCCCTCGACAGCGGCGTCTGGCCGCCGTCATCCGTCAAATCGATACTGGCGCCCTTCTCGAGCAGCAGCCGTACAGCCGCCTCGTGGCCGTTCGCCGCGGCCCTCGACAGCGGCGTCTGACTGGCGCCCTTCTCGAGCAGCAGCCGTACAACCGCCTCGTGGCCGTTCGCCGCGGCCCTCGACAGCGGCGTCCAGCCGTAGTTATCCGTCAAATCGATACTGGCGCCCTTCTCGAGCAGCAGCCGTACAACCGCCTCGTGGCCGTTCGCCGCGGCCCTCGACAGCGGCGTCCGGCCGTAGTTATCCTTCAAATCGATACTGGCGCCCTTCTCGAGCAGCAGCCGTACAACCGCCTCGTGGCCGCTCTCCGCGGCCCTCGACAGCGGCGTCCAGCCGTAGTTATCCTTCAAATCGATACTGGCGCCCTTCTCGAGCAGCAGCCGTACAACCGCCTCGTGGCCGCTTGCCGCGGCCCCCGACAGCGGCGTCTGGCCGCCGTCATCCGTCAAATCGATACTGGCGCCCTTCTCGAGCAGCAGCCGTACAACCGCCTCGCGGCCGTAATCCGCGGCCCTCGACAGCGGTGTCTGGCCGCCGTCATCCGTCAAATCGATACTGGCGCCCTTCTCGAGCAGCAGCCGTACAACCGCCTCGTGGCCGCTCGCCGCGGCCCTCGACAGCGGCGTCCGGCCGCCGTCATCCGTCAGATCGATACTGGCGCCCTTCTCGGGCAGCAGCCGTACAACCGCCTCGCGGCCGTTCTCCGCGGCCCTCGACAGCGGCGTCCGGCCGCAGTAATCCTTCAAATCGATACTAGCGCCCTTCTCGAGCAGCAGCCGTACAACCGCCTCGTGGCCGCTTGCCGCGGCCCTCGACAGCGGCGTCTGGCCGCCGTCATGCTTCAAATCGATACTGGCGCCCTTCTCGAGCAGCAGCCGTACAACCGCCTCGTGGCCGCTTGCCGCGGCCCTCGACAGCGGCGTCCAGCCGTATTTATCCTTCAAATCGATACTGGCGCCCTTCTCGAGCAGCAGCCGTACAACCGCCTCGTGGCCGTTCGCCGCGGCCCACGATAGTGGCGTCTGGCTATGCTCCTTATACTTTGCCTCGACGTTGATACTCCTGTCGTCGAGAAGTAAATCATCCATTATCCTCAGCACCTCCTCATCCGCCTCTCTCCCAAAGCCGTGACCTAGGTCAGTTTCATCTACGCTTCCTAATCCTTCTCTAGACCTATAAATTTCCACAGCTTTTTGGAGATTCTTTGCCGCAACGTCATATCTTGCTATTCTATTCAGCAACACTCCGAAATTCCATAATCTGGTCGTTTTGTCCAGGCCATGCCAGCACTGACACTTTGCCACTGGACATTTGGGCACTTTTCGACTGCTTATCAACTTTTCATAGTCTTCCCCATCTTGCAACTTTCTTCGAGATTCATCCCAGTCCCAGACCACGAGTAAATCCATTGGGAAGGCTGTTACTGAGGCTGAACGCTGTCGTACATCGTCTGTCAAGGGAACCGCAATCATAATAATAGTCGAAAACCCGTCGCATAACCTGACGATTGTAGGCGAAGATGCTCCTTGCAAGAGACAGACGACGTCGCCTTTCTTAACGGCTTTTGCTGAGGCCTGGAAGGTGAAACGAGAGCTCTGTTTTTCTTCCGGGCCGAAATGGCTTGGCGTATCCTCCCAGGTAATCTCCACGTGCTGTCTGTTATGCCGAGTAGCATCCTCTCCAACTGAGGATACTTCGCCGAGAATGCAGCATCTTGCTTCAATCACCGCCACCTCCACACCGTCCCAAGTGCTGACGGACATCTGGTCGGAGAGGCAGAATTGAACAAGATTCTTGAAGACTTCTCCCCATGCGGCCTCGTAATTGACATCTAGTCTTCCTACATGTAGATTATCATTGCTCATACCAAGCAAGGCATACACCTTGTCGAGAGGAACGGTAGCCTTGTGCGTATGGTACATATCCACTAGCTGGCCTAGAGGGTGTATACCTAGGGAAAACCTGTCTTGTAGATTGGTTTCGTATCCTTCGTATCTAGGCCGGAATACTGCGCCTCTTATAAGGTAGACTATCGGAGGAATCAGACCTAGCAGATGTGGGCGCGTTTCGTAGGACAGGTTTAATGCGCTCAGGCCTGAGCAGAACGCATACCCGTCGATCTCCGTAGGACCACATTTAATTAAGATATGTCGAGCTGCAGCAACCTCCTGGAGGACCTGAACTCATTGTCAATGGCGATTCCCTACTCTTTGGTCGTCTGCCACGTACCCAGATGCGTTCAAACCATCTCCGTTCAAGCAAAGTGAGGATATTATTCCGGTTTGTTTCGTCGGCTGGGGAATTCGCGGGCTCTTCGTCTGCAGCTGCGCGAATGTCTTCGAGTGCTTGGTCGCTGCCGTCGGCTTCTTCTCCGAGCCAAACAATTACACGGCTTGCTTTGGAATAGATCTTCGCCATCAACTGAACCTGACGTCCTTTTTCGTCTTTGTCGTCTTGGTTGATGCAAATAGCATCTACCCATAGGATTCTTTCCAGAAAGCAATGTCGAAGATGTGATAGCGCCACGTGAAGGTTGGCCGTGATATATAGCTCATCGCCGTCCACATAGATGGGCTGTTTGTTGTCATCAGATCCCCACACGTATGATAAGGACTCGTACGGATGGGTGCTTGCTGAGTCCAACATAGGAAAGGTAGTGAGCCGGCACTGTATGTGAGAATTCTTATCTGAATGTGGTAAGAGTCGGAGCAGCCGCACACTGCCCTTCGGCAAAGGAATGTACGGGGGCATGGTAGCGTCGGAAGCATAGGCTAGCTAGAGAGAGAGAGATATGTCCCAGAGAGACAATTAGAGAGGCAATCGCGTATGTTCTCGGAATCACTGATTCTTGAGCAATTGAAAAGCTAGATTGGTGGTGCCTGACATCCTTCCGTGTCTGCCCCGCACCGAAGAGGTTTTGTTGGAAAGCTGGCCCCAGTGTAAAGTCTTGGGGTAAGCTGGGGACCCCATTTTACCCTGAAAAAGAGGGGTTTTCCTGGGCTAGGCCCAGAAGGTTGCCCTGCATGCGCCTCCAGGTCAGACTGCCGGCGATTTCCGGGCTTAGTCAGGACCTCGAAAATCCCACAGGTTTCTTCTGTTCTTTTTTTGGTGGTTCCTTGCCGCCTAAACTTCGGTAGGAGGCTTCTCCTGTCAAGCATCGTCCCCGCCTTATTTCCGCCAATACTGTCAACCGCACCTCCACTTATTACTAGACGCAAGCTCCAGGTGCCTATGGAACAGCCCCTGAATCGGACCCCGCACAACACCACAAACTTCAATTGCCAACAACTTTGTCAATTAATTAGCTACAATGATGAAGTCTTCAGTATCGGATTCTCCTGATTCTTCTCTTTCAGAATAACTAAGGTCCTCTCTGCCAGCCTCTCTCTGTGAGGCACGAACCTCCTCAATTCCAGCGAACTGCGTATTAGGGTCGACTTGGACCTTCCTTCTCTTTCGGCCTCTTGTGCGTTCTAGGCTTTTTTCTGCAGCCTCCAATTGATGCGCCGTATTGGCTAGTTGGAAAACCACGTAATCGAAGGCTTTTGCTGCCTTGCGTATGAAAAGTCGGTCGTTGGCAGTCCGTTTTTGGCCGGCTAGAAAAACCTGCCCCTGAATACGGAAATCCTTCGGCTTTTTAGGGGTAAACCATATAGGCCGGCCCTCCGAATTCTTATTTAGAATGGGGTTATGGACCTCTTGAAGGTCTATAGAAACCGTAGAGGTCAGTTGACCAACGTCGCCGTTAGAATTCTTAATAACAAGGCCGTTGCTTAGGGGCTTCCTGAGGCTGACCGGCCAGAGGCCTGTAGCTTTCCAGCCGGCTTTGATATTAGATTCAGTCATTCCATAGACCCTGGCTTGCCGGTAGCATTCTAGGAAGGCCCTCTTTTCAGCAACAGTGCCTTCGTCGAAGCCGGAAACAACCTCGTTATGCTTGGCTCTGTACCGGGCTTTTAGAGGGCCGAAAACCGGTAAATCCAGGGGCTGGAGAACGTGGGAGGTGTGGGCTGGTAGAAATAACAATTGTACGTTATTAGAAAAGGCTAGCCACATGAATTCTTCGGTGGTATGACTACCGTGGCCATCTAAAATAAGGAGGCGCTTCTCCGAGGGGGTAGCTGGCCGAGTCTCTGGAAGAAAGATATTGCGGAGCCATGCGACGGCAGTATCATCGTCAGGCCAGCCGTTTTTAGTGGGTTTCCACTTCCAGCCCTTAAATGGCTGTAAATTGCGTGGATACCATTGTTGTTGAAGGCTTCTATCTTTGAAAATGACGACTGGGTTCAAATACCGGCCGTCAGCGGAAATACATTCGATAATCGAGGTCCAAATTCGGTCTCCTTTCTTCTTTTTCTGGAATTTCTTTCTTTCCTTAGATCCAACAACCAGGCCGTTATCTCCAATGCCAGAAGCAATGCCAGTTTCATCCATATTATACCTATGCTTGGCTGGAACAGCCTCCACGCCTGGAGGCTTCAAATAGTCAAACCAAGGCCGGATAACGGCCTCACAGGCTCGATCAGCACGGTTGGCATGGATTCTCCGAGGCCTAATTGTAGAAATAGATGGATTTCTAGCCAAAAGCCGGCTAGTCCAGCGTTTTCCGAGGGTCTCGTTATCTTCGAGCATTCTTCTAGCTAGTTTCCGAATTTGGGCGTGGGTTGGAGGGTGACCGAGCGACCCTTGGAATAGAATCCATTCGGTTAAGCGTTCTTCCATAGCCGGAGAAAGCTTTTGATTAAGAATTTGGGCCTTGGAGGCTGGCTCGGAACCACGAACCCGATTAAAGAGAGTAGTAGGGGGGATGCCGTGATTTTCAGCAGAGCTACGGAGTAAGCCGGTTTCTGCATACTCTGCCAGCGCATTCTGCAAATCCAACTGAGTATATCGCTTTATCTTTCATTTCTCAATTGAATGGAGAAAAGAAGATAAGTATTGAAGCAGAATTGGTCGAGTTGCAAGCGATTGAAATAGGTGAGTTGGGTGGCGAGCGGCAAGTCCTTGATGACAAACCTTGTTCCAAATCCAGGGGTGTTCCATAAGCAGACCACCTGACTTAACCACCACAACAGCAGAACTGTCCGTTGAGTCTTTGAAGCCGACTTTTTACCAAACAACCATGAAAAATGCTTTCTCGCCAGGATCTTTCTGAAGCCCGGGTTTTGGCCGCCGTCCCGATCAAATAACGGATCAAATAACGCCATGGAAGACTTCGAAGGCCGCAATTACAAGTCCATGGCCGCCGCCGCCTCAAAATATCGAGTCCCGTACTTCAAGTTACAAAGTAGGATTCAGGGTGCTCAGCCGAAGGAAAAGGACGGCGGAAAATGTTACCAAGCTCACGCCTACCGAGGACCTTACCTTCAAAGCTAAGTTGAACGTAAGGATCACGAACGGTTAGTTACTAAGGACTTGGGCTTAACAGCCGATAACAACCGGTAAACTAACTACCTTTCTTTCTTCCAGGCTAAGAACTTCTCGGCTAGAATTGGGGAGAAAGAAGGACAAAGAACGGGGGAAGTTGGAAATAAGCAAGCTAGGGAGGTGCGGTGTATTTATTAAGACCTGGTAGCTTTATCGGTCAAGTGGCTAGTACTTAAGCTTGCTAGTCAAGGTACAAGATTGTAATCCGAACGCGGCATCTGATTAGCTACCCGTGGTAGATCCTACGAACAAAATGGAGCAATCAGAATCCGGCAGTCCCAACTACAGCAAATATATTCCACGGCTGTTGGAATAGCGACACTTTGGGCCATGCAACAAAGGATGGAGAGGGTCAGGTGCGCAGGCACGTGACGGAGGAACGTGCTGCCCGGGCGCCGCCCCTTCATTAGGCCCCCACAGCTGGAACCATAAGTAGCACAAAACATGAATCAACGTACTATTCAGTATCCCGGTATGACTCTGTCGGTGCCGTTCAATTGTTTGGCATTTTGCTGTACCGCGATAAATGCCCGTGTTAAAGGACGGTGAGGGGACTGGTGTGGCGCCGTGGGTGGTCTGCATCATAACTTTTCAATGTGTCCTCCTTCCAGCCAATCACAGAGGCGGTAGGGCCAACCCTCCGAGTCTGCTGCCATCCGAGCGCAACCCGCCGAGACGGCTGCAGAGACGGGCCGAAGAAAGTTCAGCCACGGCGGAAGAAATGGACGCTGGGTGGTCGGGCTGGCAAGTGGCTGTTCGCGTCGAGCATGTTCATGGCACGGACAGAGCTGGGGAGAGGCTGAGTAAGGACGGTGAGGGGAGTGGTGTGGCGCCGGGGGTGGTCTGCATCGAGCGGGAGATGGCCAATGACAGACGGGAATCCCGGGGGAGCGGTTTCAAGTCGGCGAGTGGGTGGCGCGATGATTGGAGGCGGATCGAGATGCACCGTTGCCGGAATTTGCCGCAGTAGTAGTAAGGTAATTATCTGGTGTATTGTGGTAAACTTCGGATGAGGCTAGGCGGGCGTGTGAAAACAAGAAAGAACAAACCTGACCAACGTAGGGCTGATTGCCAAGGCAGAGTTTTTTTTTTTGGGGGGGGAGGAATGGGGGCCAGCTGCAGCACGGCTCAGGGGCTTAGACGGGCGCCCGCAGAGTTGTCCCAAATTGGAGTCAAGCTTCGAGTTGGTGTGGAGGGAGGGTTTTCGCTGCAACAGCCCGTTGCGCGCCGGCGATTGGCTGCACCGCCCGGGCAGGTGCTGAGAAAATTCCAGCCCGCCGAGCCCGAGCCCGTCCGCTGCTGTGGATGGTCTGTTCCTGCATTTTTGGACATCGTGGCTGCGTCGGAATAGCTTCAGCCGCACCCAACTCTGCTATCCCGACAACATACACAGGACGGGAGCGACAGAAAGTCGTGCGTGCAACGGTTTATTTTTCGCTCATGCTTTGTGCCTGGATTAGTTTCTGGTCTCCTGCGCGCCATGCACGCGTGCAGCATGCGCAGCACCCGCGGCATCGCCAGTCGTCGTCTCGGCAGCAACGCGCATGGCGGCAGCAACGCACATGGTAACAGCAACACGGCGGACAGGGCCTGACCAGAGTGGTGGGCTCAGGGCCATGCATGACTCGGCCTGCATGTGGTGGCTTCGTCTCGGAGCCGTACCCCTTTTCTTGGCTTTCGATTCGCGACTGCCTTTAGTAGTGATTTCCCATCGGAGATGTCGCGTGTGGGAGGGACAACGTCTTCTTCACTCCTTTGACACGTAAAACGGTTGACGAAGTTGTGCGCTTCGATTCCTTCCTATCCTTTCTTCTCTTTTTGTGACTTCACTTTTTGTGCCTTCTCTTTTTGTGCCTCCACCTGTCGCTCCTTACCGCCTGCAAGATGAATCATTGACATTCGTGTTGCCGTCGCTCGCTCATTTGACTGGCCCGTCTTCCACTTTTACTTCTCAAATTGCCACTTGAACGAGACCCTTTCTCCTTCGCGACCGGCCTTCGTACCCACCATGGCCTTCTTTGGGAGCGGCGGCTCTTCGGAGCGGAGGAAGAGCAGGAAGATAAAACTCACAAGTAAATACGCCCCTTGGCGAGGGTTAAGACGGGACTTGGCATGAGCTGGGGCTAACAGCACCGGGCAACAGGAAAGGGAAACCCGACGTCGAGGCCGTTTCTGTCGCGCCTCTACGGCCTGGCCACGACCATAGCCATGACTCTGGCGCTGATCGGAGTCATCATCTTCCTACACAAGACGCTGCCCGACGGCGCCGCCTCGAGCTTCGACCCGTCGGCCCAGTCGCTTCGGCCCCGCCGCATGGGCGCCGGGCCGCATGCCAGAGTTGCAGAGCAGGTAGAGAGGCGGGCGGAGGTGGTCCGGCCGATATTCACGGCCCCACGGCTGTCCCTCGGCCTGCTCACGTCGACCGTGTCCTGCACGACAAAGATCATACCGGCCAAGATGGCCAAGCGGTACCAGCAGGTGTCGTGCACCACCAGCTTCTACTTTGTAGCGCCCACGACGACGACGACGACGACGGCCGCGCCGCCGCGCTTCACCGTGATAAACCCAACCCGCATTGTGACTTTCCGCCCGCCGCCCCCGCCGCCCACCTCGGGTCCCTGCATCACGAGCGTTGTGGTGTGTCCGATAGTCAAGGGACGGGACCTGCAGGGCCGCCAGGCTTGCACCGACTCGTACTTTAGCATTCCCGGCTGCACGCCGACGACGACAGCCGCGCCCACGACCCTGCCGACGACGACAGCCGCGCCCACGACCATGCCGACGACCAGCGTGGATCCGTGCTCAAACACCACTCGCGTCTACTGCCCGGCAGTCGTCGCTCACGTCTGCATCACGACCGTGATTGCTCAGACCCGCGAGGGCTGCCTTGTCACCAATACGACTAGCATCCCAGCTCCGACCAACTCGACGTCGCTCCCGCCGCCGTCGGTGCCCGTCACGACGAATTCGACCACCACGGCCACTACGAACACGACGTCGTTCGCGCCATCGTCGATCCTGCCGTCTTCAGTTCCCATCAGCAATTCTTCGAGCGTCCCGGTGACAAACACGACATCCTTCCTCCCGTCTTCGGCGCCGCCGTCCTCGATACCGGCTAGCAACTCGTCAAGCATCCCGGTAACCAACACGACTTCTCTCATCCCGTCATCGGCACCGCCGTCTTCAGTCCCCGCGTCCTCCACCGCGTCTGCTCGGCCGTGCACGACAACATGGGTCGACTGCCCGCCCGAGATCGTCAAGCGCGACGAAGAAGACGGTTGCAGCACCGTCACGTCGACCTTTTCATACTGCCTGCCCAACTCGACGACCACCGCGGCCCCGTCATCGACGTTCAACCTCACCAGCTCGGCCCCTCCGGTTTCGAGCGCTCCGCCGAGCCGGCCAGCCTTCTCGTCGCTTCCCGCCTTCACCAACTCGTCAATCCCCGCGTCGTCGAGCAGCAGCAGCGCGCCTCCTTCGTCCACTATTATTATCGTGAGCTCGACCTCGCCGCCGCCGGCGTCGAGCGCGCCCCCGGACCCTATCTGCAGCATCACCTCGGTGACGTGCGTGACCACGACCACGGTTGATGTCATCTTCCGCCGCGGCGTCGTCACGAGCTGCGACACGTTCTGCTACACGCCCTCGTCGTCGGTTGCCGTCACCGTGGTGTCGAATTCGTCGTCCAGCAGTGCGGTCCTGTCGTCTGTGTTTTCGTCGGTGTTCTCATCGGTGCCGCCGAGTGCGGTTTCGTCGAGCGTAGTTTCGTCAGCAGCTTCATCTCTAGTGTCGTCTTCGTTTCCAACATCTTCGTTATTTTCTTCGGTGTTTTCTTCATCTGTGCCAGCGTCGTCTTCGGCATTCTCTTCATCCTCACCAAGCTCAAGCACGGTTTCTTCAAGCCAAACACCGATTATCAGCTCAACTCCAAGTGCACAAAGCAGCACTACAAGTAGCACGACAAGTAGCACGACAAGTACCACGTCTAGCTCCAGCTCCGGCTCCAGCTCCAGATCCAGCTCCAGCTCGGCAGTCACAACGCCTGGAACCACGACAGCCCCGACCACAAGCTACAGCTCAACGACGCCAACTTCAGCAGCATCAACCACATCTATCTCCTTGACCCCTCCAGCCAAAGTCCTGGTCGTCTCATCGTCAGCCTCGAGCTCGACGGTGACTCCGGTCTCTTCTACCGCTAGTAGCCGCAGCGCCAGCGGCATCAGCAGCACTAGCAGCACCAGCACTAGCAGCACCAGCACTAGCACCGGCAGCAGCACCAGCAGCACCAGCAGCACCACCTCACCTTCCAGCTCAACACCAAACTCCCTTCCCCCCACCACCACAGCAACAACACCATCAACCACACACGCCATCCCCACCGCAGCCTTCGACTCCGCCGCCCCACCCAGCACCACCGCAACACCACTAATCGCCATCGCCGGCGGGAACAGGCCAAACAACACCACCAGCAACACCCCGCACGCCAACCGCGAAGGCGACTTCGCCATCTGGCCGTCCGGCTGGGGCGCGCGGCAAGCGATTGCATCCAACTTCGCGCCCGTCATCGCCGCGCGCGGCGCCACGCTGGTCCTCGGCGCGCTGTACAGCCAGCTAGCGCTGCACGAGCCGGTGCGGCAGCTGGTGTCAGCCTCTGGGATCTCCGGCGCAGCCCTCGCCGGCTCTTCCTCCTCCGGGTGGGTTTTCGGCGCCGCGGCGGTCGTGGCGCAGCTCGGCAGCGCCTTCGCAGGCGGGGCATCGTTTGTCGACACGACGTATTGTCAGAGTGGTCCGGGATCCGGGGGCGACCTCAACCCGTGCGCGCCGCGCGTCAGCGTGAATCGCTGGGTGCTGGACGTGCTGGTCGTAGTGTGCGTGGTGCAGCTGGGCGCGCTGGCGGGGGCGGTGGCCAAGTGGTTCCAGAAGCCCGGCGGGCTGGCGGCGGACCCGACGACGATCGCCGGCGTCGCCGTCGTCATGGGCCATCCCGAGGTTGAGAGGTTGTTTACCGCGCTGCCGGGCGACGCGTCGCACCAAGAGCTCAAGGCAGCGCTGCGGGGCCGGCGGTTTCGGTTGGGCGCCTTTATCACCGAGGCTGGCGTGGAGAAGTACGGGATCGTGCCGGTGCCGGAGGAGGAGGAGCCAAAGAAGAAGGGGGATGGGCCCTGGGCGAGGGTTGGCGAGAGGCTGGCGGGGGTGCGTGAGAGGCTGGCGCTGTTCGAGAGCTGGCAGCACAGCCGGCTGTTTTTTGATATGCTGTTCGCGGCGCTGCTGCTCGCGCTGCTGGGGCTCGCGCTCGCGGCGCTTGCGAGCGTCGACAACCCGCAGTCTGTATTCTTTACGGCCGAGTCGGCGGCCGGCGGGCCCGGCGGCACGGCCATGAAGATCCTGTTTGCGCTGCTGGGCGTCGCCGTGTCGGCGTACTGGGGCCGGCTGTTCCAGGGTGCGTTGCCCCCCCGTCCCCCCCCCCTTTTTCCATGCGTACAATGCAAACTGAATAGCTAACTTGTTGGTGTAGACACGCAGACATTCACGCCGTACTTCCCGCTGCGCGAGGGCGAAGCACGGCCGGCGCCGACGATCCTGCTCAACCGGCACACGAGCCCGCTGTGCGCACTGCTGCCGCTGGCGCGCAACGGGCACGTGGCGGCGGCGTCGGTGGCATTCACGGGGCTGGTGGCCGAGTTCCTCATCATCTGCCTGTCGGGGCTGCCGTACCGGCCGGGGCAGCTGCGGAGTGAGTTTGTGTTCTGCGGCGCGGCGAGCGCGGGCATCCTGTGCCTGATGCTCGCGCAGCTGGCCCTCGTCATGCTGTGGCGCCGGCGGCTACCGCACCTGCCGCGGCGGCCCGACTCCATCGCCGCCGTCATGACGTACGTGGCCGGCACCGCCATGGTGCGCGACTTCTGCGGCCTCGAGAGTCTTAGTACCCGCCGGCGCAACAAGGCCATCCGCGACATGGGCAAGGTCTATGCCTACGGCTGGCGGCGCGGCGCCGGCGAGGATGGGCGTGCTGTCGTGCGCTGGGTCGTCGACGAGGTGCCCGGCCAGCAGCTCAAGTTGGCCGCTGACAGCTGCGGCGTGTCGGCTCGCTCGCGTCTTAGTGTTGACAGGCCCGAGAGCCGGGACAAGCCTCCCCTTCCCCAGGCCCAGCAGCGCGAGTACGCTTCCGCGCATGGGTACTACGGCTACGAGAGGCCGGTGTAGATGGATGACATAGATGGATGACACGTAGTTAGAGTCTTGGATATATGTGTAGATGAGTAATGGACGAATGACTTGCAATCTTCTTGATCTACGCGCATCCTGCAGAGGCTTCAGGACAAATAAAGACGGGACGTAAGCTTTTGATACCCTAAAAATAAACCACCAGTCGACCAGTCAGAGCCGCAAATTAGTTCTTGTGGTCTTCAATTCAGCATGATTGGGCCGTTCTTCATTCTACTTACTTTGCTCGGTGTAATGGGAAAGATGTCCACCTTTCTCTTGACGGGACTAAAGTGAAGTAATCGGGTTTGATTGGAAGTGTCAGTGGGGATGTATTTACATTTATTTCCACCATTGATTTCCACTCGCTCTGGTCTATCAACATATCAAGTCTCAAAGGAAAAGGGATGAAGGGGGCGAGAGGGGAATGAAGTGGAAGGGGAAGTACAAATGGGTAATTACAATAGCAATGAGAAGGGGTGGAGATGGCGATTGAAGGGGCAACGGATAAGGATAAGGGGGTTTTGGTGTGGAGGGGAAGGGCAATATTAATGCAAGGGATGTGTGAGCCGGGGAATGAACAGAGAAAATTCAAAGAAAGAAAAATAGCCCCGATAAATACAATGCCATACCCTCAAGGCCCGGCCCTGAAGCAAACCCCATCACAACTTCACAGAAATCTCGACGTCCTTCAGACTGAGAAAATGGTCAGCCACACCACCGTCTCACTCATACATCAAAGACACCACCCACCGCTCGAGCCTGTCCAAACAAGCTCACCCACACGACGAGACCTAAAACTTGATCCCGCCGACAGCGCCACCAACCTGGCCCGCAACACCGCCAGCCTGACCTAAATTCTTGCCTGCGCCAACTACGGCTCCCGCGCCCTTGTTCGCCACATCGCCGGCCTCTTTGCCGGCTGCACCGGCGGCGCCCTTGGCAACGTCCATGGCAATATCTTGCTTGGAGAAGCAGCTGCCCATCGTGAATTATGTCGTGTGCGTGTCGTGTGGGGGAAGTTGGCTGAGGGTTTCCGTCGGGGCTCGGAGACTCGGGAGGCGTGCAAGAGAGGTCGACAAACAAAAAGGGGGGCTTTGAGAGGGGGGCTTTGAGAGGGGGGGCTGAAGAATCTCTGGCTGTGGCAGAGGCTGAGAATCACAACGAGGGATGGTGGGATGGTCTTGTCATCAGCAGAGCCAAGACTGCTTCAACAAAGACAGCACGCCGCCGAGTTTATATGCGCCGCCGTGCCACTGTGCCAGCGCCAAACATGCACAGAAAGACAAAAGAAATCGTTAGAATAGCGAGACGAAAAGGGGGCCGAGAGGGAAAAGGCGCGTTTTGCTGTGCACCCTCCAGATCTGGCCAGTGGGATGAAAGAGGCCGGGCCGAGCCGGACCGGAGAGTAAGAGACCTTGACACACCATCCCGTTTCCTGCCGAGTCTATTGCATGATTGCACTTGCATTATGTGAGACCGCGGCGTGGGGAGAAGTGCTCCCAATTGTTACTAGATAGCAAGGTGAACCCCCGAAAAGAAAGAAAAGAAAGCAAAGAGAGAAAAGGAATGAAAAGAACGAAAAACAGTTTTTGTCCGGCACACAGCTAGAGCACAAACGCGAACCTGACAGGAAGACCCCAAAAACACATTGAGGGTTTGGAACTGGGACCAACGCGGATGTATCAAATAAGAACCTGAGAGCGGCAACTTGCAAAACAGGCGGCCGGGAAACCGCACCTACCCAGGGTCCAGAGTCCGCGGGCGGCGCAGACGGCAACTCCAACCCGAGCCGGCTCAGACACGTCTCGGACGGTGCCCTGGGGATGGGGGGCGGCGTCGAACGGTTGCGCCGCACGGCAAACACGGAACGCAAAACACACACACACGTACACACACGGCCCAGCATACCTAGGTCAATCATCTGATGGGCCCCTTAAGACGAGAACGCGCCGCCAACCTACTTATTCGGAATAAATTACTATTTGTTTTAGGACGGACGCGGTCGGACGGACGGCCTGCGAGCGACTTGCGACGGGTCGTTGGTAGCGGTGGCGGTGGCATGGAGCGGCGCAAACTGTGCATGCGAAACTGAACAGGTGTGCACATCTTGTTTATTGTTCCCGGTCTAGGTGGCACCAACTCGCCGTTGCCGCTGGGGTGCCGTGGTTGGTTTTCTAGCCCGAGGTGGCCATTTCGTTTTGATGAGATCATTGAGATGTTTTGGTGGTTGATAATTAGATGCCGTGATGAGCAAGCTGCTTGTTGTCTTCAAACGGGGGTCGAGTGGACTGTGCAAGACATTCAATCATGTTTTGACCCCTTTTTAAATCGGATTAATTACACTTTCCGACCTGCTTTTAGCTTTCTGTTTTCATGTGTTCTTTTTCCTCTCTCCTTGCCCCCTTGAATCCCGGCCACACACAACCCAGTCTAGTCGACAACCCCCTTTGGCAGTATCGCGACATAGTCCAGCGGCGCCCCCTCGTTCCCGTCGGCCAGGCCAATGATCTTGAGCACATCGCCCCGCTTGACGTCGACGTTTGGGATGGTGATGCGCGTGGCCGAGTGAGCGTCGAGCTTGGTCGAGAATTCGTGGCCCAGGTGGTCCTCCAGATCGCCATACCACTCGTGCAGCGGCTCGCCGTTGAGGAAGGCACCGTAGTGCGCCCGACCACCAGCAACATCGAAGTAGCCGACGGCGATGTCGTACGTGCCCAAGGGGAAATCCAGCACCGTCGCGGCCTCGCCGGACCCATTGTTGTTAGGGCCCGAGCCGACGACGATGGCGGTGGAATTCGACGCGGCCTCGAACGGGTCGACGGCCACGGGCCGGTAGCCGCCGCTGAGCGCCATGCTCTCGGCCTCGATGCGGTACGGGTGGTGGCCGACCCGGCTGGCCTCGTCGGCGATGCCCGAGAGGTTGTAATAGTAGCCGGCGACGGCGTCCCGCCACACGAGCGCGTGACCCGCCTGGAACCGCAGCTTGAATAGCACGTCGTCAAACCGTGCCCCGTCTACCTTGCCCTGCAGCGACTGCCACGCCGGCACAAACGTCTGTGCCGCCGCCGCGCCGTCATAGTGGGCGTCGTAGAAGTGCTGAATCACTGTCTTGCCCGAGTGCAGGCGGTGCGTGTAGTTGACGTGATGGAACCACAGGAGGAGGTTGTCGGGAGTCGTCTCGAGATTCTCAAACACGGCGGCCACCTCGGGAGGATACTGGCCCGAGTTGCCGGTGCCGTTGGACACGGTTCTGTCCATGCCGATCGTGCTTTTGTCGGCACGCGTCCACTGGCCCCATCGGTTCTCTTGGCACTGCGGACAGGGGCCAAAGTGTGTGTAAAGAATGTCGGTCAGCGTCTGAATGCCGAGGTTGCCCGTGTAGTTCTCATAGGCTGGCCACGACGCCATGGAAATATCCGTGATGACCTTGACCACGCTCGGCTCCGACCCAAACGTGAGGCGGATCCAGTCCTGCAGAAGAGACTGAACATCTCCTGTGGGATCCCAGGCCAGGCGGCCGTAGGCGTACAGATTTGACATGGCGAGGTGGCTGCCGAGCCAGTTCGGGTTAGTCCCAACGTTGACGACGCCGGCATACCCGCCGAGAGTCCGGTTGAAGCGCTGACCCGAGACAATATCGCGGACGAGAGAGGGCTTGCCGCCGACCCTCATGTCAAAGTCCAGGATGGTCTTCCACAGCGGCGGTGTATAAACCAAGTGGTCCTGCTGACCCAGATATTCCTGCGTGATCTGGAGCTCGATGGCCGCGTTGGTGTTTGGCAGGTGGGCAAACAGCGGCGACGCCGGCTCTCGGACCTGGAAGTCGATGGGCCCGTACTTGATCTGGACGATGACGTTGTCGAGGAACTCGCCGTCCAGCTCCTTGAAGAAGTCGTAGGCAGCGTTGGCCCTGTCATCTTTCCACACGGCCGGGTTCATGTTGGAGTTGTAGACAAAGGCCCTGAACATGATGATGCCACCGTGGGGCCGCAAAGCCCGGGCGAACAGATTCGCGCCGTCAGCGAGCGTGCGGTTGTATGTCAGGGGCCCGGGCTGCCCCTCGGAATTGGCCTTGACGAGATATCCCGCCCAGTCTGGGATTTGCTGGTAAATCTGGTTCGTCTTTGCTTCCCACCAAGCAATGACGGTCGGATCTAGGGGGTCAAAGGTGGCGGTTTCTTTCAGCCCGTCGGGTCCCGGAGAAGCAAAGTTGAGCGAGATGCCCACCCTAACCCCGTACGGACGCATGGAATCAGCAATGCGCTTCAGGCCGGCAATGGTCTCGTTGGTCAGCATCCGGGGGTTGGCGTTGACGTTGTTGACGACAATGCCGTTGATGCGAACTGAGGCGAGCAGGCGGGCATACTGTGACACTCGGGTCAGGTCGGTGGCAACCGAGCCGTTGGCAAAGAAGATAGAACGTCCTGCATAGCCCCTCTCGATGGTGCCGTCCATGTTGTCCCATTCGTTGACCCAGCGGATGGGAGCATCAGGGTTTGATACAATGTCGGCATCGGCAAAGTTTCCCTGGGCGATCCTCGACAGGTATTCGAACGCGCCGTATAGTGCACCTCGCCCATTCTGGCCAACTATGGTCACAGCGCCGCCCTTGATGTTGAGCCAGAAGCCATCGGGTACAAGATCAGTGCTGAGGTTCTGGCTACCAAGTTTGTCGTATGCCGAGAGCGTGCCGACCAAGACAAAGGACGAGTTAAATGAAGTCCAGGCCGAGTGCTCCTGTGAAATCTTGAGCTTTCGCCCCAAGATCCGTTGGATTCCGTCCTGAAGTTCCTGTCCAGCCGTATAGACGGGACTCGTGCTGGTCGAGTTCAGGGCGACAATGTGGGACGGAAGTGACGATGCATATTGCTGTCGCTGACCGTCGGGCAGCGGTGCGTATCGCAGCCAGCCACTGAGACCGTTCTCGGCAACCGCGACGGCAGCCACGAGAGCCAGCAGTCCCCAGCGAGCTCTCATTGTTTCAGCTCGCTACTTACTAGTAGCCATCAACCCAGAACCAGATCCTGACATGGATCCTCACCTGGCTGTTTCTCCCGTCCAACAATGGCACGTTTCTGTTTTATACACCATGGCACCTCGACCCCTTCCCCTCAAATCTCCACCCGAGATTCGGCCCTGGCCTATTGACCCCAGGTCCCAAGACGGAGTAAAGCAGTCTTTATTTCTTCCGCCCAGCAGCCAAACTGTCCAGTGTTCAGGCTAACAGACCCCGGCAATCCCAATCAGCCTGAATCAAGGGCAAAGAGCTGCGTAACCGCCGTGGACCGCCGAACCTGACCTTCTCGGCCCGGTATCCGCATTTCGCAGGTTAGCCGCGCCTCGCCCATAACCCGGCGAGCTTGCCCGACCGAAAACGAGGTTCTGGTTGCCTCTCGTGCCATTCCCGTCGCGCATCTACCCGAACCGCAGACTCGGGCATCAGCTAGGTACTGTGACGGCCGCAATGGAATCTGGTACCAATATTCAGGTCTGTATTCTCCCACTCGTGATCCCAACATGTAAGTCTTGCGTCTCAAAATTGGCGACGGTCAATTCGCGGTGACCATTGCACCAAAAAGGAGGAAGAAATTTAAAAAAGAAATCGTGAGAATGGTTGCAGCTTCGCAAGGTCCCAGGAGCATTGCAATTCCAACTCAAGTGTTGCCGTGACAGACCTTGCCTACCGAGGCAAGGTAACGGCAATTGAAACAAATCCGAGTTTATTATTTATTTGCATCGAGTGGATTGTCGCAAGTTTGGCAGATCTAGAGACGATGTGGGGCCGGAATTTCCATCTCGCTTAAGAGCAATGGCCCCCACCCCCCACGTCGGGTGCGGAAAATCTCAGTGGCAGCCACACTTCCACGTTCAGCCACACAAGCCCCAGCCGGCTCAGCTGGGACCCGCTCTTCGCAAGGCAACAGGAGCTTGAGGTAAGCTCGAGCGAGGCCGACCGACGTCGTCACGAACTAGCGGCCTGAATCCAAACCAAGCCCAACAGCACCAAACCACCGCGCACCTCGCCCCATCCACAAAATCACATCCGTCGGCAATCGACCGCCCCACGAGAAGCGACAAGCAACGACCCTCTCTCCACACCCACCAATTCTCCGCCGAGCGATCGACCAAAGTCGCCATTCGCCGCGACTTTTGGCCAGCGTGTCGCGCCGCCCCTTTAAACCTCCTCCACACCCACAACCAGCGCCATGGCATCAGATCAGGAGCGCAAGCACGCTCTCTCGTCCTTCAAGACGAAGCTGATCGAGTCGCGCGAGTGGGAGGCCAAGCTCAAGAACCTGCGGCTGGAAATAAAGGGCCTGCAGAAGGAGTTTGACAAGACGGAAGAGAACATCAAGGCATTACAGAGCGTCGGCCAGATTATTGGCGAAGTCCTCAAGCAGCTAGACGATGAGAGATGTGCGTATCCCTCTCCCTAATCCCAATTCTGCATCCTTCCCGTGCTTGCTTTTTCTACCAAGGGAAAGCAGAAACGCTAACTCTATCCCCTCCGCCACAGTCATCGTCAAGGCCTCCTCTGGCCCCCGCTACGTGGTCGGCTGCCGCTCAAAGGTCGACAAGGCCAAGATGAAGCAGGGAACACGGGTGACGCTCGACATGACGACGCTCACCATCATGCGCATGCTCCCGCGGGAGGTCGACCCGCTCGTGTACAACATGTCGCTCGAGGACCCTGGCCAAGTTAGCTTTGGCGGCATCGGCGGTCTCAACGACCAGATTCGCGAGCTGCGAGAGGTTATCGAGCTCCCCCTCAAGAACCCGGAGCTATTCCTACGCGTCGGCATCAAGCCGCCCAAGGGCGTGCTTCTCTACGGACCGCCCGGCACCGGCAAGACGCTGCTTGCCAGGGCCGTTGCTAGCAGTCTGGAGACAAACTTCCTAAAGGGTGAGTCTACATCCTGGCTAGCATCAACAAAACCCGACGACTTTTTTGTGCTTTTAAGCCTCTGCTGACCTTCCCGCCATTACAGTTGTCTCGTCGGCGATCGTCGACAAGTATATCGGCGAGTCCGCACGCCTGATCCGGGAAATGTTTGGCTACGCTAAGGAACACGAGCCCTGTATCATCTTCATGGACGAGATCGATGCCATTGGCGGGCGCCGCTTCAGCGAGGGAACTAGTGCTGACCGCGAGATTCAGCGCACGCTTATGGAACTACTAAACCAGCTAGACGGGTTCGACTACCTCGGAAAGACCAAGATCATCATGGCGACGAACCGCCCCGACACGCTGGACCCGGCGCTGCTGCGCGCTGGGCGGCTGGATCGCAAAATCGAGATCCCGCTGCCCAATGAGGTGGGCCGTCTCGAGATTCTCAAGATCCACGCGGCGAGCGTGGTACTAGAGGGCGATATCGATTTCGAGAGCGTCGTGAAGATGAGCGACGGTCTAAACGGTGCCGATCTGCGGAACGTGGTTACCGAGGCGTATGTTGTCACATTTACTGTCAATGCAAGTTTTTCCCGCTAACACTTGGCTTGCAGGGGTCTTTTTGCCATCAAGGCCTGGCGCGACGCCGTCAACCAGGACGACTTCAACAAGGCGGTGCGCAAGCTTGGCGAGGCAAAGAAGCTGGAGGGCAAGCTCGAGTACCAGAAGCTGTAAGGGGGTACTTGTTTTCAGCGTTTGGGGGGTGAAGCGGCATGGAAAGCGATTATACAAAGAGACAGCAGACCTGAGCCTGGCAGCCGGCTCGCTCCCCGCGAGCCTCGTTGTAATATTGTAACACTAGCAAATGACTATACACCAGCTGTTGGAGAGGCTCTCTTGTAGTTACTCGGCACGTTGCTGATCTGCCTGACGTGTGCAAACCAGCGCGGTCGAAAATGTCAAGCACACACGAAATGTTTCGTTTCCAGGGTGAGGGTTGTTGGCTAACGAATGGCATCAACAGACAAGAAAGGGGTACAGTACTCCGTACTTCAGCTTCAACCTTGGCAAAAAGAAGGTTGGCGAGTTGTCCATATTAGCACTCTGCATGCAAATCTAAGGGTCCTGCAGGGAGATTTTTACATACACGACGCTAAGTGTCATTGCTATTGGCGTCTGCTCAAGCGGCCCCCATGCTTTTCACCTTGCCTTGATTACCCAACCTAACCTACTTACAATTGTCGGTAAACAAACTGGATTAATAAATGTGTTATCTCTCTGGTAAGCAGTTTCATGATATGTGCCTTGCGCAAACATGCTTGCGGAATTACCCGCTCAAGTGCTGATAACTAACTAGCCCTAGATCTAATCAGCAACCCGTGTAGTGTGTATACACAAGGGTTAGCTGATCTGCCCTGGAACGGCACAGAGACGACCGAGGACGCCGTGCTGCACATCTAGAGGATGCGCGGGAACGGCTATTAGCGCTGAAGATTGGACCAGTGCTGACGGCACCTAGAAGCGGACTACCTTATTAAGGTCAACTAGACTGGAAAAGCGATTGTAGCACCCGTAGCACCTGCAATTCCTGTGTCAGTATTGTGCCGCCGTTTGTGGCGTCCTCGTCATCATTGTCGATTTGAGCGTGTCGCCTGCGCCAGACATGGTCGTGCTGGATGCACCGCGCCGATTGCACTGTCCCAGCCCACTGAGTCCTCCACTGCAATTCTCTTCAGGCTACCCCGCGCTGCCTGGACCCCACTTCGAGGCTCTTTGATCCAACCAACACTACACCTTGTGTTACTGGCGTGCGTTCTCTCGGCTGCAACGGACTGCGAACGACTCACTCACTTCCTCGCGCTGACTTCCAGCAGCACCGCGCCTAGTCAGCAAGTCCGACCACTACCATCCAGGTCACACGCGCAGTAGGCGCAAGGGAGGAGCTTGGATATATCACCGCATCATAAGCTAGCTCGCAGCGCGACGGCCCCAGACCCCCCCAAGGTGAGCATCGCGGGGCTGACGGCAGTTGTCCCGATTGAGTGCTAACATTTTTCGAGCAAGCTCATCAGCAGGGAATCGATTCTAGCAGCCGACAATCCCCCCCCACTCCGCCTACGGAACACTGGCGAGCTCGCTCTCCGACACCTTCGTCTTGTACGATCACCTCAATATAGGGACCCGATCAAAACCGGGCCTCACCGCCCCTACCATGACAACCGAAGACTAGGTTATCCTACCGCCGCCGCGGCGGTACACCTGAAGCTCGGCTGCGGACCTGGAATTTCGCCTCCTCCATCCCGGTCCTCCCAACCGTCTTTACCCATGACAGCCCCTAAGCCGCCGGCCCTTCCTCCCCGCGAGATTTAAGCCGTAACCGGTGGCGCCCCCTCGAGGCCCGGGATACAATAGCTTCTACAACTGCTGAGACCACTCCGCCCCGCTACACCGCGGCCAATGGCTCGAGCCAAGCAGCTCCTCCCTGCGGCGGGCCAGGGGAACCCCTGACAAGTTAGTGGGCCGACGCATCTCCCTGATCCAGGGACCGGACAGGACCCAGCAGCTTGCAGAAGATTGGGGGGTCACCACGATGGAAGCAGAGGCCGCCCTACGACGCTGCAATGATGATCACCGTGACTAAGATGCGAAGGAAGACAGATACGGAAATATGTTGAGGAGCTGAGAGAGCCTGGGCGCCCTTCGAGACTTGGATGGGGCGCCCGCTCCGGCCGCATCTTGGGCATCGGGAATATCCATGGATACTAGCATGGGGAGCGAATTCCTGGAATATCTTGGTCAGAGCCGGCGTGAAGCTGCCGGCATCTCTGCGACGATGTTCGATGGTCTGAGAGATGCTCAGAATCGTGCCATCAGCGCCGGCGCTCCCCCAACGCGGCTGCCAGCACTCTCGCCCATTTTCCTTCTCGAGCGCCTGTCTAGGAAAAATCGGCCCAGACTGTCGGAAGGATGGCGGCGATATCTGGTTGACTACGCAGTTGCGTTGACGACGCTCCAGCGGGCCGAGAGGCTACTTTGGGCGCTCGACAACGGTGATGAGAAACGGGTCTCCCATGCCGAGCTGCATGACGCAGCCGCGTCCACCGGGCGGATTGATCATGGAGAGTGCGATGCGCGCTTGGCCAGGGCGGATGAGGAACCCGCAATCCACCTCGAGCAGCAGCCAGTCTGAGAACTCCATGGGGCACCAGCCCTAGTGGCCGACGTCGCGGAGCTCCTCTACAAGGGTAAATCGTCCGTTATCATCCCCATCGTGGCCGCCGAGCTTGCCAACGGGCCTCGCCTAACCCGCGTCATCGTGCCCAAGTCGCAGTCGAGGCAGATGATGCACACACCGACGTGTGCCCTGGGTGGGCCCTGGGTGGTTTGTTGGATCGACAGATATATCGACTACGCCGCTCCCGGGACACCTGGAGTTCCCGTTACTACAGGAGATGCGCAGCAAACGGGGGCATAGTCCTGTGCGAACCCGAGAGTCTGCTGTCGTTCAAACTGTCGGCCCTAGAAGCTACACTGGACGGCAAGGATGAGACCGGTACCCCCGGTCCCTTTCAGAAACACAGTACCTCTTTGAGAAGGGTTCGAGGGACGTCATCGACGAAAGTGACGACGTCTTCAGCACCAAGTCGGAGCTCACATACACGATTGGACAGAAACAGGCCGCCGATTTCAGCCGTTTGAGATGGCGTCTGATCCAGAGTATCCTCGGCTTGGCGGCCGAGATAATCCCGAAGCTCTCCCAGCAGTATCCTGACAAGTGTGAGGTGGACTCTAAGCGCATCAGAATCTTAGATAGGTCGGCATCTCTGATCATGCGGAGCAGCTTGCGCAGCGCATCCTCGATGTGGAGCATAATCTTCGCTAAAGAATTAGTCGAGTTCCCCTAATAGTCATCCGAGTCGCCCTAGTCCATAGCCGTGACCAAACGCCAGGGCCATCCAACAACAGGCTTCAGCGGCACCAACGACGCCAATCGCCTCTTACTCCTAGGGATTGAACTGCCAGATGTTGGGAAGGAGCAGAAACATACCAACGTTCTGGTGCTCAACCGCCTGCTCCACTCCGACAACGAGGTACAAGACATTCGCAAGCTATTACCAGCCGTCGGCCCCGGTCATCGGCACACCACAGCGGCCCACCGCTGGCCAACGACATCCTCCACCACGTTGCCAGATCCAAGCCGAAGATTCGCGTCATCCTAGACGCCAGCGCGCAGATAGTAGAGCTAGGAAACGACCAAGCCGCGCGGTGCTGGGTGGAGTTGGTGCCAGACGAGGACATTAGAGCCACCATCTTCTTCAACGCGGCCAAGGACTTGTGCGTCGTGGAGCGGGACGGCACCACCGAGCCGTTTCTCACGTCCTCGTACGCAACCAACATGGCCGCTTGTATCGTCTTCCTTGACCAGACCCGCGGCACCGATCTACGCCTGCCCAGCCACTACCGTGCGGCCGTGACACTCAGACCGGGGCTGACGAAAGACAGATTAGTGCAAGGTGCGTGGCCATCCCCTTCTCTTTCTCAAACCCGGCCCTACCTTAGGTATCTACCTAAGGTACCTGACCTTATCTTATCTACCCTATCTTTCCGGAGGTACGATGTCTTGCCAATTCGCTGGCTATATACTAATTGCCTACCCTGCCTTGGCATGTATGCGTATGCGGCAGTTGGGCAAAGGCGAACTGTACCCCAGAGTATTGGCGGTCTAACCCTTGTAATCATTGGAAAGACCATGGGGAGAGTTCTCTCAAGCTCTCAACTGGGTTTACCATTTTATTTTTATCAAAGAGTTCTACCCACTCCACCAAATATCAAAACATAGGGCGCTTCGGAATAATACCCATTAACCATGCTCCCTGCTTAGGAACCAAAATCCTCCTAGTACTCCTGAGTTTGTTTAACACTGCCGCTTACAACTTTTGACCTAGCTGTCCTTACTTTGGCTCCCAATCAAATGACGAGAAAAGGCGAGCAAAATCTGACAAACATTCCTCATATTGCCAGGTTCCATTAAATTCCATGGCCCGAAGCTGTGCATGACTAGAAACCCGTTGGTGTGGTCTGTAGTGGTTGTTGAGGGGGCGGGGGTTTTGGGGAAGCCCTGGACTTGGGGCCCGAGGTTGGTTTTGCCGGGTTTGACTGTGACGGCTGGAGATCAGGTTGCACAGCGGATTCGATGCCAAGGAGGTAGTTTTCGTACTTTGTGTCATACTCCGCAATTGTAATGTACACCTCGGTGTGGTCTTGGGAGCGGAGTAGGCGTCTAGACGAAGTAGAAACATAAGGTTAGCAACACGTCTGACTGGAGTTGTCTTGAGCACAAACCACGAAAGCTTTGAAAAATACCTTGAGGGGTTAAATGCAGGGGGTTGGGGATTGGTTATGTACTGCACCCTGCACTGGCTGGATGAATGGAAGGGACATAAATAATGGAGGATACAAGGTCTCACCGTTTCTTCCCCGGACTCTTTGACTTCAGCAACCCAAAGTCTGAGTTTCTTTGGCTGGAATGCAGCAGCGTGTAGATGTAGGCCGCCATTTGCGCGCCTTCCTGACACTGAATTTGCTCCCGTCTAGTCTTTCGAGCGTAGGGCTAGTATCTGCTTATGTAAGCATAACAATATGGGTTGAACTCTGGGAACATTTGAATCGACGTGGGCGTGGAGCTTGGGACTTTATTCGGAGGGTCGGGCAAAAGAAAGGGCTACCTTCCTCCCTAGGGATCCGAGCCTTCGAACAGGGGAAGGTAACCGTTTGATCCTGCCTCAGTAATCTGATTCAATCACAGCCTGACGAAACTTCCCTTGCTTCTTAGGCTGCGTTTGGTTTGTGTGTAAGGATCGGTAAAAAGCTACTTTTTTAGGTTTAGGAAGACCGCTACCGGACTCCCTTCATATCCTCCGGTAGGCTTTACCGGCATGAACTGGGATTTTGAATCCAGTATATCTACCGGGCGAACCCTGGGCTATTATTGGCTGATTTTGGTGTGTGGAGCAATCTTCCTACCAGGGGTCCGTATTACAAACCACTCGACTGTTAGGGTCGTCTGTCTGTAAGGGAGCACGGGCTCCACAGGATGCTGGGGTTGGTAATTATGAAGATAGAACAAAGGGCAAGCTCCTATCGCACGGGTAATACAGTCAAATCGGAATGCCACTCAAAGTGTATGAGTGCAGTGAATGTGTATTGCTTGCTTGAAGAACCAAGCAAGAACTATCTAAGACCGTGGCTACGGTCGTCGTATATATCTATCTAAGGCGGACCAATCAGAGCGTTGGTCCTAGGTGATCAGTGCGGTCAGTGTGCTCAGTGCGATCAGTCCCCACTGATCGCCCTGATCATACTGATCGCGCTGACCGCCTCGTTATTGGCTGCACTCCCGTGGAGCGGGGAACTGCCCCGCTTCCTTGCGCCAGCCAATAGCGGGAGGCTCCGTGCAGCCTCCTGCGAGCCTGAACCAGGATCGTAACACCCTCTTTATTACTGGACCTTACACGAAGAACCAAACGCACCCTTAGGCTGGTAGTTCTGTCTTCCTGGATTCGTCACATTTCCCGAGCTTGCGTTTTCCCGAAACAGCCCAGAACCGCCAACATGCATGACCGGGTTGGGGCGGGTTTGAGTGAGAATGATAGAAGAGCTATTTTCGGGCTGACCATGACTGCTTCGGTCTGTGCCAAACGAAAATTTTGTTTCGGAATGGGCCAACTCCGGCGGCTCGAGCAGCGGGGAGGCGGGCGAGTGATTGATAACTTGATTAACTGCGTCTGAGGCTGAGCGCTTGCCGCCCGTCACAGCTTCGTGGCGTCCAGTTAGATCAAACAATCCAATACCTCTCGTGGTGACCTGCTACCCTGGGGCGCGGGCAGCGGAACAAAGTACAAGGGGCAAAATCAAATTATCCTAGAGACATGAAGAGCGGCGCCTCGAGCCCCGGGGGTCGCCTATCTGGTTCGAATGTCGAATCAAGAAGTCGCAACCGAAAGCTAAGGAAGGGGCGCCAGTGGTTAGCACCTTCCCCTGCACGTCCGAATCATGAATGCAAACGACAGGGAGGTCGCATTCAAGCCTCGAGTGACGAGGCCAGACGTAAGGTAGGTAGGTGGTTGTTCGAGAGCCCTGCACACGGAATTAAGCATAGTGCATGATATATGTGAACCTGATATCCGGCCGGACCTCTGCGCCTGTACATATACAGACTTTAGTTTGGAAGAACAAACCTGGTAGGTAGGAAGGCCACAAAAATACTTACGGTAGGAATGCATTTGACCACAATGTCATTCCCAAACTACACCAACAAAGCCCTCGTTGGTATAGTACTTACACGGCCCAAAATGGAAGAAGCTTGGACCAACAACAAATTTGGCCTGCACTGACGTAGCCATAATTAGCTCCTTCCGCGTTTCTGGGGAATTTTGGCTGACTGAAAGCCCCACCACCAGATTATCCTTAGGGCTGGGGTATACCCCGCACCTAGAATCGCACTTCATAAGGTGGTGGCCTTCGGCCTGTAGTTTTAGAGAAGACAACACCGTTCTTTTCATGACCGAACAAAGACGCAGTCTTTGCCCCACATCATCGTCTCCCGTCGCTCTTGCTACTCTCAATCCATTTGCCCTCACTACACTCTGCGCTGAACTCAGGTCTGCGCCTTACCTACCACCTATACCTAGGCGGGTACCTTGACTTGGTCAATTTCTCACTTTCCTCTCCCATCAGTCCCAGACGTAACAGTCAAGATCAACGCCATGGCGACGCAGCCAAATCTCACACCGCGGGAAATTGCCAAAAGGCTTCCGTATACATGCAGCTCGCAGACATGAAGAAGGACGCGACCGTGTCCGAATCCCTTCTTTCCGACCTTGGAATCCACAGGGGGCCCCAGCTTGACACAGACGATTTGAACCCCAGGAACCAGGAACCCGAGACCGAGCCTGTTTTTTTCCAGTCTCTCCTCAGCAGCGCGCCCGAAAACGGTGTCATCGCGTATCAAGACGAATACGATTTGTGAGATCCTTGCACTGCACCCGAGTTCGACGAATTTGACTATCCGCACCTCCCATGTATAGGATGTGCCGGCAGTAATTCTATCGCTCTCCTGTCACTATACACTCATGTGTCGTCTGAGCTGACACCCGTCGACGTTCCCGAATCCGCATTGGTGTCGGCGGGATTTGAGGACAATTGGCCTTGGTTCGTCATGCAACCTTCCGACTTACCGCACCTGGCACCGAGTCAGAGACGAAATACATGGACAACTATGAAGACTTATGGGGCTGTCGGCACGCCCCATACCGGTTGTGTCGTCATTGAGACATTGACTGCACAAAGCACGAGCAAACATTACTCTCCGCAGCGAAATCCTGATCCCCTTGTTTTTCATCAGAAATTGTCTTCATAGGGTACCGAAAAAGTGCTCGGGCCGAACATTGCCTGTGAGAATCCCCACCCCCCTCCTCTTCTGCTGCTTCTAAAGGTAATCTGCTCACGCTGCGTAGGCAATCGGCTTTTCAATCGGGCACGACACAGCTCGCATCACTCAGATGTGGTGTGACACCAAGGGCCGGGTGACTTTCCGCCACTTAAGGGTGTTGAAGCTAGACTACCCCTTGTTGAACCGCGACGCAAAAGATATGTTTCTCATTTTGCGGTGGATGACATGCACGCCCATTGACGCAGACGGCACCAACCCCCCGCTCGTGAAAAAGAAGATCTCTAGAGTGTCGGGCTCCCTTCCGACCACCGGGAGCCCTCTGCGCTCCGTGGCAACTATCCCTCATCATCCCGCCAACGCTCCCGCGGTAAGTAGCCCACTCAAGACGAGCAACACTCCTGGGGCGAACGTTCTTGAGAAGGGAAAGACTGCCACCGGGACCAAGGTTCTAGCGACAAACCCTGGCGTTTCCACGACTAGTACACACCTAGTGGCCGCTTCTCCCGAGAAAGCCACTACCGCGAAAGCCAATCCAGTTATTGCTCTGAAATAGGTGGATAGCGGCCGGGGCTGGTCCTCGATTCTGCCGCAGGATCGCAACGGATGGCATCTGGCAAAGGACTAACCACCGTACAAATTGTGTCACTCTATAGATGGCGTTGGGGTTTCTGGGTTTGCTCTTGTCTTTAATTGGTCATTGGAACTATTGTTTGTTCTGCCGCTAGAGCAGCTTGATCAGTCTTGATGTATTAGGCTTCTGTAGTTCGGCTTCGGACGTTTTATCGATGTAGGACGTGTCAACCTAGAAGGTCTTAGCTAGCGCAGAACTTGGTATTGTCGTAGCTCTTAGGCTTTTTTTCTCTGTGGTTCCGTTGATAATATCCTCGTGTCTGATCTCTTCGTTTTCATCCGGCCGCGTACGTGAAGGAATGAGATATTCGGAAAGCAGTGCCGCAAGGGGCCCTTGACAGCCCATCGAACGCAGATATACGGCAGCGTGTGTAGGCTCTGAAGCCTCTGGCGTAGGTACCTACGCTAGGCGCCTCATCCTGTTGTCAAAATCGCCCGTGTCCGTCGTTCACCAGCTCGCGCCTCGCGGAGATCTCTTTACCTGACTGGATAGTAACTTGACCACGTCGCAATGCATGAGCCATGATGTCATGTAACCTCTGCTTTAGGGAGGAGAGGACCAAATATCTCCAAGGCTCGGGCACCGGCATAGCCCGGGCAGGTTCACCGTCCGAGATTTAAAAGCTACGAACCAGTCCCACACACCGCTAGTTTGACAAAAACACCAGCTGCCAAATTTCCCCGTCTTTTTGCCCACTTCTCCGGCTATAATGCGCCAAAGTGAACATCGGCCTATCTATCACGCGTCGTGTTCTCTAAACGAATAAACTAATAGTTGCTAGAACTCACTCATTTTGTTTCCTTTACTGGGCGCTTCTTCAACCCAACGACTTTTACATACCCTACTCACTTCTCTGCCTGAAACCATCCGTCCAGAACCAACAGACCAGTAATGCGGCTGCCAGCAAAACTGTGGTCGCTGACGGCCACCGAGGTCCTGACCTTGACAGAAAGGGACCTGGTCAGTGTCGAGGACTATGCGAAGGCACTATTGAGCCATGCCGGGTCGAGAGACGGCGTGGTAGAAGCATGGCAGTACTTGGGTAGGCCGTCTTCAGTCCAATGTGAAAGGAAGCTCACCTATTTAATTGACCGATCCTGCATTTATTCATTAGATCCTGACCTTGTTCTGAGTCAGGCTCGCGCTCTAGACCGTGTTCCGCGCGACCAGAGGGGTCGGCTTCACGGAGTAGCTATCGCCGTCAAGGACATAATGGACACCAAAGGTGAGTGAGGCTCCACAGCTGTTGGTTAGGGGCGGAACCGCTCACTCCGTCTAGACATGCCAACCGAATACGGCTCTGCTCTCTACTGGGGCAATCGGCCAAGTGCCGACGCGTCACTTGTTGAGATACTCCGGAGGGCCGGAGCCCTGATAGTCGGTAACTATGTCTGTTGAATTTGTCGTCGAAGTCGTCATTTTAAAAAGTCGCCACAGGCAAGACCACCACGACGGAGTTCACAGTGCTCAACTCCGGCCCTAGCACCACCAACCCGCACGACCCAAACCGCACGCCAGGCGGGTCCTCTGCCGGGTCCGCGGCCGCCGTGGCAGACTTCCACGTCCCTCTCAGCTTGGGAACGCAAACGGGCGGCAGCGTCATCCGTCCGGCTTCTTACACAGGCACCTACGCCATGAAGCCAACATATAACACGGTGTTCGGCGGTGGCATCAAGGTCGCCTCCCTCGAGTTCGACACCATTGGATACTTTGCCCGCAGCATCGACGACCTCAAGCTCGTCACCGAGGTCATCAGTGTCACTGCAGAGGAACCCGTCGAGGAGGCAGCATTGAACCAGGTCAAAATAGGTTTTGTCAAGTCACCGTTTTGGCCGTCTGCGGGGCCCGGCACCGTCGCAGCCATGGCCAAGGCTGCCGAGATTCTCCGCCGCCACGGTGTCGCCGTCATCGAGGACGTCGAGTTCCCCGACGCGTTCAGCGACGCCACGACCCTGGCCAGGATGTTTGGCGTAGTCTTTGCCGCCGACGCGGCGGTGGCGTTCTACAGGGACTATCTCATGGACACCGACAAGACTAAGCTGGACCCGCGCATCCGCGCTTTCGTCGACGACGCCCCGAAAAACTCCCGCTCCGACGTGCGGCAGGCGTTCGACTACTACGCAGCCCTGCGCCCCGTGCTCGACGAGATTGCAGGGAGATATTCGGCTCTTATGACTCCGAGCGCGATTGACGAGGCGCCCTTGGGGCTGGGCGACATGGGCAGCCCTGCTTTCAACTCGGTGTGGACGGTGAGAATACACCAGACCTTCCGGTATTGCCACGGGCTAACTGACTTGTTTCATTTGCCCGCCTGATTAGGCCGCGCACATGCCGGTAATCCACGTGCCCGCTTTCGTGGGACCCAACGGTATGCCCGTCGGCCTGTCTCTCGTAGCCCGCCGGTATGATGACCAGCGTCTTCTAAGCATCGCTAAGGTCCTTAGCAAGCCTCTTATGAGTGAAGGGGGATGGCAGATCAGGTCTTGACTGAGCTGCCAGGAACCCCAGTCTTGAAGTAATACCGGGACGTCTGTTCCGCCGCGCCAGGCTTCAGAGCCCTCGGCTCATAAGAGGTCGAAGAAAAGAAAACAAGAACAAGCAAATAATTGGATCCATAGATAATACAGCGAAAGAATGCATGCAGCCCAAGCAGACCAGCCTCTTGCGCCAGAGCCAAGCCCAGGTCCCAGCCCCAAGCAGCCAAGAAGACCAAAAACAAAAACGCCAAAAATAGCAGAGCCCCACGGGTCGGTGCTCAGCCGCCGGGTATGCAGAAGGACTCGCTGTCGTACTTCTTGCACCGCAGGCCGGGGCAGCAGTCCGCGTCCTGGCGGCACGAGGTGAGAACCGAGTGGCAGGCCTAGGTCGACATGTCAGCGAGAGCGCACCGCCAGCGTACATGCATTCTCCCGACAGACTGAGCGTCTCTGTCCCGCCCGCAACGGCTTCTGATTTCGGGATGATTTACCTCGGCGCCGTAGCTCAGCATGGACAGCTGCGCGTCGGACCTCGGGCCAGCCAACGGCATGGCTAGGCCCGCGGCGAGGCCGAGGCAGTAGTAGAGCCCGAGCAGGACGGCGGCGAACGGGATCGGGAGGCGGGGCGGCATTCTTCTGTTTTCAAATTTTTTTTATTTCTGGTGTGTTGTTGGAGCAGGCAGGTGGGTCATGACGGCCGATCTAATCAATCAGATCTGCCGGGCCAATGCAGAGTTGAGAGGGGGTGGGTGGGTGGATGGGTGCGGAGGGGAAATCCAGGTAGACCAAAAAAATAAATAAAAAAAATGGATCGCGGGGACCATGCAGCATGCAGGCCGTGTCCTTGTTAAATAGGTAAGTAGAATAGCACTCGCCCGAGGACCTGGTTTCGCTCTTGGGGGAGGGAGGAGGGGGTTAAGGATTAGAGAAGCAGCCGCCAGCTTGCTCGCTCTTGAAACCTTCGCCTCCCCCCTCGCCAAGTCGGAATCGTCAAACGCGCCCAGAGTGGGTCGGCGTGGTGTGGCCTCAAAGTACGGACGACACGGTGGAGCTAGCGCGCTAACGGGTTCTGCAGCGAGTCGTGCCGTGGAGCTGTTAGGCGGCGCGCATGCTGTGGCTTATGTGCCGGGAGGGCGCATTGAGGGGGAGCGTTTCAGGTTCGCGTGGTGAACCTGTCCACTCCCCCTTTGTGGCAACTCCTTCCATTTCTCGCCCGCCCGCTGCAGGCAGGTAGATTCAGTAGTTCCATGCCACGTGGGGAAGATTAAAGCTCGGCAGGGTGATGGATGCACATTGCACGCGGGGATCGGTGGGATTATCGATCGTCATGCTTTCCCGGTCCCTATCAATTCTATGCGCCAGCGGATAACCTAGGTAAAGGTAGTTGGGTGACTTGATTACCCCCACGATCCGCGGCGATCTTGCATGCCTGCTTCGCATCAAACGCACATCCGTCTATGACCCGACCTGCCTGCCTGCCTGCCTGCTTCCTCCATCCTTCCTCGCTCGCAATCACACAGCCCGTTCCCGTTTGCCTTGATGATGATTACCAAGGTGATTACGTGCTGAACACGGCAACGTAGTTCACTTCCAGCGACGCGCCGGCCCCTCCGGCGGTCTGCGGCGTCGGCGTGTGGACGTGCGCGTCGTTTGCGACATTGTCGGGGAAGTCGCCTCCGATGGCGACGTTGAGGATGAGGAACTTTGGGTTGCGCGTGACGGCCGTCCAGGCGGCCTCGTCGTTGACGCGCGTCCCGGCGACGGTGGCCGTGACGGCCCCGTCGACATACCACGTCAGGGTCTCGCCGCGCCAGTCGCCGCCGGGGTTGGTGCGGTCGATCTCGACGGCGACGGTGTGGAAGTCGCCGCGCGAGAAGGGCGCCGTGCTGGAGATGCCCGCGAACTCGTCGCACGGCCCGGCCGGCGCGGTGCCGCAGTGCAGCGTGTGCCACACCGTCGGCACCCCGTTGATGCTCTCGGCGATGTCGACCTCGCCCGCGCTCGGCCACATCTCGTTGGGCCGCCGCCGCAGGTCCGACCCCACGGCCCAGAACGACGGCCAGATGCCCATCTGCTGCCACGCCGGCGCCGCCCCGAACCGCAGCGACGCCTCGATGCGCAGCTTGGCCCCCGCGGCGCACGCCAGCGTGATCCCCGACGCCGTCTCTATCCGCGCCGACGTCCAGCTGCCGCCGTTGTTGACGGGCGTGATGAGCAGCGTCCCGGCCGCCGTCACCCGCAGGTTGTCCCGCGAGTTGCCGTAGCTCTGCACCTCGTGTGTGCCCCATGATTCCGGCCCGTTGGCATACCCCGTGCCGGCCTGGACTGCCCACTTGGCCGGCGACGGAGGCGATCCGGGCGCCTGGGTTGAGAAGTCGTCCTGGAAAAGAATCCTTGAGTAGCCAGCGGGCATCGCGATGCCGCGGCCGACTACATGTTTCGCAGGTGCTGTGTGCAGGAGAGCTGCTCCTAGCAGCACGCGCAGCAGAAGGCCGGTCATCGTGGTATGCTGATGATTACTGACAGGCTGGGGTGACGAGGTGAGAATCACAGCCGCAACAAAGAATGAACAAAACCTTAATTGTTAACAGGAAAGAAATCTTGTTACAGAAATGGGATTTCACGTTCTGTGGAAAGCAGATGGCCGCCAGCGCCATCCTTTTTTTTTTTTTTTTTTTTCCTTTTCCGAGGACCGTTGGGAACTCTAACCGTCCCTGTCTGAGACCTCGTCTGCACGACATCATTCCAGCGAGAGCAGGAGCAAAACAAGGCAGCGCTGCGACGCATTTCCGAGGCTACGTGTCTCGGCTGATTGCCTAGGTAGCTATTAATTTAGGCGTGCAGGTTTTCTTTCCGGGATTCGAGTCAACTAGTCAAGAAGGTGCGCCGCTGCGTGCCCTTGACTCTTAGCCAATGTACCCGGCGCCGCAAGGCTTGCGCCGGGATTCGGGCCGTCTTGCGCTGTGCAGTCCTCGCGAGTCATATGCGCAGTCGAGGCCTCCCCGATCCGCTGGCGGAAACCTACACTTTGGACTAGTCAATCGAGGGAAATCTATGACACTTCTGGGGCGTTTGGCTGGGTAGGTATTAAGGAATGCATGTGCCGTGGTCGGGGCTGTCAATTTCCAGTTGCTCCATTTCCCCGCACCTGCCTGACCCATCACATCTGCCTGACTGAGGCTGATCACCCCCCGTGCTTCGGATCCCCATCTCGCACTCTAGCTGCTCGCCGTCTCCTCGGGGTCGGGAATTGTTGTGCTGGGGCGCCGCGGAAGCGCAGCCACGGTACGGATATTTGACAGCCGTCCGGGTGCTGCGCGGCTAGGTGTTTCGGTGAAAGGAACCGTTGAGCTACCGTCATACGCACGGCCGGGCGTTTTGGTGAAAGGAACTGTCGAGCCATCGCACGGGCTCTGGAGCCTGCGTCGATGCAGTTGTGGCTGCTCTCTGGACGAGTCGGTTGCCGGCCGGACACGCTTCTCGGCGGCTGCAGGACCTTGGTTGGCAAAGCGCTGTGCCCTTGTACGAAATTCCACAAAGTTGTCTTCATCAAGGCCCAGTATCTCTTCCGCAGCTCCACAGCCCGGTCGGGATCACCGGCACATTTTCACCGGACTCGCTCGCATCGGCCGCCTCTTGCTGAATGTCGTAAAATGTGCTGAGGTAGGCAAGCATCTGGTAGTTGCGCTTGTCCTGTGGCTTTCGCAGACCGTAAAGTTGATTGGCGTACTTGGGAAAGTAGGCCACTTGGGAAAGTAGGCCGGATCGGGTTCTTGGGCGCCGCGGCCTTGGATGAAGATGGGAACAATACGGATCCGAGGGCGGATTCGGGCGGTCGGGTTCTAGTGGTAGGCCCCAACAAGGTCTCGGCCTGCAGTGTAATCTAGAAAAGCGGGGCCCGCGCGGCGTGGGTCCCCAGCGCCGTAAGCAGCAGTAAGAATTGCATCACTAAGAATTGCATCACTAAGAATTGCATCACTAATGCATGTACATGTACAGGGAAGGCGGTGCGGTGTCTGTCTCTCCACTGTCATAGCGCTGATCTCCCCGCGCTTGCCTAGGTACCACAAACACCAGATGCCGCTGTAGCCTGCCCGGATGTGCTTGTACTTCTAATAAGCAGCGCGTGCATCTACGGACCACTTTTAATTCATCCCCCGGTTCCTGTTTCCACCCGCCTGTCAGCAGCCGGGCAGAGTCTTAATCTCAACTGAGCGCTGTCCTCGATATCGACATGGGCGACAGCGGCGTGAGCTATGACGGCGCTGCCAAAAATGCAGAAGGCTGTTGGACCTGCCGCTTGCGACGCAAGAAGTGCGATAGGCATGGGCCAGTGTGTCGTGTTTGCTCAGCACTGCTCATCACCTGCCACTACACTCCGGAGAAGCCGGACTGGGTGGACGGCGGCGAGCGACAGCGGGAGATGGCGGAGCAGCTCAGGCAGGAAGTCAGAGACAAGGCGCCCTATCGCCGCAGCCTGGCATATACGAAAGCCATTGTGCACGACGAATGCATGCCGTATGCTACAGTACCGCCCGGTTTGCCGGAAGCCGGCGCCAAAGCCTCGGATGCAGCTAATCCGCCGACTCGCCCTCGCCGAGATGCACTGGAAACATTCTCTGGAAAATCTCCAGGGTCGGGCAATGGAAACACGCATCCTGCTTCTGCACGGTTCCCCGGCGTGTCTTCCATAGCCCCTTCGACTTCTTCTCCAGACAGAGACGTGCAACGCGCGCCGGACTGGACCGGCCTCGACCGGGGCCTCATTGTCTGCTATCTCGAATTTTATTTTCCCTTCCTCTTCCCCTTCTATCAGCCCTCCATGCTGGATCGCGGACGGGCGTGGGTCGTCGACTTCATCACGGACAGCCAGGCCATGGAGCAGACGACGCTCAGTCTGAGCTCCTACTTCTTCTCGCTCGCGCTCGAGACGGCGCAGGAGGCCGCGCACGAGACGTGCAAGCAGATCGCCTGGGAGAAACTGCTGAACCAAATACACGGCACGTTCGGCCTCCTGCGGCAAGAACTGCCGTGTGTCACGGCCGCGGACGGTGTGGCAGAGAACCTGCCAAGGGCTGTGCAGATCATGGGCTGCATCCTGCTGCTACAGCGCTTCGAGACGGCCGTCTGCAGCTTCGAGAACTGCGAGGCACACCTCAGCGCTGCCACCGAGCTCTTCCGGCATGCCCTAGACGGCACAGGAGCTGCCGCCCTAGACGGCACAGGAACTGCCGCGGCCTCCGGCCCGACTGCACGGCCATGCAGCTTCGCGTTGACCATGCGCCAGCTACGCGGCCACGGCCCGCCCTGGCCGAGACAATATCCGACTTTTCAGGCTCCCAGCTCGGAGCAGATGGCGTTCCGCTTCTTTTCCGCGCTGCTGCTCGTCGACGACATCGTCGCCAGCACGGCCCTCGGCGAGGAGCCAAAGCTGCACCAGTATCACGCCAGCATCCTCGGCGATGGCCAGTGGCCGGCCGACAGGGACGGCGAGGACGAGGCGTACACTATCCGCCTCGAAGGCATCGTGGGCTGCCAGAATTGGGCAATGGTCGCCGTCGCCAAGGTTTCGGCGCTCGACGCGTGGAAGAAGCGCCGGAGGGCGGCCGGGGACCTCGACGTGATGGAGCTGGTGCTGCGCGCCGCGGCCATCAAGGGAACGCTGGTGGCCAACCTGACCCGTGCCGAGGTCGCCCCCCCATTAGCGGTTCCATTTTCGGCCGGCACGGGCAGCAGCAGCAGCGGCAGCGGCAGCAGCGGCAGGAGCAGTGCCTGGGACATCTTCACGCCGTGCAACGGCCAGGCGTCCGCGCTGGCCGAGCAGAGCCTGCTCGTCACCCGCATCTGGGCTCACGCGGCCGCCCTCTACCTCTCGGTGGTCGTCTCGGGGTGGCAGCCCGCCAGCGCCGAGGTGCGCCACCACGTCGCTTGCGTCTTGGAGCTGCTGACGCAGCGCGCGCTGTCCTGGGCGGCCCTGCGCACCGTTGCGTGGCCTTTCTGCGTCGCGGGCTGCCTCGCGGCGCACACGCAGGAACCGCTCATGAGGAGCGTGGTCGAGGGGCTGCGGCCGCCCGGTCTCCTCGGGCCAGTGCAAAAGGCCTTACAAATCATGGAGGCTGTGTGGCGCAGCAGGGACCTGCTAGATTCTACCACCTGGGATCTTGCGGCATGCTTTCGAGGGCCGGGCCATCTCGTGCTACTAGTGTAGCTAGGCAGATAGCCGTCCTAACGTGCGGCAACGTAGGTAGGCTGCTGCTTGCTCGTACCGCCGTACCTTGGGTTCCTCTTGGAATGCTGAAGCAAGGCAGACCGACTCATCATTTCCCTTACAGAAAGGACTTCACTTGTTGCTTGACTAGGATACATGGGTAGGTACTAGAAAGACGAGGAGGACGGAAAGAGCGTGAAGCTAGAGCTTGTATTTAGTCTCTCATGAAACAACTGCTTCTACCTGCGTGTCCAAGTTGTAACTGAACGTGAAACCCCCCTCCCCCCCCCTCCCCCTCCCCCCCAATACGTTCCCACGTGCGCAGTGTTTATTTGCTTGCTGGCATTGGAAATTTGGTGTAGCCCTGGCCCTTGACAAAGGTGGCGTGCCACGGCACGTCCTTGGCTCCGGTCGCCAGCTGCGCGTAAAACTCGGCGTGAGCGTCACCGTCCAAGGCCATGCCCTTGATACTGCCGTCCACATTGCGCTCATCGGCATAAAAGAATCTGATCGGGCCACCATGTCAGTGAAGCCGGTCAATAGCGCTTGCGCATGGCATGGACCTTTTCTTTTCTTTCCCTTTCAAGAGACTGTAAGCGCGCGTAGACTTACCGGTAGTTCTGCGCTGAGTAGGTGTTGTCCGCCATGCCAAGCCAGTACGAAGCAGCCGACTTTCCGACGCCGAGCGTCACTGTGAGAGGCACCGGGACGATCTTTGTGTTCTGGACGTTGCCCGTGTAGATGAACACTTTGGCGGCATCCTTTGGAAGTGTGGCCCAGCCCTCCACCGCCTGCTGGGCAGCGGCAAACGGGCTGACCGTGTTGACGTTCAAGTCGGAAGCCACGCGCTCCGCGGGGATGGAGAGTATCGAGCCTTCGACCGGCGGCGCCGTGAAAGTTGCTGCGTTGTAGACGACGAGGCTGGGCGGCGCCCCGAACTCGGTCTTGACGGCGTCGAATGCCGTCTTGACCGACGTAGGCTGGGACAGGTCGATCTTGACGGCGAAGAATCCTTCCTTGCTGCGACTGTCAGTACCCTTCCTGGAGGCGACGGCCACGGCATAACCGCTGCTGGCGAGTTTGTTGGCGACGGCGCTTCCAACACGGGGACCGGCTCCCAGGATCAGTGCAACAGGCTTGGTGGACATTTTGGCTCCCCGTGGGGTGTTCTACTACGTGGAGTGAAGGAGAAAAAGCGAGAAAGAGAAAAAGCGAGAAAGAGAAAAAGCAAGAAAGAAAAAAAGTGAGAAAGAGAAAGAGACACAGCAATGTGATAATGCTGTGGGATCCTGGATGTGGTGCGATGGGGGTTCGACTGTGATTTGGTTCCGCTCCTGGCCCTTTGAGATTCAATTCTACAGCGGGACCGAATCCTTTTATCCCCGTCATCACCGCCCCTGCCTGGACTGACCCGGGTTGATTACAAACTGTCTCGCGCGCGCGCTACAGCCCTCGATTCTTGTTTCCCGGCCTCAAAAAGCAACGCTCGCGTCTGATTGACCGAGGGACGATTGGTGAGCATGTCGCCGACACAGCAGCGCGCGGGACCCACCCCCCTTCGCCTGCCCTTCGCCTCCTCCTTCCCTCCCCCTTATCCGCTCCCGCGCGGCGAGTGCACGGTGCGTCCAAAACATGTCTATGGATCCGACAAAGCATTACGAAGCACGAATGTTGACCGAATTCGTTCCAACTCGAGTTATACGCGTCCAGCTAGATTTCCATCGTGATCAGACCACCGTAAAGGCCACCTACCCCTTCTCGAAGGATGGGCAAATCCTGGGCGCGATGTTGAGTATAAATACCTGCGAATGTCTTAGCCGCTTCGCACGGTGGGTCATAGAAGCAGACTTTGAGTAGAATCAGCTCATCACCCCTAGGCCATGGCCACTCAGCTTGCCCTCCCCAAGAAGCTCATCGCGCTCGAGGAGCACTCGGCGCTCGCCTCCCTCGGCGCCGGCGAGTCCGTCCCCTTCTACGCGGACGCCCATGCCACGTTCCCCGCCGCGGCCGCCAAGCTGTTCGACCTCGGCGCTGGCCGCCTGCGCGACATGGACGCCGGCGGCATCACGCTGCAGGTCCTCTCGTGCACGGCCGGCGTGGGCGTGGGCGACCCGGCCGGATGCCGCGGCGCCAACGACGAGCTGGCGGCGGCGGTGCGCGCCTCGCCGTCCCGCCTCGCCGCCTTCGCCGTCCTGCCCATGGCGTTCCCCGACGCGGCCGCGGCCGAGCTAGAGCGCGCCGTCACGCAGCTGGGCTGCGTGGGCGCGCTCGTCGACGCCCGCCTGCCCGACGGCGCGCACTACGACGCCCCCGCCTACTGGCCCCTGTTCGCTGCCGCCGAGCGCCTGGGCGCTCCGCTGTACCTGCACCCGGCGCCGCCGTCGCCCGGCGAGGTCGCGGCGCGCTACGCCGGCAACTACCCACCCCGCGTCGCCGCCGGCCTGGCGTCGGGCGGCTGGGCCTGGCACGCCGACGCCGGGCTCGGCTTCCTCAAGCTGTGCGCCGCCGGCGTGTTCGACGCGTATCCGCGGCTGAAGGTCGTGCTGGGCCACAACGGCGAGATGGTGCCGGCCATGCTGGACCGCGCGGCGCGCACGCTGCGCAAGTTTGGCGATGCCAGCCACCCGAAAAGGGGGCTCCGAGAGGTGTGGGACGAGAACGTGTGGGTGACCACGAGCGGCATGTACACGACAGAGGCGTTTGACATGCTGCTGAAGACGACAAAGGCGGAGCGCGTCATGTTCGCGACCGACTATCCGTATGATGACATGCGCGAGGCGCGGGAACTTGTACCGGCGCTGGCGAAGAGCGGCCTGTTGACGCAAGAGGAACTGGAGGACTTCGCGTGGAGGAATGCGGAGAGGTTTCTGGGTATCGTGGCTTAGCTGCCTGGTTCTTTTCTCGCCGCTTGCTAGTCAGCTTCATGAGATGGAGTGGCAAGGAACAAGACACGAGTGAATTGAATAAACGCCTCAGCTCTTGCTCGGGTTCTAAGCCTAGTGGGGATTTCCCTCTAAAATCAACACTTTCTCAATAGATTGTATTTCTTGCGTTTTTTTTGGCCTGGCCATGGTGCACGGATAAGCTGAGTGGGGCTAATGAATACCCAATGTCAACCACCAGCAGAACCTAGTTGGTCGACGATGAGGCTGGGCAAAATCGTTACTATAATTGAGATTCCTTCTGCGGCAAATCTCGGGTAGCTGTGCCTACGGTGATGAGCCGCCCTCAGCTAATAGGAAAAGTCAGCAAATAATAATGCGTTGCGTGTCATAGCTATGACTCAGCTCGAGGTATAAAAGTGAGGCTTTCCCAGTACTGGTCATGAACTTCACGCTTCAACTCTTCGGAAGAACCGGGGGACGAACAGAGGCACCTTGATCGGAACGGCGTTTGTGGCAAGGGATATGATGCGCGTCGTTGACGCCCTCAATGACGGCTTGTTGCGCTACTGGGGCACGTATATCTTTCCTCTGGCGATATTGACGTATGCTGACTGTGTTATCGCTTCTCGGGCTTCTCCTACGGCTCCGTACTGGGCGAGACTGTTGCCGCCATGTTCCCTGACCGCATGGACCGCCTGGTTCTCGACGGAGTGGTCAACGGACACAACTACTACCACCGGTTTGGCATGTAAGCATCACCCCCTACTAGCACTCCTCGCTGGCTCAAGGCTCAGCATGCACGGCCGCAGCCATACAGGGATATTTTGTCAACGGGACCATGCCGGCGGATGGCACCGTCTTTGAAGTCGATGTGTCGCTATTTTGACTAGCTGCGGATAGAATTTGGCGTAAACACGCGGCAAGTTACAGTACAGGCTGAAGAGAAAAGGCCTTAATTATTGTTCTTCAATCTGTAAGGAAAGGACACCCCAAACACCAGCCGCGCGCACAGGGTGCGCGCTCACCACCTGTTACCAACTGGCCGGAACACTGCCAGTTGGCACAAGCCACTACGCCACGCCATAGCGCCCCGGGCCTGAACCCCTGAGCACGTATATAAACAGTGGCCCTCGCTCACCTTCCTTTGCGAGGGCCAGGTTGAAGTCTCACACCAATACTACTCATTGCTCGCCCACCTTCTTACCTGCATTGTGGCCACCTTGATCCGGCGTACCTGCCTTCTCTTACAAATCTACCTACTCAACTCACTACAAGTTTCCTTAACTTTCCCCAAGATAAATAAGGTAGATAGATAAATACGAACCAAGTAAAATCCCAAGAAGAAAAAATTCCGTAATTCGTAAAACCCCCCTCCTTTAATTCATGACGACGCAAGTCTAGACCTATATTAGGCAGCGGTCTTGGGCACGCTCTTAACTAGGATTTTGAGACTCGACTCGGGCACAACGTTCATGCCCACCACAGCGCGGAAGGGCTTGGTACCGGTGATTAGCTTAATGTCGTACCGCTCGATCAGCATCTTAGTGATGAGCTTCATAGCGTCGACGGCGAAGAAGCTGCCGGGACTGTTTTTATGTCGTCAGAACGTCAGCCGACACTTGCAAAAGGGGGAAAAAAAAAGTGAAAGTGAAAAGTAAGAAAGAAATGGATAGTGTAAGGGTACGCACCAAGCATGCCGACCATGTCCAAACAGAAACTGCTCAGTCGAGGTATTCACCATCTTGGTCTTCTTGGTCGCGTTGGGGCGCGAGAACCGGAACCCGTCGAACTCGTCCGGGTTCGCGTTCTCGATGAACCCCTGCAGCAGGTCGTCGGGGACCTTTTCACCTCGCGCGGTCTGGTCCGTGCACTTCTGCACGATGGGGATCAGGATGTCGTCGGCGATCTTGCGTCTTTGGTTGATGTTTGTGAAGAGTGTCACGTAGAGGCTGCCGATTTGTTTGGTTAGTATATGTATTCTTCGTCTTGATTACAAGACAAAGAGGGAAGAGGGACAAAGAGCCTTACCCCTTCAGCCAGTTAGAATAGTTGCGCACAAAGAGCGCCGCGGCCACCACGACATCCCGCGTCCAGTTGATTGCGTTCTCGTTGTAGACGTCGTTGTGTCCTAGCATATAGCAGCTATGTGAGAAGGTGGCGAGAAGAGCGAGGAGTGTAAAAGCTTACCAAGCTCCTTGCCGTAAAACACAGTGTTGTCCACCCTAACGACGCATGTGAGATGATGTCGGTGATTGGCACCTCAACCCAGTCTGTAGTACAACCATTGTTAGGCACTGCTAGTTTCTTCCTCACATTGTGTCTGATATCTCAACTTGTGTCTGACATCTCACCTTTTGGGGCACCGATGCACTCGTCCAGTGTCCGTGAGATCTCCTCATGCATGATCCTGATGCTGGTGGGCAGCTGCTGATATCCCTTCAAGATGAAATTGGAAAGACCGTGAGCGAACACCTTGGGAAGGTGAAAGAGACTCTCGACACCATCCGCAGTGAGAATGTGGCGGTGGAGAGCTGGCGGGATCCAGAATTCCGGGCCCGCGTGCAGAAGAAACTTCACGCGACAAGGGATGAGATGCGGCGGATTTCTGACATCTCTGGTAAATAGGACTTGGCGTGGAACATTGGAATTTGTCATGACTTCGAAAATCATCTCTTACCCGGCCACGAAGATACTCTCTTCTTGCCCGGCACGGAAGCGTTACTAAGAACTGACTCCGCATGACCGATTACTGACGAAGACGGCATCCGATATTCAGTAGGATGGCGACCCGTGTAGCGGGATTCGGCATTCGTCGGGCCCATTTCGCTATGTAACCCCAGAATGAGCGACAAGCAGCCGGAGATGCACCCAACCCCCCCCCCCCTTAGCCTGTTCAGAGTATGAACTCAGCTGGGCATGGGCACCCAAACATGCAAGCCACCTATACATTACATAGACATAATTATGGAACAAGCTGACAAACGCTGCATGTATTTTACTGACGGGAAGATGGTGTCATTGCTTAACCCCAGAATGGAAGCGAGGGACGGGAATCGGGCAATACTACAACTAAATTGGCCTATAACACGGCCCAACCACGATTTTGCACGATTCCCGGCATTCCCGGCCAACAGGACTGCCGATCTAAGGTGCACACTATTAAGTAGGTGTGCAGCAGCACAAGATTCAGACGAACTGCAGCTTACGTCGGTATACAGCCAACCAAGTCGATATCAGCCCCTGACCATGGCCTCGCTCAGCTCTCAACACCGCGTCGGATCTCTGGCCGTTTTTGTTTGTCTCGCCGTCCTGCAGATATTATCCGGAAGCTTTACCTTGGCCGTGGCGGCTCCCAGAGATACCCCGCCCAACACCAACGGCACAATCGACACGAGAGACGTGCTTCTGGCCCGTGATGCCATAGCCGACTCGTACAGCGAAGGCACCCTACGCGGATCGCTCATTCTCTTCAACGGCCGCATCTCGACCCTCGACGCGCAAAACACCGTCGCCAGCGTGCTCGCCATCAAAGATGCCAAGATCGTGTACGTGGGCGACAGCGTGGCCGCCGCGCTGCACCAGGGCTCCTTCGGCTCCAACCTGCCGCGGCAGATCAACCTGCGCGGCCGCGTCGCTGTGCCGGGCCTCATCGATAGCCACAACCACCTCGTCCTCCTTAGCAACAGGCCCGGCTATCACACGCCGCTCGAGAACGTGTACAGCATCGCCGACGTGCAGGCCGCGTACCGGCAGCGCGCGGCCGCCGGTGCCGTGCCCGCCGGCGCCTTCATCACCTCCATCGGCGGCTTCCACTTCAACCAGTTCCGCGAGCGCCGCCTCCCCACGCTCGCCGAGCTCGACGCCGCGGCACCCGACAATCCCGCCTTCCTCATGGTCGGCTTCTCGGGGCCGTGTGCCACCAACACCGCCGGCAAGGCCTTCCTCGCGGGGCTCCCAGGCAGCGCGTCTGTCAGCGTCGCGAGCAACGGGTCCATCGCCGTGGGCGCCGAGAGCGGCAAGGCCCTGCAGGCGCTGCGGGCGCAGCTGACGTTTGCGGACCGCGAGCGCAGCGCGCGCGACGCCATGGCGTACGCCGCGAGCGTCGGGCTCACGACGCACCTCGACCAGGGCGCGTTCGAGTTCACGGGCGACGCCGGGTTCGACGGGACCGCCAGCGAGGACCTCTTCGCCATGCACCTGCCGGTGCTGGCCGTGTACGCGGCGGGCGGCGGCACGGTGCGGCTGCGCACCAACTTCCTGCACGAGGACTCGGACACGTCGGTGCCGGGCGTCACGGCGCGGCTGCAGCACACGTTTAAGTTCTTTGGGGGCGACATGGTGCGCACAGGCGCCATCGGCGAGTTCGCCGTCGGCATCGCCGACTACGCGGGCGGGCCGGTTTTCGAGGCCGCCGCGGCGCGCATCGCGCAGGCCGGCTGGCGGCTCGAGGTGCACTCGCTGACGTCGGCCGACTTTCAGACGCAGATCGAGGGGTTCGAGGCCGTCAACGCGGCGACCGACATCACGGCGCTGCGCTGGGTCGTCGCGCACGTGCCGCTCATCACCGCCGAGTTCCTGGGCCGGCTGAAGAAGCTGGGCGGTGGAGTTAACCTGTCAGGCTACCAGTACCTGGCCGGCGACGGGAACGCGTCGCGGCCGGCGGGCCCGCCGTTCCGGCTGGTGGTGGAGAGCGGGATCGCCGCGGGCATGGGCGGCGACGGCGCCAACATTGCGCCGCTGAATCCGTGGATCCAGGCGTACTATGCCACGACGGGCCGCAATGCGCGTGGCCATCTCATCAACCCCGGGCAGCAGCTAAGCCGCGCCGAGGTGCTGGCCATGTACACGCGCGCCAACACGTGGTTTCTGGGAGGGCCGGACGAGGGCCAGCTGGGTGTCTTGGAGGTCGGCCGTCTCGGGGACGTGGCGGTGCTGAGCGATGACTTCTTCGCCGTGCCGGACGAGCAGCTCAAGCACATCCGCAGCGTGCTGACCGTCGTGGGCGGCGTCGTGGTGCATGACAGCGGCGAGCTCACGACTTCGGCCCAAGGTAGAGACGTCTAGTTAGGCGTAGTTGAGACGCATGGAATTTTATGAAAATTGCATGGTACTGCTGCTGTAGATAGGTAGGCTACCTTTCTAGCCTGTGACGGCGGCAAGAGACTCGAGATCAAAACTAGTTGTCCGCTGAGCACCCTGTAATTAGACCACACTCAACGCCGTCTCCTCAACCTTGATTATCGGATTATTTTGGGTCGGGTTGTGTGTCATCACTTTACTTCCTTCAGCCAAGGCCCAATTATCAAGTATAAATTTCCTTTTCCAACATTTTAAATTCGTTTTCCAGGTCCCGGTGAATGTCCAAGAAGGCTGTGGATGGAGGGTGTGGCAGGGAAAAAACATAATAGGCAGAATCTGATCAAGGGACTTAGCGAGGGTGACCGTGTCAGCGACATCTAGTCGACATCTCAGGTCCCTGCCTTTAGACCTGGAACAGCTGTTGAAGCGGTGAAAAGACACCACAACACTAAAAAAAAAAAATAATAGCAGGATCAATGGAAGCGATCGAGCTGTTTCGTCGATAGGTTGGTGAGCTTCGCAGAGTAAAGGCACAGAGTTCCATAGCCGGGAAAGTCGAAAGAAAACAAAGAAAAAGGCACTACCGCGTGCGCTGGTCTGGGGATCTCAACTCATGGTAAAAAGACATGATTTTCTTCTTCAAGATCAAGGCCCGGAGGGAAGATCGATGCCCTCCCTCTGATCTGAGGGAGGGCGGGCTACCCACCTTATACGAGGTGGGTAGGCCAAGAAAAAAAGAAAAAAGTGCACTTGATTATTTTAGGTAAGTATGTAAACAAGCCCCTTGTTGCCTGGCCCCCTGAACCCCTGATCACTGTACGACAAGATTCTACAGGAAATCAATCCCCCCCACATGGAGCACACGGCTCAGCTCTTTCTGCTCAGGGACGCATGCCTGACTCCGCCAGACCTGCTGCTATTCTCGCTCGCAGACGAACCCGGGATCGCTGAGGAAGGATTCCGTGACTTCAAAGGTGGAGCTCTCCTCTCTTCCCAGGTCAGACCGCCAAGGAGGAGGCAATGCGCCGCCGTATCAAAAGCCGCTGCTTGGGTCTTCTCGAAGTCTCGGGCCCTTTTATAGAATCCATATCCGGCCAGTCTAGCCCGTACGAGTATTGCCGCGTCAAATACTTGCACAGGACCGTCAGAGAGTTTCTCCAGAAGCCATCAATCCGCACACACCGCGCTACGGTCTTCAAGGGGCCATTTGACCCTCATCTGAGGCTATGCGCTGCCTATCTATCCTACGCGAGGCGGGTTAGCCTAAGCCCCTAAGGGAAAGCCCTGTTGCGTCATGTTTTTGGCAAGGTCAGGCTCTATATATACTACTCTTCGCACGTCCAGAAGGATTCCGGTTCATCCCGGGTAGTCATTGTGGGTCTTGACAGGTTGAAGGCAACAGCGAATGCGGCCGTATGTAACGCCTTTCTATTTGATCGGGACTCTAACCAAAAGCGTTCATGGGTATTCTCGCTTCTCCGAGACGCCGGCATCACGCCGAATGATTTTGGGTATAACTTTCTGTCTCTTGCCGTGCGGTACGGGGTCACAGAGTACGTCAGGGCGCGAGCTCCCGCAGGTGGCATCGTGCAGTCATGAGAAATGGGGGAACCACAGAATACTGGCCGCTGCTCCAAGATGCCGCCTCGACAGAAAATGACCTCTCGGCGGAAAATCTTGGCCGCACGGCGCCGATGCTCGACATGGTTGCGTGTTTGCTCGACAAAGGCGCCAGCCCCTATCAAAAGCCGAGGCCCAGCCAGCCTATGCGGCGAACATTCTTTGGGCGCGGAAACAGCTCTGACGTGGCGAAGAGGTCTATGGTGAAGGAATTCTCCGCTCACATGGGAATATCGTCTGGATTCCTACTCCTTGGCCTTGTCAGAACTCGAATCATCAATCAAGAACCAACCGAACAGAGGGCTCATTATGAGTTGTACAGAGGATTCGGTCGCACGCCTGACCAGGCAGGAGAGCAGACATGAACGGAAGCCTTCATGACAGTTTTCACTTGATCCGACACCAACACGAGATGCATGATACAATCGCTCCCAAAATAAAGCAGAAAGGCGAAAGTCCCCAAAAGCAACGGGCCGAGCGGCCGCCCGATAAACAACAGCTGGAAACTGCGCCGCAGCAACACGCGGGAGCAATTCAGCGGGATCCCCCACCCCCGAAGTCCCGAGCCGCGTTCGAGGGGACAACAGCGCGGAAGCAAGAGAGCTGCTGTCCGGGTCGGGAGAGAAGAGCTTTCCAGCGAAGGAGGCGTGTAATTGATTACAGGACAGACAGATAAACCTTGACGGAACACAGCGTTGACAGCAGCCATAGCATCACGCGCCATGCATGCACGCTTTGCGCCTCGAGCCGGCCTCCCCTGGCAGATTGATAGGCTAGGCTGATCACACTGTCAAGTTGCGCGTATTCACCGAGTTAATAGCGATCGGACATACAAGAAATAATATGCATCATCAGACTCCCGAGTCCCGAGATCCGAGATCCGAGATCCGAGTCCAGCTGGTCGCTGCGCCACGCTCGACGTCACGTCGCAGCTGGTGCCTCGACACCGCGTCTGGGCGGGCAGGCAACTGGATTGGTGGATAGGGACCCCCCCCCCCCCCCCCCCTGCCACTCTTCTCGGGTGCTCGGGAATGCTTCCTCGCATAGCCGCTGTCGTGGAGCTAGCGGTTCATGCGGGAGGGAGAGAGCGCCAAATATAGGGTCCTAGGGGTATTTATCCGGCCGAGGCATCTATTTCGCGCTTCGACGCGCGCCTGGTTCGGCGCGCCTGGATGGTCAGAAATAGCAACGGCGGGCGATGCGAGGAATGAAGAACTGGGGTTCGTTGGGACGAACCAGATCATCTACACCCGGTAGAAGTCGTGGGGGCGGAGCAAATGTGAATTCCGAAACAATTACAATCTTGTTTCATACACTAAATCGTCCACATGTCGACAGATATCCTTGTGGAAGTGACGGCAAACACCGAAATAATGCTGTGTATGAAGAAAATCCAAGTGACATTGAGAATTTCTCTGCCACCTGACCCGATAAGCCGATTGCCCGCTGTAGCTCTGAGTCTAGAGTCTAGCCGTATCCGCCGCGGCTTGTATGTCTTGCCTGGTTCGCCCATTCGACCTTGCCATGCGCCCGCTGAGAAGTATGAGAGAGATAAAAGGCTAAGATACAGAGAAAATGTAAATAATAGAAGAAAAGTAGAAGGAAAAGTAAAAAAAAAAAAAAAAAAAAAAAAGTAAAAAAAAAATGAGAGTCCATGGATCCGAATATCGGCACCCGAGGAATTCGAGTCCACGCTGAGAGGAACAGACATGAAAAATGATAGATAGATCGACGAAAGACAATATAATATGCGAGTAGCGGCATGTGGCTTTGAAAGAGCTTGGGAATAGATACAAACTTCGAGTGCGCGTTTGGCCACAAGGCCAATCAAGAGTCAAAAATGGCGCCGTAGGCGGGGACGCCACGGGTCTCGAGACCATAGACGACCTTGCGAGTAAGTCTCTGGTTGGAGATGACAACGACGGCTTCGCACTTGCCAACGGGCTTGCTGCGCCCCGACGTATTCTGGCGTCCTTGGAGGCCGGCGTAGTCTGCGGGCGTGTCGCGCTGGCTCTGCTCCCACACGCGGTAGACGATCTTAACAAGGTCTGGGCGTCGTGTGGCAGGGCCGCCACGGCTCGTGTCGATAATGATGGCACGGGGGTCCGTCTTGTATATCAGGTCAATGACAGCCGCACCATACGTGGAAAGCGGCGCCTTGGTCGACCAGACAATGCGGACGGGGTGGTCGGGCTTCTGCACAAACAGACTCATGCATGGTGCGATGCCGGACCCGGTGGCCACGATGATGCACGGCTCAAACAAGCCAGCGATGCGCATGACCCCAAACTGCGGTGTGCCGCGCGTGTAAATCTTGGTCGGCGGGTTCTGAATGATCTTTCGTGTCCAGTCGCCGGCATTGGAGACAATGACGGAAAAGCCGTGGTCGCCGGCGTGCGAGAGAGACTTTGTGGTGTCTGGGCTGCGTACCAACGACAACTGACTGACGTGGCCCTTCATGTTGGCACCTCGGATGTTGGCGCCTCGCTCTGCCATAAGCGCAGGAACGGTGGCTTTTGAGAATCCCTCGCCGTGGCCAGGATTGCAGCAACAGCCGGCGCAATGACCTGTGGGCTTGGGAGCGGCAGGGTATGGTATCACGCCAAAGGCATGAGTCTCTTTGAGCGGGGCGTCGGTAATGCGGATGGCTTGGCCGTAGTGAACATTGCGGTAGTTAAAATTGAGCTTGACACAATGCTCCGAGAGGACCTCGGCCTCAACTTCGCGCAAGCGCAGGCGAGCCCAGGGGTATATAACGAGCAGCGTGGTTGTGGCCAGCATCCAGAAGTTTGAGGATACCAGCAGAGCCTTTCCCATACCCATGTCACTGTGCTGGGCGGCTTCGGCGGTAACGAGCATCAACTGGGCCCAAAACAGCAGCACCGCAGACCAGCCCATGAAGCGGTGAACGCCCTCGAACCAGTTGTGCATGATGCGTCGTAGGTGCGGGTAGGCGGTGATGAGCATCGTAACTAAGAGGACGATGATGGTGTAGCTGACAAAGTAGATGTAGCTGCGCAGGACGGTGGTCTCGCCGTTGGACCGGAAGTCCATGGTCAAGAGGACAAGGAAGGCGAGGTACCAAACTGTGCCAGCAACAGCACCGCCGCTATGGATACCACCGTACGAGTAGATCTTGGCGACCAGGCGTCGAGCACGCAGGGGAAGGCGCGTGGGCCATGTTCCAAAGACCCAGAAGAGAGAGTTGACAACATGCTCGTTGCGAACGGCTATGGCGGCGAGGATGTTGGCTGTGACTGCGGTGCTGGCTTGCTGGTACGTGAGGGTGTTGCCAGCCACAATCCAGTGGGCAATGAGGAACGCGAGAGCAGCGAGGTTGGCGAGAAACGCCAGACAGAATATGCGGCGGTAAACCGACCCAAAGTTCCATCTCAGGTGCCGGAAAACCCGAGGCCCCCTTTTACGTGGCAGGGGTGAGTTATCGAGGGAGTTGGAGGTAAAGGGGTCATTGAGCTCGTCTTCGGAAAGCAGACCCTGGCTGTCGGGCTTGTCGGATTTCTCCTTTTGGTTGTCTGGCCTGTCGCTCACAAGAGTGTCGGACGAGATGTTCCTTGGCACGCGCCCTACCTCCAAGTCGCGCGGAGAGACCAGCGTACTTGTGCGGACACCGAGGAAGAAAGCTCTTGTTGGCTGCGTGATGGATTCGTCGTTGCTGTCTTCGGAGTCTGAAACATCCGTGTCGCAGTCTGTCAGATCATCGATATCTGGAAGTGGAAGTGGGCTTGGTCGTGGCATCGTAGGGAGGGCTGGAGCGCGGATGGAAGGGTCCCAAGAAACGAAGGATGTGCAGTCTTGTTTCGGCGGTGGCATTGGCCAGTTTGTGGTGAGATCGCCCCTGTCAAGGTGCTCGTGCTCTGGGCTTTGGTACTTCCACTGCACAAGCCGAGAAGGTGATTGCGGGAGCGACATGTTCAAGCCGTCTTGTGAACTCGAGGTTGAGGTGGTAATCGAGTTGGGAGCCAGACGATAGGCAACGCGCGTAGGGTAGGTAGTAGGTAGGGTACTAAGAATGCTTCCTCTCGGGAATAGGTGATTGAATCCGGGCAGCAAAATACCTGCTCGGGCAGTTTCAGCTTCTCTTACACCGCAACCCGTGATGTCACTGGTGATGCCTTCCTCATCTATGTTGCGAGTACGTAAAGGCTCCACAATAACACGGGAAGCGGAAAACGGATGACCTGAAGAGCTAGAGACCTGGGGAACTGGGGACCTGGGGTTAGACTGGGGATAATGCCGACGAAGCCGCAGAGTCAAAATGGGACGAAGAAGCCAAAACCATATTGGATGGCCGTTGAATGAATCGGTTGGGGCGTTCTCTATATAGCATCATTCTGGAGTGTGCTCTCTCTGGAGTGTGCACTCTCTGGAGTGTGCACTGAGGTGAGTGTGCACTGAGGTGAGTGCAGGTCCTCGGATGGAATGAGAACCGAGCCGAGGACGAGAGAATGCTCCGCCGCTGCCCAGCCGAGGAGAAAATAGCACGGACGGCCATGTTGTTGCTGTCCGGGCAGCCAGACTGCGGGTTGGTGAAGAGGGCGTAAGGGATCCATGTGCCATATCGGCGGCGACCTGTTTGCAGGGATTGATTGCAAGTGCTTCTGGAAGATGCCCAAGGACCTAAGGCAGGTACCCATGCTGGCCAAATGAGATCCCGCGGCCGCTTGTAGCCCTACAAATCCGTAAATAGCATCGACGAGACCGGGGGGGACGGCTCCCGTTCGCCGATGGGATCTCGAACCGGGGAGACAGCTGTCGGCTATCTCGATGGTGCGCACAGACACGAGAAGCGAGACGTGAACCGGCGGTTGGCGAACACGACTTCAGCCAGTGCGCGCAGCAGGAGCAGTGAGTGCGTCATAATTGACATCCAAGAGGCGGCTGAATTCGGTTGCCCCATGTCTCGGGAAACTGAACAGCCATATAGGAACGAATCTAATGCGGGACCTAATTAGCTACCTTACCTAGGTATTGGACGAGTGGGGGTACGGGCGTGCTGTCACTCGTGTCCTAAATCGTCTTTCTGGAGCTGGCAAGTGAGAAAGGGCCAGGTTGAAGCCCCAGTCACCGCAGCGAGAGGACGGGAATGCTCGCCCAACAAAGAAAAAAGACCGGCCAGTTGGAACTGGGAAGCTGTGCCTTGGTGTCAATCCCAGCCGATCCCTGTCAATCCCGGCCTGCCCCGGCCAATTCCGGCCAGTCTTCCACCCTTTGTAAGGCGGTGGGTGTCCACCCCGGCCGCGATGCAGATCCAGATGTGGCTTGCATTGGGGGGTGGGGGTGCTGGTCAGTGGGATCGGACCCGCTGTAGCGTGTTTGGCCTAGGGTCCCGAGCAGCCTTCTGTCAAACCCGCGACCGCCGAATTCCGAATGCCCAGGGCTGTTGTTATGGGTAGATTTGGTAGGTGGCGCTCTTCATTACCCGTATTCTGAAAATCCTCGAGTCTCCCCTCAACTCCGTAGGACCACTGCGGAGCACACGGAGCATACCATAGGCACACTGAAGTTGGACAGCCTCGCGGCGTCCTCTTTCCAAGATACCTAGGTATGTACATCCATACCCTCCTACCTATCCGCCCCCGCCAAGCAGCTCCAGGGACGCAGCAACTACGGCAGCCCTCGATGAACGCAACCATGAACCAGGGAGAAAGTCGCGTCCGTCCACCTAATTAAGTCATGAGTACGACGATAGCGGGGCGCTTCCAGCGGGCCGATGTTCTGAGGTCGAAACATGCGGCTCGGGAAGAGAAATGGCCGATCATCCGCTGTTCCACTGCATCTCCTCAGAACCTTACAGGGCTCGACACCCAAAGAGCTCGGATGGCGGCCTGCGGGGTGGGACAAGCTCTGGGTTCCGGGCCAATCAGAGCAAGTGCCGTTGGCCAATAGCGCATGGCCAACAAAAGCGGCTGCGAACTCACTCACCCGTCATGAGCCAGCCACAATGTGATCGGAGAATATATTTCAAGTCGCACGCAGGTATTTTGGGCGCGTCGGCCGTCTGTAGGATTCGCTTGTTTCCCAGAATGCAGCGCACCCGGGAAGACAAATTGGTTGGGGCTAATTAGCTATTCTTGGACTCGGATAATGTGGGCAAAATGCCCTCTGGCTCCCCTCCTGGGCAAATTCTCGTGGCCATCGGTGTGGAGCTAGGTGGGGGTTTGCCTGTCCCCGTTCCAAAAATATCGTCCGAACTAAAGTGGCCCACTCAATTGCCTCTCCTGCTCGCCCGTTTCCGCGTCCAAGAAGCACCACAGACGTTTGCACACCTTAAATGCAAACCGACATAAGCCCCCATCTAATGCTGTAGATGATGCTCAGAACATTGGCTTGGCCGTCAAGTGGCTGGTTGCCTCCAAGAACATAATTGGAGCCGTTCCCAACCTCCCAGCTCTCATGCCTGAGGCTGCGGACCTTCAAATCCTTTCAGCCCGTGTCCGAACCGTTGCACTCTCCCATCAACGGCGACCCAGTCCCAAGCTTTCTCACCGCGCCCCTGCCACGTCCTGCCGCCCGCGTTTAATATGACATCTTCCTCTTTTACTTTACGCCGCCATCCGCGCGCTTCCTCTCTTATCTAAGCCGGTAATAAAACTCTCCCGCATTAGATTAAAGTATCCCATTGCATTCGGCTTGGATAGCGGCTCGTTGGTCTAAAGGTCCCTACGTGTTCGTGATAATGATCCTTCCTCACCCATAATTAGACCTCCCACCTCTTCCTTTGAGGGAGTTCCTTGGAACACCCACGCCCCATTATTAGATTCCGAGAACAAGTTACAGGGGCTTCAGATCCTTCCTTGTGTCTCCATTTTCCAGGTTTTCACGGCTGCATATGGGCTTGTGGTGCAGTTGCTTGACTGCATCGCGTACATTTGCAGCAATCCAATCTGATCTAGCGGCACGTATTTGCCTATTACTCGTGCTGTCACACATGTAGATGTCGTCTAGGTAGGTCTATCAGCAAGCTTTCCTTGGTTCCGGGGTCGAAGTTGGCCGTCAATAGCCCCATCCGTCATTCCGGTCGCAAATCATCCACTTCTGGCAGTTCTTGCCCTTGTAAAAGTCCTGCGCCCACACCTCCATCTGCGCAATCACTGCTCGCTGCGTTGCGCGAACGCCCTCGTTGATGTCGGCAGTCTTGGTGAGCAAATCGTTACAGTGACGCGCGCCGGGCATCAGGAACACGGGCGCCGCGGCCGTGCTCTCGAGCGGTCCGCCTGGCCGCAGCTCGCTCGACACGGAAGCCGACCGCCAGGGGTCAAACTCGCCGTTGACCCACAGAAGCCGGGTTGTATTAGTCAAGTCCCAGCCCTGAGTCACGTCGTTGGTCATGTCAACCGTCTTGCCGGCGGCGGACCCGTACGTGGCGTTGCCTTCGGTCGGGAAAGACAGCGCGCACTGCCGCTGGTAGTACTCGACGCTGACGTAGCGCGACACTATGGTGGTGTGGTTTTTGGGTGCACCGCTGTCGTGTAAATCTCTGGTCAGCTAATTTTTGTCTCGACTTCAGACTTCATACAGCCAATTGAAGGGCGGTCAAGGACTAGTACTCACGTTTGCCAGTAGGAGAAGGGCTCATTACAAAGAAACCACATCCACTGGCGGTTCCAACCATTTCCAACGGTCCAGTCTGCGTAAAAAGCCTGGCTCGTATTATACGTGTCGAAGCAGTCGTTGACCGACTGGAGGTTGCCATCGTTGTCGGTGCAGACTTGTATACCGCAACCATGATGGATTAGCATGGCATTCGCTTGTCATGTACCTGGCGATCTCACTCGTTCACTGCGAGGAGCCAATGACCAAACTTACCGTTGGGCACATATTCGTTCCTGAACCACGACGCATAGTTGGTGAGCGCCTTCTTCAAGCCGACACCGATAGCGGGGACCGTGGTGTTAAGCCACTTCCCAGTGCTGTTGGACACGTTCGTGCCGTTGATTTGCACAGGCCTCACGCCTTCCATGCTGTCGCACATCTGGAAAAAAGCGGAGTAGTTGGAAAAGAACTGCACGCTCTGCCACATACTAACGGTGTTTGAAACGGCGCTGTTTGTTCCCCCGGCTCGTGTCAGCAAAGGACCCAAAAGCGGGCAATTCAAAGATCAGTATACTCTGAGGGGAATGAGTCCGTACGTAGCAAAGTCATCGGCGTGCCCGAGCTCGTCCAGTCCAAATCGCTTCTTCAGGTCGCAAATGGCCGTCTCGTTCTTGCTATCCAGTACATTGTCGACGTGCTCGACGATCCGCGAAATGTCGGTGCTGCAGTTCTTGGGCATGCCCTTCTGGATGGGAAGAAAGTACGACCAATAGTCGTCAACGAGCTGCACCGGCGCACTGGATGCATGGTAGGCCCAGAAAGTGCCGGGCGACAGCTTCTCGGTCCAGGCAGCTAGCGCGCCGGAATATGAGCCCCCGACATTGATCCACGGCTTGGTTGCGAGAAGACGGGAAATTGTCAGCGATTTTGGCCAATCTTTGACGGGCCTTGAAATCCTTCAGGCAGAGGGCGCACTCACGGAGTTAGGGGCATTGACCAAGCTGCTATTGTCGAATGGGAGCTTGACATTCCTTGCAATGTTCACTAGATCGGCGATCGAGTTTTCGAGGGTCAGATACGTGAGATTCTGCGTGTCAAGGACCTGGAAAGGCGAGGATTCGCCGTAGTACCGATCTGAAAAAGGAGGACACAAGGGTCAGTCTGCGATCTTTCAACCCCAACGGTGCCGGCTGGCCGAACGGGCAGAGGCGTACTTACGCTCAACCATAACCACGGCGCCTCCAATGGCACGAGCATAGAGGCCGGTGAGTGTCCGCTCAGTGATGTAGCCGCCGTAGTTTGTCGCATCAGACTCGCCAGGAGTGAAAAGCACAATCTGAAATCGAGACAGGGTCAGCTTCCTTTTCCGCTGTCGCTGCCAGCCATGGCACGGGGGAAACTCACGGGAGAACCTGGCCCAGCCCAGAATGTGTTGTTCCACCAAATCCGTTGCGAGAACGTTCCCAAGCTAGGGTTCTTATGGTCAATAAGCTGCCGGAACGTAGAATTGCCGCTCGAGCCTCCAACCTCCGCCAAATCACCAAGTAGACGCTGCATCAAAGGTCGCTGCAGCCGGAGGCCACGAGCCTGCACCTGCATGAAGCAAAGCAAGCCCAAGAGGAGCGAGAACATGCTCCCGGTCTGCATCTCAAAACGTGCCAACGAGCAATGAATGAGGGTGCGATTTCTTTTGTGAATGCGGAAGAAGGGGAAATTCGAGGACGAGGGGATTTCGATTTCGATTTCGATTCCGATTTCGATTTTGGTCCCGGGGAAGAAAATTTTTGGAGGGCTAGTTGGCCCCAAGGTATCAGACGAAACGTGAAGCGTCGTGCTGCCTTGCAATCGGATGAGTGTTTGGGCCGAGAACGGCCAGGCTCCGCTACTCTCGATTCACAGCAGCAGGTGCAATATATTTAAATCCAAGAGGTGCCGCAATTGGGAGGAGACACAAGCCTCCGTAGGACGAGTGGCACAATGCGGCTGCAGACGGTGAGGCAGACTCGCAGAATGAAGCCATCGCGGCCAATTCATTCTACGTCAAACTGAGGCACAGGACTCAATTGCGATATGTTGCAACCAATGGTGGTCTCGTCACCGACACGTCAGACGACGTGAACAGACCATGCGCTGCAGTATTCCGGCTCCACGGAGCCGTGGCAATTCGTGCGCCAGGCAAGTGTGCTCCCAGCAAATCACCCAAGGCGGCTAAGATGGTGGCATCCGGAAAGTAATGTGCCGCCCGGCACGGTGGGAATAACTGGGATGCCAAATTTATTTCCCATAAAGGGCCCATAAAGGGAGCGGATAAATGGGGGGCTCGGCGCACAGCGGCCGGCATATTGGGCAGGTCATGCTTCTGAGCTACGGTGAGCCATCCAATGCGTCATAACAAAAAACTTGAGACGAAATTTGCTCAGAAGAAGCATAAATGAGGAAGCATAAATGAACAACGGCGATGTGTGTTCTATCTCCGCCAGATTGGTATTTCACCTTGTCAGTCCAACTTGGTAACTCGGCGACGACAATCAGACCTGGGAACTCAGGAAACAGTAATTACGTAGTCTCAACAGGATGCTTCCGGGCCATGATGAGTTACTTGAGAGGCAGTTGTGGTTACGCCTTGATGCCGAATACCCCGAGATACACGATTTAATCCATACCACACACAAGTAGCTAGTGCGATAACAGTAGGTACTCAGAGACTAGTCGACCCTCAAACACAACAATGAAAAACGAGCTCTCCGCTCCATCTTTCACTTCACCAGACTTTAGAACCATACTATACTCTATCTATAGAACAGGCCCACCAAAAAACGCCTTGATAGATTTCCAACTATAGTGCCATTGAGAGGAGACAGATTTGATTTGTTGATGCCATCAGCCGGCAAAGGGTTGGCGTTTTTCGTCCTTGTTACTTTGTTTTTTCCATTCATGTTACTCTCTTTTTTTTTTTTTTTCTTCATGCGTGTCACTTTGCGGCTTTTGGACTTGGAAGGAGACAAGAGCTATTTCAACTTTAAGGGGTCATCGACTTTCTTCCTCGAATCGTCGATGAACGTGAGCTCGAGGTCATAGCTCGCAGTCATCTTAAAACAGGTCTGATTCTCAACTCCAGGTAGTGGCTCGGTCTTATTTGCAGGCGTAACCGTAACATGAGGTACTTATGTGCAAGGCTGGGGGGGCCAAGGACCGGTCTTAGCTTGGGATGATTTTGGCGTTGTTGTGGGCCCGCAAGGTTTATTCCCTGCCGATACCGCCCGCAGTTGTCAACAATCAGGGACGGTTTGGGGCCGCAAACTTCCGAGCCCAAAACACGCCCCAAAAATGGCTTGTGGATGGACCTGTTCTTTTCCATTCTGCTTTGGGCAGGTGCCTCAAATTAAGGAGATCCCATCAGCAGATAGCGATTGGGGGACCTTCCAGCTTGTGGGGCATTAGCTCAGCACTGGGAGAGAATGCACGTGACACGACTTGGCAAAGAGCTTGGACCATTGGCCATCTCGAAGCTCCACACTCCGGCACTGTCTGGCGTCAAGTTCGAAACAAACACCACCGGGTCAGGCGACTCCCCTCAATTGACTACGCAAGCTTCCTCAATTGCTGTCCAAGATGGCGCACGCTGTAGAAGCCGAAACTCCGCGGAGTATGGGTTCCCATCCTCCCTAACGTCTGAACCAGTGCTTTACCTTCAAGAATTGCTTGCTAACTTGGATGGTGCAAAAACAGAGGCGACCCGCGAGGAGATGCGCGATGCCAAACTGCCCATGGCATACCGAGACAGCTGCGCCAACTTGCTGATCCCGCTCAATCGGTGTCGCTTCGAGACGTACTACATGCCCTGGAAGTGCGAGGTACGCCAGACACAAACCGGACCCGCCCCGAAACATGCACCTGAGAGACCGACAGACACGGGTGCTGACATTCCCCACAGACCGAGAGACACAGCTACGAGAAGTGCCAATACGTCGAGTTCAAGAAGCGTGTGGCCAAGATGAACGAGCTCCGGGAGGCAAAGGATGGCGCACGGAGCAACTGATGCGGAACCACCAACCAGCGAGTAGGTGATGGGCTCACCTTGTACATATTCCGAGAAGACCGTGATGGAACTGGAGCTGGAGCTGGAGCTGGCTGGGTTTGCAACGGTATATATATGCAATACACTGGCTCTCCAGCTGTCCAATGCAACAAAGATCAGCCGTGCGCTAGGAGGAAGGTCAGAGACAAAGCACGAAACCGGGTCTCGGCACGACGAGAGCGCTCGCCTCAGACCCTCTGCCTCGTGGACTTTATAGCTTTGTGTACCAGTGTGCCCGTCAATTTCCAGCGATCCGCCTTCCTACGGCTTCGTTCGTTGTGCTATGGGGCGTGGCTCTTTGGTCGAAGTCTCCCGGGTCGGGCCGAATCGCGTGGTCTACGGCCTTCGTGGCCTAAGGAAAGAACAAGGGATCCCAACAACAAATGCCGCAAACTAGTTACGAACGTGATCCGTCGTTGGCTGTGAGCACTTCGGAATGGATGCGAGCTGGCAACCATGGCGCAGGATGGAGTCATCTTGGGGTTTCCAACACTTGCCTCAAGGTCTTGTGGGTTTGACTTCCCAGTTGCTCATCACTTCCTGCACCCACACACTCGCAACCTATTTCATGCAGGCGGTACTCATCAGAACGTCTATAGGCATTGAAGTTCAGCATCATATCCTCCTTCTACGGGCTGCTTTCTAGCGCAAGGGTTAGCTTTAGGACGAGTCTGCCAGCTTCGCCCTGCAGTTTCCATCCCCGACATATTGAGAGAAAACCCGCACTGTAAGTGTTTCTGCCCTTCCCACCGAGGTACATCCCATGCCCAAACGATACAAAGTCACTGCAAAGTTCTCGGAGCCCGTTCAGCAACTGGGTCTCGAAGGGATGTACGGACCTAGCGAATACTAACCGTCTGTTCCACTTCCACTGTTAGTGGGCGAGATGGGCATTTCCTGACTAGTAATTGCCTAGTTTGATGGATCTAGCATGGAGTGTTAACTAATTTCGAAGCGCACAAGGCGCTGGTTCATTTCTCTGGTATGTTCAGCTTGCTCTTTGTGTCCCAGTGGGGTTTGTTACCAATGCTGGAAGACTCCTATACCGTGTTCCAAGACAAAGACAGCTACGAACATTAGCCGACAATGGCCTTTATGGACTAACATTTATGGCGGAGTATTGAACATGCCAAATCGAGGCGACTGAGCAGCTTCTTGGTTCCCACTGTTCGAGTGGTCAAGATTAGAACCTCGACCTCCTTTTCTCAAAATATTTAAAAGTTGAGAGATCACTTCCAAGCGCAGACTCTAATCTCGGCCGCGTCTTCACTCTTGGTCAAGGCACAGGAATCGGCCACCTAACCATTGACACAGCCGATAAACCACTCCAGCTCTCTCCCTCCATTACCCAAAACCCGCATGTCCTTGGGTTTTGGGAAACAGATACAAACATGGCTTCCACCCCCAAATTTGTCAACCACTACCAGGTGCTGAGAATTAGCTCTACGGCGACAGAAGCGGAGATCAAGAAGGCCTTCCACAAGCAGTCGCTGCTTACCCACCCAGACAAGATGGGAAACACCCCCAAGAATCACGCCGCATTCTGCGCCGTCAACGAGGCCCACAGGATCCTTTCTGATCCCAAGCTGAAACGTGACTACGACGCACTGTACGCCGCCAACCGCCGCTCTTCCCGAAATCCAAACACCAAGGACCCAAGCCGCCCCTCCGGCCCCTTGGCCCCACGTCCGCCTCCCGCCAAACCCACTCCGAGGAGACCTTCAGGGCACCACTCGTCCAACCCTGGTAGACACCACACTCCACACGCGTCGAAGCCGCCAGAGCCCAAGCCTAGGGAGCGCCGACCCACTCCGGATGCGCCGAAGACGCCGGATCCCAGGTACAAGGACGCGCCGAAGACGCCGGAGCCCAGGTACAGGGACACGCCGAAGACGCCGGAGCCCAGGCCTGAGAGCAGGTACAGCCGCCCCGGCGGCTCCAATGCACCGTCGCCGATCCCTCGCGAGGAGTCAGGACCGCGCCTGTACGAGGTGCAAAAGAAGCTAGAGAAGGCCGACTCCAAGCTGAAGACCTTGCGGACCATTGTTAGCGACTCCAAGATGAGCGACAGGGACGCGGCGCGCCTCAAGGCCGCAATCGACGAGTTCCGCGACGCCATCGCTTGGCACCGCTGCGACACGGAAGAACTGGCCAAGCGCCGCCGCCTTCCGCAGTCACCCGAGGAGGCTGTGAGCATTGCCAGGGGGGTTATAGCTCACGAGTACAAGTCCCTGTGCTGGGATGTTCTCATGCGCGCCATTCTCGACAGCGCGGTCCGTAAATCTGAGAAGCTCGGTTCCTCGGAGGACTTTCGCCTCGGGCTGATTACCAAGCTTGAGGAGCACCAGCATGTCCTCATGCCTTGAGATGGCTTCTTTTTCTTTGCAGGTAAGTATTTGCTGCGTAGATGCTAACTTCTTTAGTACCGAGTATTATATCTTTACTTGTTGCACTTTTGATCTACCTAGGTAAGTTTCTAATCTCTTTTCTGTACCTCTATTAGGAGAGCAAATAATACAACCTGGTCTGCCACGAGTATTTATTTTCCACTTACGTTTTGACATCTTGCATTGTAGTGGCTCACGCTTTTGTCTAATTGCGTGAAATGAGAAAGGAATTAATTAGGAAAACAGCCAACACGTGAGCGAGAGACGAGATTCATGTTGATGCAAAACTTTTAAACTCCTTTTTCACCCCGTGCCCAGGGTATTTAGATACTGATATACCGTCCCAGACCTTCTTACTCTTCCGTACATGGACATCGTGCCCTTTTGATCCGTTTCAAACAAAGTCAATGCTTCAAACAAGGTCAACGCTGCGCTGCACCCCATAACGCCACTCAGTGTACGCCACTCAGTGTCCGCCACTAGTGTCCGCCAATCTGGCCCTTCGGCAGCGGCGGAATCCAGCACACGGCCAAATTGAGCGCGACATGTATCACGCCAATGACCCAGAACCCCTTGGCATAGTCCGTGCCGCCGCCCATGTAGCGGAAGATGATGGCGAAGATGACGCCGCCCAGATTCCCGCCGGCGCCGGTCAGGCCCGACAGGATGCCGTTGGCGTAGGGGAAGACGTGGGGCACGAGGGCAAAGTTGGCGCCGTTGCCGGCCTCATGGAACACGGCCAAGAGCACGATCAAGCCGACCATGGTCGGCAGGTGGTGCGGGTTCAGCGTGCCGATGAGGATCAGCAGGGCGCCCGTCAGCAGCCCGCAGACATGAATCCACGCCTTCTTGAGCCACAGGCTGCGGCCGTAGCGGTTGTACAGCAGGTCGCTGACCACGCCGCCGGCGGGCCGCGTGATGAAGTTGAGGAAGCCGAAGATGGCCGCGTAGTTGCTCGCGTTGGTCTGGCCCAGCGTCGGGAAGTTCTTGAGGTAGTACGACGCCAGTATGGCGTTGATGGCCAGCTCCCCGCCGAAGCTGCACGCGTACGTGGCCACGTGGAACAGGCCGTGCAGGCTGAATACGACGCGCACGCCCTCGCGCACGCTCGGCTTGACCACGATCTCGCCCTGCGCCGTCTCGAGCGCCTCGGTCCGCGAGATGTCGGCCTCGTGCTCGAACCCGTGCACGCTCTTGCTGCTGCTGCCGTCTTCTTTGCTGTCGCTGCTGCCCTTGAGGTCCTTCTCCTCGTCCGCCGCCGCCGCCGCCGGCAGCTGCCGGTCGGCCACGGTGCCCGTGATGTTGACAATCTCGCCCGGCAAGCCGTGCGACACGAGGTTGCTCTGCACCTGGGCGTGGCGGTCATCCCACTTGCCCATGGGCGTGTCCTCGCACAGCAGCAGCAGGCCCAGGCCGCAGGCGATGAGGCAGACGAGCGGGACGAGGAATGTCAGGCGCCAGGCCTCGCCGGGGGTGCGGCCGCGGCTGTGGACGAGCGAGTCGTAGACGGCCGGCATGATGAAGTAGGTGATGCCACCGCCGGCATTGCCCCAGCCGCCGGCCAGCGCGTTAGCCGTGCCGACCACGTTCTTGTCGAACCAGCCCGTGCACCAGACCTGGCACGGCACGAACGACCCGCCGAGGATGCCGATGAAGAAGCGGATCACGTACAGCCCCGACGCGTTCTTGACCAGCGGCGCCAGCCCGATCGGGATGCTGCCAACCAGGATCAGCATGCTGAACACCTTGCGCGACCCCATGTGGTCGCACAGCGGGCCGGCTACGAATCGCACTAGTAGCGTTGCTACGAGAGAGATGATGTTGGAGTTGGCCACCTCCTCGGACGTGAGGTTGAGGTCTTTTTTGATCGTCACTGTGAGCTGTTGCCGTGTTAGTGGCCCTGGGACTCATAGCAATTGTGGGGACGAGCTTGTTGACATACCAGTGGCGGGAATGTGTACCATGCCCAGAACGCCAGCATGAAGCCGAGCCACGAGAAGAAAAACACGCGGCCATGTCGGTTGACGGGATTGAATACGGGGATGCTCCGGGCCTTCTTGTTGACCGGGTTGAGCACGGGGGCTTGCCACAGGTCGGAAACTTGGAATCCCATAGTCACAGGTGGGCCTAGGGGCACGGCGTCAAAGTTACTTGCGGCTGGGGACCGGGGTGTTGAGTAGAGGCGATGGGGTTGGCCCAAAACGCAATCGACCAGAGTCGCGTGCGAGTCGGGGTTTATACTCGTTCGTCTCATCCGCTCGTCGCAGCGGCCCCCAAAATCTCAAGAAGGAAATTCCAGGTTTGCATCTCCGCATCTTCAAGAAACGCAGCCCCACGGCGCGGCACGGGGTTGCAAATGACCAGGGGGGGGGGTCCCGAAGCGGAAAGGCTGCCGAGGCTTATCTCGTCGCCGCCCATTGGCTTGTTGGGCTATGCGAGAAGCAGCCTCCCCATTTGACGAGCTGGCTTGGCTTGGCAGCGATAAGACGCACGCCGTGGCTTGCCATGACGGAGCGACCCGAGAGAGGGAGCCTGGGGCGTCTCGGCCGTGAGCCGTGCCATCTCCGCGGGAGACTTCCCAGTCTTGATGACGGTATGCAGGACGAGATGTGGGTAACGGGGGGAATCTGGGCCGTGGGGGTGGCTGCCTCCGGAGCTGCGGCTGAGGACGACATCACGACCCGAGGAGGTGTCGGTTTCAGACTTGTCAAGAGCCGAGCACCCAGTTAGGTCTAGGCCCCGCCCTATCCGGCAGAGATAGCAGCAGATCTTGGGAATTGCATCTCCGGTCCATCTGCATTCTGCATGGCTATCTCTCGATCCCTTGCTCTCCCCACGCAGCACCCCGCGGAGTACTATTTTACAAAATTTTTGCCAAGAGGTGGCATGTCCAAAATGACGACTACTTCCTTTTCTCATCTTGGCCCGAGTTCCACGTTACATGTGCCGCCGAGGTCTAGGCCTTCGGAGAAACAAAGCGTCATATCCGGCCATGTTACCGAGACAGCGGTCTCGGAGCCAGTGTCATTGCATCTAGTCAGCACGGGGCCCTCAAGGCTCTCGGATGGCGTCAAGGCTCTCGGATGGCGTCAAGGCTCTCGGATGGCCTTTGCAACGAGTCCAGATATGGAGTCATCCGTTGTGGTCTGAGACCGAGACATATATGTGGCCGAAGCTGAACACTGGCTTACTTATCAGGGCTGCATCTTGTCTCCATGATGTCATCAATGCATGTATATCGCACTCTTCGCTCAAATGGGTCTTATCTCTGGCTGCGCAACCCAACGGATCGCCATGTCGGTCCGGCCGCTATCTTATAGGTGGGAAACTTTTCAATCTTACGTACCTCGTCCTTTTCTGATAGACACACCGAGGCGGTGAATAGGGGTCGACGTTTCTTTCTCGCTTCTCAGCTATTTCATAGCAGCCTCCACGTCCGAGACCAAAAAGTACGACATATCTCAACTACAAGAAAGCAATGAATCACCCGGATTTCAATACATCATTTGGCCATCCACCAACCCTCTCAACAATGGGAGGAGCGCAGACAAACAATAGCAGGCTGCCGAATGTTTACACTCTTTAGCTTGGGACATGCATATCCAATGGACATCCAATGGACATCCAATGGACACCCAATGGACAGCGCTGCCCCTTTTGCGGCTCAGAGCCACCCCGTTTTCTACCGAGACATGATCCCCGCTCGATCTGGAGCTGTTGTCCCGGTAGGAAGAAAATACCAACACTAACCCGCTACACAAAAGCGGGGATTTCAACGGCTCTCCGCAGCGTCTACGTAATTATCCCCCGCATGCCCGTGTAAATGATCCCGACTCTCGTTGCTGCCGGTCTAGTGGTAATTAAGGACGCGGCATGTGTTGCCCGGATGGCTGCTTGGCCCGCTCGTTGGTCAACTCCAACTGGCGCGCCACGAACCTAAATCTTGCCACTCCATCGTCACTGTCCAGCTGACACTCGTGTAATTAATCCAAAACAAAAATAAACATGGCGGACGTTCAAAAAAATGGCACCGACACGGCCGTCCCGAGCCACCACAAGGCCATTGTCTACGACAACCCGGGACAAATCAGCACGCGGATCGAGACGGTGGCGACGCCGCGGCCCGGGGTGGGCGAGGTGCTGGTGCGCATCACGCACTCGGGCGTCTGCAGCAGCGACCACGCCGTCATGACGAACCGGTGGGCGAGCCTGCCGCCGACGGCCGCGGGGCAGGTCGGCGGGCACGAGGGCGTGGGCACCATCGCCGCCTTCGGCCCCGGCGGCGGCGGCGACGAGCAGCAGCATCCCGGCGGCACCGCGCTGAAGCTGGGCGACCGCGTCGGCATCAAGTGGGTCGCCGCCGTCTGCGGCACCTGCCTGCCCTGTCTGTCGGGCCGCGACGCCCTTTGCCACGCCGTCAAGATCTCGGGATTCTACACACCCGGCACCTTCCAGCAGTACGTCATCGCGCCTGCAAACTACGTCACCCCCATCCCCGACGACGTCCCCAGCGACCTGGCTGCGCCGCTGCTTTGCGGCGGCGTGACCGTCTACGCGGCCCTGAAGAAGTCGGGTGCGCAGCCTGTGAGATCTCTCTCTCTCTCTTCTCTCCCCCTCTCCATATTCTCGCCTAGGTCTTGAGTTGGGTCTACTGACGCCTGTCCTCTCTTTAGGGCGAATTTGTCGTCGTCCCGGGAGCCGGCGGAGGGCTGGGCCATCTTGCTGTGCAGATCGCCAGCCGAGGCATGGGATTCCGCGTGATTGTATGTCTGATTCGTGTCCGCAGATACTGACAGAGGTTTTACAGGATTACTGCTAATTCGACGGTGAAAAAGGGCATCGACTCGGGCGAAAAGGAAGCCTTTGTGCGCTCGCTCGGCGCCGAGGCCTTCTTCGACATTGCACAGTACAGCCGCGACAAGGCCGGGTCGGACCAGCTGGCGGCCGAAGTCAAGGCGGCGACGGGCCGGGGCGGGTTGGGGGCAGCGAGCGTCATCGTATGCACCAACTCGAACGCGGCGTACGGGCAGTCGCTCAACTTCCTCGCCTTCGGCGGCTCCGTCGTCTGCGTCGGGCTGCCCGAGGGCGACCCGGTGCCCATCGCCGGCGCCGTGCCCGGGTTCCTCGTCAGCCAGGAGCTGCGCATCGTCGGCAGCGCCGTCGGCAACAGGAAGGATGCCATTGACACCCTCGACATGGCCGCCCGCGGGGTCGTCAAGACGCACTTCCAGCTCGAGCCCATGTCTAAGCTCACCGACGTTTTTGAGCGCATGGAGAGGATGGAGCTCCAGGGCCGCGTTGTCATTGACATGAGCAAGGAGTGACATTGGCCCTAACAGTAGACTAGATTGATGGCCAAAGTGTCGGGATCAGAAGCTCGTTAAGCCCCGCCTCTTCGTAGGTCAGGCGAGGCCTACAGCGATAGTTAACCTCATGGCCCTCTAGAAGATATAGTGCCTCTATTATCAAAAGAAAAATTGTCCGAGACTACACCGGTCAGACAACACTCGAGCGACATAGGTCCCATGCAGCCAGTGACATTATACAATAATTGCTATTTAATATTTTCACCCGAGGCACGTCTCGGACCGAGCGCAATCTTAGCCCAGCGCCTACTCGAGAGATGCATGTGGGAGGAAAGCTTATATCCAATCTGTGCGCCATGCCGCCGTGCTCGAGGCGTCGGTGGCGCGCGCACAGCCCGAACCTCCGGTCTTGCCTCATCATTAGGTAGGGGGTGTGTGCCCTAGCCTAATTACACAAAAGACTTTGGAGCATCCGCCCGCTCGTCGCCCCCCTCCCTCAGCGATCCCTCCGTCTATCCATCCTCCTCCGTCTTGTCCATCCTCCTCCGTCCATCTATCGCGGAATGAACAACCCTCGAACCAAGAACATGGCAAAAGAATGTCCCACCTTTTCCGACCCGAAGAGATTTCCCGCACCTCCCAGAATACAAAAGAACAAGACAGGAAAGTGGGCGATGTATATATCCCTGACCTCATTGAAACCCATTCGAACAATTTGGCCCCCGTCCCCCGCCGAGTAGAATGACGAACCAAAGAAGAAAGGAAGGGTATGTATGATACACGGAACCGTCTTCTTGTTCCTCAGTCTCTATTTACCTCTGCCTTCTCAAACTTCCAGCATCCCCGCCCGACTCTCATTCCCAACACGCCCCAAACAAAGATAGCCAGTTGGAGGCGTTTTCAAAACACGCGTACCAGCCCATCAAATGACTGACAGCAAGAAGACAAAACAGGATTATTATGCGATGCAATGCGAAGACCAAAAAATGCGACCAGAGACAAAGGAAAATATACATGCCACGCACTCGAACGAGTTATAGCACAAACACCAACACCAACACCAACATCACCACCGCCACCGCCATGGTTAACTTCGTCGTGGCCGCCGTGGTTGGCCCTATGGCAGGTCGCGTCCCGACTTGAGACACCTCCCCTTGCGGCCGACCTCCTCGCGCAGGCGGGCGAGGCGGCGGGAGTCGCCGTTTTGGAACGCGAACGCGCCGTTCCAGAAACCGCAGTTGATGTTTGGGGTCTCGTGGCGCAGCTCGGCCTGCTCACGGCCCGTGTCGTCGACGGGGGGGATGTTGGTGTGGTTGTCGATGCCGCTGATCATGCTCTTGCCGGGCAGGTGGTGGAACAGCTCCGGGTTGACGCTGTAGCAGCGCATGTCGTCCGAATCGCGGCAGCTGATGAGGATGGCCACGTCGTAGGCCATGGGCTCGTCCTCGCCGCGGCCGTCGAGCGAGAGCTCCCTGAGCAGGCGCCGAGCCGACGTGCGCGTCACGGCGTACGCGAACGTGCACAGCGGGAACACGGACTTGTGCACCAGCCGCGTGTGCGGCGCCACGCCCAGGTTCTCGAGCAGGGACGCCGTCCACGGGTGCAGGTTCTTGGGGTCCGGCAGCGAAGCGTCGTTGAACGATATGTGCGGCCGCGCCGCCAGGTCTGACGGCCTCACGTGGCCATCCTCGAAGCCCACGTCGATGGAGTGCCAGTAGTCGCCGCAGTGGCCGAGGTACAGCAGGTCCCAGGCGGCGGGGTCGCCGTAGGGGTAGCGCATCGCAACGGCGTCGGCGTCGGCGTCGGCGTCGGCATCGATGGCGGGATCGGCAACAACGTCGGTTGAGAAGTCGGCGGTGGAAGGCGTGGAAGGGAGGGAAGAGACGGGGGTGGTCGAAGCAAGGAGAGTGCGGACGGCGCTTGCGACGAGAGGTGCCTGCAGCGAGCGTAGGCGGATGTCCCAGTCGACGTCGTCTTCTAGGATCAGGGCCGTCTCGGCGCCCGAGTCGAGGAACCTGTGGGATAAGAGAGAGACGGTGGTTAGCCTCTTACGGGGTCTACTGCCAGGCGAAACAAGAAGGGCGACGCACTCTCGCAAGGAATGGAGGTGGCCCAGCCAGGCAAGCAGTGAGCCGCGGCCTATCTTTGTGTGGCCCTCAAGGTCGGACTCGGTCCAGTTGGGCTGGATGGGGATGGTGAAATCGAGCTCGGTGACGTTGGCGGCCTGCAGGAGGCTGTGGCGGCGGGGCGAGTCTTCTTTTGACACGACGTAGATGCGGCCGAAGCCGAGGGTCGAGTTGATGGGGAGGACGGAAGGTTGCTGGGCAGTGGGCTGGCCGTTCGGCTGACTGTGTTGCTGATGGTCATGTTGCTGGCCGGGTCCGGGCAGCCACGGGTCCGGTGACGGGTAAGCCCACAGGCGGAAGACGACGAAGAGGGCGATGGCGACGGCGACCAGGTAGCGGCTGCGCAGCCGCAGCATGGGTATTGTCGTCATCCTAGCGGTCGCGGACTTTATTGTCTTCTTTGGGCCGCTGTCCGGATGCTCGCTCGCCCACTGTGGTATCGCACTAATACCTTAGGTTTGCAGGCGCGATGGTGAACACAGGCGTGGGTGCGGCTGGAGCTGCACGTTGGTGGTTCTGGAAGCAGTCTGTTGGATCTTGGCGGGATGCGCGGCGCGCCCAGACCTGAAACGGAGAAAGCCCGTGCGCTGCTGACCTAACCCTCTCAGGAATGGGATCTTTTGCATGTGTGAGAAGGCTCGGAGCCAATAGCTGCAGCGCATGTGTGCCCGCATTTTAGCTCGTCGTTGCAAAAAGTACACAGTAAAACCAACCCACGCCACCATACCCGTACACTAGACTCAAGACTGTAAAAACCTGAAAACGGCGCGCTAACGCCTCGGTTTGGTTCTAGTGGGCCCATCTACCTTATCCGCAAACACCATCTGATCGCCACACTGCCAACAAGGCCAACCACCCAACAAGGCCAACCACGCAAAATTGCAGCCACGAGGCACAAGAGCGTGCCAGCACACATCTGGGCACAACTTTGTTTGGGGCACTAAAATCGGCGTTGCCCGGTCGGGTTCGACTAGCCCAGTGCCAACTGGCTATGTTCGCCAAGGGCTGCCGGGTCAGCTCATGAGGCTGATGCAACAATGTTCGGACGTTTCCCCTGACGATGCCAGATGGCGGGGTGTGGCACATACCTTGGTCGTCTCGTAGCCCTTACTGAGTACGCGGAATATGGCTGGTGACACTTCATCCCAATGTCTCGTCGGGGTGCTTCAACATCACCAATACTCATCGCCAATACTCCGGTACCTGTTAAACCAGCGACCGTCCAGCCTGCTCCATCCCCGACACTGAGCACAAGTTCGACAAGCCCCAATGCAACACCCAGCAGTTCCAGCAGTTCCAGCAGTTCCAGCAGTTCCAGCAGTTCCAGCAGTTCCAGCAGCAGCAAGACAGCAAGTAACCAGCAGTCCCGCTGTCGCCAATGATTTAGGTGCCAAGACTGCACCTGCACCCAGCCCCGGTAGGCGGCTGGTGTAGCTTCAAGCCTAGGTGTCGGAATTCGATTAATGTTAGACTTCTTACCCTTCGTTGACGGTTGCAGACTTGCGGTTTTCAATGTCATGATATTTACCTAACCCAGACTGGATAAGTTGGGTTGTCTCTTCATTGATTCTTCAACATACTTTGACCCCCGGCTTGCACTTGCCCGGCTTGCACTTGCCCGGCTTGCACTTGCCCGGCTTACACTTGCCCGGCTTACACTTGCCCGGCTTACACTTGCCCGGCTTACACTTGCCAAGTGGCAGGTTTTTGGCGACAGATGAGTGCACCGAAATCTGCTTTGGAACAATGTTCATTGTGTCGATGGGCTCGCAGCTGTTTCTAAACGGCTGACAAGACAACCGGGGATCAATGTATTTTGATCATCCCTCCCCACAACATTGCCGATCGCCACCAGTCGAGAAATCAGCGCCTCGCTTCCCTCGAAGCTTTAAACCCTTGATCAACCACACCATACCAATCCAGCCAAATCCCCCCTCACCCCATGGCCGCCTCCGCACTACTCTTCCGCCTTCTCGTCTTCATGCCGAGCAGCATCGCGCTTGCCAAATCCAAAGCCGCCACCACCAAAGCCGCCGCGCTGGAGCTGCGCGACGGGACCGTTGGGGTTCATGACGCCGCCCGAGGGCCCCATGAAGGCGGCGGGGCTGACGGCCTTGTTGGCGTTCTGGTTGATGCCGAAGCGGATCCAGGCGAAGACGCCGTCGGCCAGCGTCTTGCCGACCAGCGCGTACCGCACGATGGGGTCGTCGCCGTTGGCCCCCTGCATGAACAGGAAGTCGGCCGTGTTGAGCGTCACCGCCTGCTTGTTGCCCATGTACGGCGTGATCTTGTTGACCGCCGTCAGCAGCGACTGGTCAAAGTACAGCTGCCCCACGTGTGCCGCCTTGCCGCCCGTTATGGTGTTGTTGGCTTGCTTGGTTGCGCCGAGGTAGACGATGGCTTTTTTTTTTTTGTTGTCAACGGTTAGCAAAGGGTGTTTTCGACCAGTGTTGTGGTTGCAACTCACCGTGGATGTGCGTCGCGCGGCCCTCGTAGTGGCCCGGTAACAGGCCGTCAAAGGCGGCAACGCCGTGGTCGTCAGTCGGCTGGATCCCGCGCAGAGCCGTGAGCTTCAGGATGGAGGCGTCTTTGGGGTCGCCCATTCCCGGATAGCCCTGGACTCCCGTGTAGATGCCCTGCACGCACATTTTAGCGACAGCCGACCACAAGTAAGGGAGGGCTTGAGTATTACCGTCGAGTTCGAACTCCAGATGTCGACGTAGGCGTTGGGCACAGCCTTGCACGTCTTGTAGTCGACGACTTGGATGGCCAGCGTCATCTTGATTCCGGGCTCCTTCTCGGTAATGTCTTTCCTGACTTGTTCTCCCTTGACGTCTGTGTCGCCATCAGCAAACGGATGTAGTCACCCAGCTGGTTGGGCGTCGGCAACCGGACTTACACAGCGGGCCCTGGTCAACAGCGGGCATCAGCATGCACGCGCCGGCATCCGAGAACAGATTCGAGAGGTCCATCCCCTTGGTAACCGTCTTGTTGCTCTTGTGGTCGATCCTCGAGACGGAGATGTAGTCACGAGGCTTCAGCTTCGGACTATCAGACCACATACGTTAGACACAAAAAGACGTGTTTATCAGAATGCGAGGCGTCCAACCTCTCTTCGGTCTCGAGGCCGAGCTCTCTGCGCAACCTCGCAAACTCGCGGCCATGGATCTCGACTGTCCGCGTCACAAACTCGGGGTCCGAAAAGTGCTTCTCGCAGTGGTCGAGCGACTTGCGTTCGAGGGGAAGGGCGCGGTGGGCGTGGACCTTCTCCTTGCCAGGATGTGCCAAGACAAGAGGTGCGGCCAGCAAGAGGCTCGAAAGAAGGTTTTTGATACCCATTTTGGCGGTGTGGGACTCGAAGAGCGCAGGGAAGCGGCGCACGGCAAACACTGGGAGAGAAATAAAAGACGAGGCGGCCGAGCCAAGATCGGGGGGTCGGCTCCAGCCGACGTGATATTTACGTGTTTTCTTTTCCATCTTTCTACCTGTCCACTAACGGAGCTTGGCTCGATGGAGCCGGATCTCGGCACCATGGCATGGTACTGTGGTACTCTGGGCCCACGGAGAACAGCAAATGGAGACACGCAATATCCGGGTCGTGCTCTTTCAATTCACCCATGAAGTCCATGATACGTCGAGCGAGAGACGAGCGACACGAGTGGTTGAGGAAAGGCGCCACAGGAGCGACTATATGTTGGTCAATATAGGGACGAATCCGCGTGATATGTTTTAGTTTGTGCCGGAGAGAGTACATGGGCGGTGGCACAGAGTGCTCGCTAAGGGCTGAGGTGGATCGGGTATTGCTCCTCGTTATTATTGCACAACATGTCGCCAGCTTCAGCCCAGAGCGCGCAGCCGATGGCGAGGCGCCAAGGCTGTTCCCCGGATTTTAATCTCGGTCCGTGGCCACCAGAGGCCCGGGGAGCAGCCAAGCGGACGAATCGGGTCGGCCGGGTCGTGGCTAGCCCTCTCTGCGTGACGAGGCGGCTAATTTAGAAATCCTGCTGCCCTGTCCCTATGTGTTAGACCCGTGGGTAAAGCTAGGGCACATATAGGTAATAGGGATCCATGCGGGCACCATCTCGCTTCATTAGCCATATTCTCCGTGGCACGGTTTGGCACTTCGTTGGCCCATCAGCGGCGGCGGATTAGCCATGTCCCTGTGGCCCATTTCGGCAGTTGTGCGCTGCACCCCGCATTGTCGGGCAATTCGCTTGCTCGATGGCAAGATCTGGAATGGGCAAGTTAGCAGCCCTGAATTTGCGATCAGGTCTATTTTTGTCTATTCTTGCTCCAAGTTAATAACGAGCCCCGGCCGGCAGCACTGGCTGGCTAACCGAGTGTTTTCCATCATTTCTCTCGGCATGCGTGCAACCTATTGTGGCAGCAGTTTAGGTTGGCCATCTTCCATCAAATACTTAGTACGCTCGTCTAGAGAGCTTGAATCTTCAAAAACAGACCCAAAGTCCTACCAACGCATATTCATCATAAATCATCCTCAAATATTACCTACGGAGATTAATTAGCGTGTCACAACATAATTACGGTAAATAAAATAGAGCCAGTCGACTTGCAGTAAAGACCGTGTATTTTGAATGGTAATTTACAATGTAGAAATCCTGCTGCCTATGGTTTTATGGTTTTATGGTTTTACACAAAAGACTGAAAAAACAAGTCAATACAACCGCGAAACAGCAGCGCGCCAGGGGTGTAAATGTGAACACAGGAAATGGTGGCTAAAGTAACAACCGCTAGCCACACACTTGCGCCTCGACGGAGCAGTTGTCACGCCCCTTCCTTTAATTAGCGGGGCAGTTGGTCGCCCACTGACCACAACCTTGGAGGGGCAGTCTCCTAGTCACGAATCGCGGCTTTGGATTTGCCTTCGTTTCGCAGGTCTTTTAGAACGTGTGTTTGATGCTCCTTTTTTCTTCTTCGTTTCTGTTCCTTCTTCTTTTCACCATCGCCGTGTCGTCTTGCTGCTCTGCAATGTTTAACCCTAACCCTTGTACCGCAGACCTGGACCGGTTTCTGTGAGACTTACGACGCCGCCAAGCCCTTGGGTTGCGTCATTGCGAGTCCATGACGTAGACAGAATTCAGCGACCCCGCCTCCCCCAAGGTTTCAACGACACGGGGTATTTCTGGGCCACCCTCCATAATTCGCGTTCTTTTTACTTCGATCTTGCACCAACCTTGTTGCCTCTTCCACACCATAGAACTCCGCATATTCTCCACGGGCTGCTAGAGCACTGCAAAAGCACTGCAATCCAGTCTTAACACACTGTCACGGCAAATTAGCAAACATGATGCACAACGCCCTCTTCTCGAGCTTCATCGCCCAGCTCTGCCTGGCCGCCCTTGCCCTGGCTGCTCCCATCGCTGACGAGACGCTGACAACCACTGGCCATGGCAACTCGTGGCAATACGGCACGGGCGGTGGAATTCTCGGCTTGATAATTTTGATCCTCGACATCATCGTCTTCAGTACGTGCTCCCTGCTCGCTAATTAGAACGGGGCTGGTTTGGTGTTACTGCCTGGGAGAGGGGTGTCCCGCAACCCGACCCCCACCACCACTCTCCCATTTTTGTTAAACGCCACTCCACCCAAATTTGAACGACGTCGCTTTGCTAACCTGCCTCTTTTCGCACTTGTTTAGTTGAGGTCTTGAAATCCAACCGGCCGCCCTCTTCTAAGCTCATCTGGTGTCTCATCGTCTTCCTGTTCCCCGTCATTGGGATGGCCATCTACTGGTTGTTCTCAAACCGCTCGTCTCACAACAGCGGCTCTGGATACGAGCCCTTGGCTTAATTTGTCTCCACCAACCCTCAGGGTGCCGGCATGTTCACCGATTAAGCCCCGGCTACTCCTTGCTTTCGCCTTTGGCTGATCCACGTCTTGATGGGGAGGGGGGAGATGGAGTATACATTTATCGGTTGGTCGCTGGCCTAGACTGTCCTACTAAATCCGCTGTTGCGGATTATGCCTTTGTTCCAGAATCAATGCATACGAGAACGGGAGGGAATGATAGGATTAGGGGGTCAAGTCTGTGTATTGGCGACGCAGCCTCCATTCAGACGGCGACGACATGTTCTTCTCAGGGGGACGCTGCTGCGACGCGAGTGCTATTAGTAACTTACTTGGAGGTAACTTTCTTAGATCACAGTCACACTTAATAAAATTTTAGTTCCTCCTTTCGTGCCGCAGATCTCAACTTAGCAAGATGTCCTGCTACTTCTAGGGAATTAGTAAATTCGGATAATATCCTGCTTGAAAGTTCTGCCTTGACCACTTCTTTGTCGACGTTGTCGGCGTAGAGGCGGTGTTTTTCTTGGGCGACATTGCCAATGAATATTTTAGGCGACCTGGTTAGGCGACCTGGTTAACCAGAGCGACCATGCGTTGTTGGCATCGTCGACGTGCTTTGTATGAACAGTAGGCCAGAACAGGCAAGTACCGACAGGTAGGACTTACATCGCGAATTAACTTTAATATCGCAGTTTCCGGGCCCGCCATGTTTAGGACATTAAAGTTGGCCGGATTCTTTCCCGGCTCCTCGGCCCCGTGTCCTCATCCCGTCCCACCGCCCCATCTTCCTTTCAGCAGGCCTCGAGAGAGACTCTTCTCAGCACTCAGACACGGCAGGTCGTGTCCTCGAAGCATATAATGGGCTATATAGATGCGACTGATTGTATCGAGACAGGTGCGGACTTTCGAATAGAAAACAACACAGCCAGGGCTCTCTTGCGTTACAAGTACGCGTGGGCGATTAGTTAGTTAGCTTCGTGTTGCCGGTCCGACAGATTTTTAATTATCTTGGCCTTGGGGAGCGTACATCTTACTAAGAGTATCCGAGAATTCACGTCAGGGCCTTTCTTCGTTGTTCGCTTCTGTCGCGTTGGTAATTATTTGCCGGACTGAGATGTAATTACTGGTCCTCGCTCCTGGAGTCGAATGTGAAATAAAATGTGACCAGCCCCGGATTTCTCATCTAAATAACAATCTGGGTCAACGTTGAACTTCCTGAGGTACCGGGGGTGCGTGACGGTTTGGCGATGTATCGAGGCGGCGGAATCACGACGACTCTTCTCTTCCCGTGTCTGCCACTCAGTAAGCAATGGTAGCCAGTAGCACAAAATCCCACCGCCGCGACACCCGCCATTCACTAACTAATTAATTCTTCCTCAATCCGTTCCCTCAGGGTGGGTCTTGCTCCATGATGGTTCCGTCTCGTTGAAAGAATCATCCTAGGCGGCGTGCCTCTAGCCAAAAAGAGGCCAAAAACCTCAACGTGTCCGTCACTCTCCCGAGTCAGAAAGCAACTCTCCGGATCCTAACCAAGTGCGTCACGCTAGGCTAAAGCTCAAGTTTCGAGACGCTAATCTCCTTGCTTCTCCGGGGCTAATACGGCGCTGGCGGACTTTGCCTGACTTGGGTAAGGTTTGAAGGGAGATATTTTCGTCCCTGCAGAGCGAGCCGGAGCCAGCAGGCATCGGCTGGCGGGGACAGCTGTTGGTCGAGATCTATTTTCCTCTCTATCGAGCTAGCATGGGCGAGCCCATGTCTACAGACTTCTGTTGACTCTGGATAAGGCTGTCAGCGCAATTTTTGTCTCTTCCGACGGACCACAAAGTCTGTGGCAGGTCCTGTCTGAACAAACCAACCAACGCTGGCGCGAAGAACAAAGACCCAAGAATCTGCGACCCAAAACCCAACCCTCAATCACTCAAGTCAGGTTTCCATTTCCTCACCAACCTGTCTAAATCTCTGTTCTATTATTTTATCTTCTTTTGAGCGGAACTTATTCATAACATGGCTTCGGCACAGAAAGACAGCAAAGGACACACAAAAGAGCAAAGGACACACAAAGGAAGACAACAGGGGACACAACAATCAACACTCACGAGCATGGGACAGATACACTTTTGCTGGGATACAATATAAAAGTTTGCGGTGAATATGCCATTGATGATAAATTCGAGCACCACTCCATGTATGTAGTTCGCAGGATTCTATGCCCTGGGCGAAAACTTTGATCTTGTATGCGGTGCTAAAATTCATGAGCCGGCCGGTATGACTCTGTCGGTGCCGTTCAACTGTTTGACCTTTTGCTGTACCGCAGCAAATGCCTGTGTTAACCTTTCAGTGTGCACGTAGTGACGGCCATGAATGAGCCATTTCACTCAGTGATAAATTTAACTGTGGAAGCCCCCCCTTAAGTAAAGCGTTATTGAACCAGACGAAATAACATGTGTTTGCAGAATGGTTTTAAGAGAATGGAAAGAGACGAAATTTTCAAGGAGGGCGCTTTTCAAGGAGGGTGCAAAAATTTCGAATATTCCTATTGATGTCGGAGATGGAAAAATGGAAGCAACACGAATATCACGAGTTGGACACCCACAAAGGAACCCACTCCACTCAAGTCGCTTCCCATCAAACGATGACTGAATTAAACAAACCTGACTCAGAGCACAATTATCATCGCATCGGCTCGCCATGCAGCCGTTTGTTGCTTTTTAACGTGGCCAGGAATGGGATGTTTCGGAAACGAGGTCGAAACAAGAGCTGGCATCTGTTTGCGTCTCTCTTAATAATTAATTGCTGAAAGTTTAGGTGTAGCGGCTCTAGAGGCTCGCAGGGGTTTGATTTGAAGTGGCGTCTTGTTTCAAGACGAATCTCAATTATTCTTACAACCCGCCTTTCCATAGTGCTTCTTGGAGGTGCTCCATTCTCTCTGTGTGACAGAGTCCGCTGGAGATGACGTGGTGCTCGCCTTGGTTCCTTCATGATACTCCATGTTCGGCCGATGCTCACCACAGCCCCCTGATACGGCCATTTCCGCTTCTTTGTCTGGCACCTCCGCCCCCGCCCATTGAAATTGCCCTAGGTCTGGGCAACTTTCATGGGACATGCGATTTTCTTCTTTGGCTGACCAGAGAATCTGAGATTTGACGGGTTTCAGGCTGAGGCCCCTTCTTTCAAAACCTTTTCCTTTGTTACAGAACCTCAGCCTCACCAACACGAGCCACGGGCTATTAATGTCACAACTTCACCGCCAGGACCCACCATCAGTCCAGGGGTGCGGCGTGTGCACCACAAAGCTCCAGTTGACAAAGTCCAACCCCCAGACATTGCCAGACCAGTCACAAACACATCTTTTAGTTTTATTCTAGGTTCCTGGTTGTCACCTCGGCGTTTCCGAGACATTGAGGCTCATGTCACCCCGGCCCGGCAAATCCCACGTGGGAGGCCGGCTTCCACCTCACCAACTCAGCCCATGCGATCGTTCTTATCAGTCCCTTGACCTGGGGCGCGAACATCATGGGCATTTAAACCAAGCGTGATGTCCTGTCGATGGCAAAATCTCTCTGTTTTCCAGTCTTCAGCAAACTCATTCGCTCCTTCCAGGCATCCACATCTACATAGCCGCCAGCATCCATCAACAAGCTACAGTCTTCAGCGCGACGCAACCCACAGCCGTCAGTCTCTCACCTCAACATCTTGTTGCAACCCGACTGCAAGCTCCGTGGCCCCCCAACTTCGAACTCTGCATTCATCGCAATGGCTCGCGTCGTGTCCCAGGAACGTCAGTCTGCCCCGCTCGGCTTCGGCTGCCAGACGGGCCAACATGTGCACCACCACCACAACGGAAAGCGGGGCGGCTATGAGAAGCCGCCGAACCCAAAGCCCACCCCGAGCGGCGGATCGAGCAAATGAGCTGCCGGTCGACGACGCAGTGAGTCTCGGCGAGGCATCTAGTTGCTTCTCTCCCACAAACTGACGTTGAATGCTGACCGGCCCCCATTGACAGGGCAGACACCTGCGACGGGTGACCATGACAACACTCCCTGCGCAGCTTGAGTGATGGGCGTGTTCGAAGGGGATATCATTCTGGATAATCGGTAATTATATTAGAGGGGGGCTCATTTCGTTGATTTGGCATTTTAGACCTTGGTAGACGGCATCTGGGAACCAGACATCCTAGATACACATAGTTATCACTTGGAGTAAAGCTACAGAACCTTGCGGTGATAAATCGACAATTTGGGGCGGGCCCTCCAGCAGCGTTGACTGATAATGAACTGCATTCGACGTTCGACCGTGACCATGCTTGGAGCAAAAAACTTCGGGCAATTTTCCCAAATGCTGTGCTGGGGTAGCCTACAGCCACTCAGCCTACAGCAGTATATATGTACAGTTGACTAGACTCCCTAGCCACACAGGACAAGTATCTGTTTTGTCCAGCTAGCAGAGCGGCACCGATTATAAATGCAATAGAAAAAGCGCACACTCAACTTCTGGCGGTAGCCTCCCGCATCATGACCACCAGCCCGACTTCCTCCCATACATGAAAAGGACATTACCATTATCCCCGCCTAGTCTTCCGAGGCTACACCCTGCTGCGGTATGGCCTGGCGCAAAGCTGTCTTCGCTTTCTTTTGGACTGCCTTGTACGGACCTCTTCTTCCTCGGATTTAGCGGGGTTGCCGTTTTTGATCCTCCACCGCCGTATGCGTTCTCAAGATCTTCCCCCGTACAATATTTTGTCTTCTACTCTACATTGCCAAATTTATCTCTAGAGATTTAGATGACTTGACGAGGTTGGTCGCTTGCAGACAAAGAAATGTGAGTGGTCAAGACGAACCTGGAAGGGGGCTGGCTCACGTGTTATCGCGCAGATTTAGCGTTTTGGCTTGGCCATCATCCCAGAAGCCTGCGCGCTGATTCGTCCTCTCTGCGTTTCTGGGGCTTGAAATCTCTTGGATTCTTCCTGGAATGGACATGCCACAAAGCAGATGTGATAGTGGCACTTTCGGAGTCACCGTCGAGTTGCCTTTGGATTTCTGTGTCCAAAGTTCATCAACCATCATTTATCTGCACCTTTTTAATCGCTGGGAAATTGGAATCTTGGCTTAACAGGCGCATCTTCTCTTCCCATCGCCAGCGCGGGACGGTTTGCTGGGCACATATGAAGGTGAAGAAGCCAATGCAGAAAGGGATGTTTCGCAGCTTCGGTTGATCGCCAGATGCGGCATTGGAGTATCTGAGTAATTCACGGTGCGTTTGATGCATGGATTGATACACCTGAAATTTCCAGGTGGTCGCGGATTCTGTTGCGTTTGCGGGGGAACAGGAACAAAAGTAAAACGTAAGTCAGGTGGTCTGCTTATGGAACACCCCTGGATTTGGAACAAGGTTTGTCATCAAGGACTTGCCGCTCGCCACCCAACTCACCTATTTCAATCGCTTGCAACTCGACCAATTCTGCTTCAATACTTATCTTCTTTTCTCCATTCAATTGACAAATGAAAGATGAAGCGATATACTTAGTTGGATTTGCAGAATGCGCTGGCAGAGTATGCAGAAACCGGCTTACTCCGTAGCTCTGCTGAAAATCACGGCATCCCCCCTACTACTCTCTTTAATCGGGTTCGTGGTTCCGAGCCAGCCTCCAAGGCCCAAATTCTTAATCAAAAGCTTTCTCCGGCTATGGAAGAACGCTTAACCGAATGGATTCTATTCCAAGGGTCGCTCGGTCACCCTCCAACCCACGCCCAAATTTGGAAACTAGCTAGAAGAATGCTCGAAGATAACGAGACCCTCGGAAAACGCTGGACTAGCCGGTTTTTGGCTAGAAATCCATCTATTTCTACAATTAGGCCTCGGAGAATCCATGCAAACCGTGCTGATCGAGCCTGTGAGGCCGTTATCCGGCCTTGGTTTGACTATTTGAAGCCTCCAGGCGTGGAGGCTATTCCAGCCAAGCATAGGTATAATATGGATGAAACTGGCATTGCTTCTGGCATTGGAGATAACGGTCTGGTTGTTGGATCTAAGGAAAGAAAGAAATTCCAGAAAAAGAAGAAAGGAGACCGAATTTGGACCTCGATTATCGAATGTATTTCCGCTGGCGGCCGGTATTTGAACCCAGTCGTCATTTTCAAAGGTGGAAGCCTTCAACAACAATGGTATCCACGCGATTTACAGCCATTTAAGGGCTGGAAGTGGAAACCCATTGAAAACGGCTGGTCTGGCGATGATACTGCCGTCGCATGGCTCCGCAATATCTTTCTTCCAGAGACTCGGCCAGCTACCCCCTCGGAGAAGCGCCTCCTTATTTTAGATGGCCACGGTAGTCATACCACCGAAGAATTCATGTGGCTAGCCTTTTCTAATAACGTACAATTGTTATTTCTACCAGCCCACACCTCCCACGTTCTCCAGCCCCTGGATTTATCGGTTTTCGGCCCTCTAAAAGCCCGGTATAGAGCCAAGCATAACGAGGTTGTTTCCGGCTTCGACGAAGGCACTGTTGCTGAAAAGAGAGCCTTCCTAGAATGCTACCGGCAAGCCAGGGTCTATGGAATGACTGAATCTAATACCAAAGCCGGCTGGAAAGCTACAGGCTTCTGGCCGGTCAGCCTCAGGAAGCCCCTAAGCAACGGCCTTGTTATTAAGAATTCTAACGGCGACGTTGGTCAACTGACCTCTACGGTTTCTATAGACCTTCAAGAGGTCCATAACCCCATTCTAAATAAGAATTCGGAGGGCCGGCCTATATGGTTTACCCCTAAAAAGCCGAAGGATTTCCGTATTCAGGGGCAGGTTTTTCTAGCCGGCCAGAAACGGACTTCCAACGACCGACTTTTCATACGCAAGGCCGCAAAAGCCTTCGATTACGTGGTTTTCCAACTAGCCAATACGGCGCATCAATTGGAGGCTGCAGAAAAAAGCCTAGAACGCACAAGAGGCCGAAAGAGAAGGAAGGTCCAAGTCGACCCTAATACGCAGTTCGCTGGAATTGAGGAGGTTCGTGCCTCACAGAGAGAGGCTGGCAGAGAGGACCTTAGTTATTCTGAAAGAGAAGAATCAGGAGAATCCGATACTGAAGACTTCATCATTGTAGCTAATTAATTGACAAAGTTGTTGGCAATTGAAGTTTGTGGTGTTGTGCGGGGTCCGATTCAGGGGCTGTTCCATAGGCAGGGGTGTTCCAAAAGTCCCCCACCTGACTTATGGGCTGAGATAACCCGCTGTTCCGTGCCCCACCACTGGCACAGAGTTGGAGTCGAGCCCGCGCGCCTGCCTTCATCTGCCGAGCCCCCTCTCTCCCCAAAATAGCAATTGGAGAGGGGTTGAGAATTAGCGCAAATGGGGGAATCCATCAATTTCCCGGTGGTTCTGAAAACTTGACTGGGTATTCATATGGTCTCAAGTCCCCGGTTCTGGCCCAGCTCACGAGCTGGAACTTCTTCTGTCCCATCCCAGGCACCATTAGGTTGGTGTCTTCCGCTGTCCAGACGCTAAACTGCCATCGTCAACCCCACTTTGGGTCAGCACCCCGATTTACCCCGCCAACAGCTGTTAGGGCCTCACCATGCCTTTTCCCTACAAGACAGTGCTCGTCACTGGCGCAACATCGGGCATTGGTGAAGCTCTCGCCGAGCGCATGATCGCCAGCGGTATCTTCGTCATTGCCGTCGGCCGCCGCAAAGAGCGCCTCGATGCCCTCGTGGCCAAGCATGGCGCTGACAAGGTGGCTGCCGAGCCATTTGACGTGGGCGACCTCGACGCCATTGAAGGCTGGGTGAAGAGGTGCAGTCCCCAACCAATCTAATCTAACACATGCTCTCCCCACGCCGTTGCCTGCGGCAGTCTGCCGAACACCACAGCTCACTCCTCCGTTTCCAGGATCACGGCAACATATCCAACGCTCGACTCTGTCGTCCTCAACGCCGGCTACCAGCGCACGCTCGACTTCACGAACCCGAAGTCGGTCTCGCTCAAGGCCGTCACGGCGGAGCTTCACACGAACTACCTCTCCCCACTACAAATGTCCGCACAGTTTCTGCCGCATCTAACAGCCCTCGGCCCTTCAACGCCGGCATCCATTGTGCTGGTGTCGTCGGGGCTGGCCGTGGTGCCGATGCCGCGGTGCGCCAACTACAGCGCGAGCAAGGCCGCCGTACACAGTCTGGCCTGGTCGCTCCGCTCACAGCTGGCTGGACCTTACTCGCCGGCGACGCGACACATCCGCGTTATCGAGCTCGTGCCCCCGGCTGTACGCACCGAATTGCATACACAACAGCCCGATCTCGTCGCCACCGGCGGCGCTGACATTGGCGTTCCTCTCGACGACTACACCGACGAGACCTGGGCCGAGCTGACGGCTGAAGACGGCCCCGACGAGATCGTCCACTCGGTTTTCAAAAACACCGGCCTCCCCGACATTGAGCACAGGCGCGTGGCTGCCTTCGATTCGTTTGTCGCTGTCATGCGGAAACAGGGCGCAAGGTTCTGAGCCGCTGCCGCTGCCGCTGCCGCTGCCGCTGTACTTCGCGGAGAGGCCAACTGGCAACTGTGGGCTGGTCTTGTTAGTCACCGTGGTGAGTCAAACACCGCAGCAACTTGGGCCTGAACAATCTGGCTCTATTGCTGCCCCGTTGCCGGGCTATGGCAAGTCTGGCAGCGGCGAGGGCTCTTGTTTTGCTAGGGGCTACGTCCCTTAAAATATTGGGTAAGATATCTGGGTAAGGGCCACAAGCCCAGAATCACTGACACCTATGCTTTTTCCTCAATTGTCTTTTGCCGTGTCATTACAAGCAGCAACCTATTTACGGGTTTGATCTCTGGAAAATTATGTGTCATATTCCATATCGCATTACTTATTCGTCGTGCACGCATTGCGCACACAGACCAGACCAGCTCATTTCGCGTCTGGGCTGCCAAGCAGGGCCTGGCGCGTGTCGTAGCCGTACTTGATCTCCCCGTGCCAGTAATGGGTGGTATCGACCTTTGAGACGGTCCACGCTTCGTCGAGGGCCTGGACGACTTCCGCTGGTAGGGGGCCCTTCTCAAGATTAGCGAGGTTGGCATCGAGCTGCTCGGCGCTAGAGACGCCGATGATGATACCGTCGTTGCCGCCGTTAACGGCGAGCTTGAGGGCCGAGTGGTGGACGACCCAGCGCAGGGCCGTCTCGATCATGGTCAGGCCGGCCTTGTCAACGGCCGCCTCGATGATCTGCAGCGCCTGGAACGTGGAGTCGCGGTAGTAGCGGTTGCGGTACATCTTGCCCGTGTGCGACTTGTCGCTGAACCGGCCCTCGGCCGGAACCATGTCGGTCGACTTGATCTTGCCCGAGAAGAGCCCGCCGGCGATGGGGTTATAGACGACAATATCAAGCCCATACCGCCTGCACGCCGGCACCAGCTCGGGCTCGATGCCCCGCGTGATGGCGTTGTACATGCCCTGGTACACAGTCGGGCGCACCCAGCCGTTGTGCTTGCACGTCAGCACAATCTCGGCCACCTCGAACGCCGTAAAGTTGCTGATGCCGAACTGCACAAACTTGCCCGCCTTGTGCAGCTTGTCAATGGCTGACAGCGTCTCGACGAAGGGCACCCCGCGGTCCTGTCCGATGAGCGTTATTTAGATGCCAGTAAAAGTCAGTAGCGGGCGAGGGCGCGGGGAGGTTAACGTACGGCAGCGTGAAGATATAGAAGGTCGACAGTGTCGGTGCCCAGCTCCTTCAGGCTGAGGTTGAGCGACTCGATGACCTTGTCGTGCAGGTTGGTGCCGTGCTCGCCGGGGTACTTAATCTTGGTGGCGAGGGTCAGGCCGCGGTCCTTCCACCGGGCGTCGCGCGTAAAGGCCTCCTGCTTGCCGCCGACGTAGACACGAGCCGTGTCGACCTCATTGTAGCCGCGCGACTGGAACAGGTCGAGCACCTTGCCGTACTCGTCAATGTTGGTGACGCGGGCGCCCGTCGCCTCGTCAGGGCCAAAGGTCATGAGCCCCAGGATGATCCGGTTCTTGGGCGACTGGGCGATGAGAGGCATGTTTGCGAGACTGTGGAGAGATGAGCCGACGTAGCGATGTGCCTGTCTTTGTCTTCAGGGGCTTGGTTTGATAATGTCTAGAAGAGACCTGATCAGCTCAGAACCAAAGATGCGAGGTAGCACGCCGTCTGCACTGGGCAGACCTAACCTACCGGCACTGGTAACTAGGTGATGAGATATGACGGCGTGTTTCTGATATTGAGGTAAGAAGTAATTTCTGATTGAATTCGAGACCAGGAGAGAGGTTTTATAGACTTGTAAATGTGCTTCAAAGGGCGCCAGTATCTAGATGCCGTAACTATAGCCCGCCCGGCGATAACTCACTTGAGGAGGTCCAATTCCGCCAATGACGCAATTTTAGCGGGGTCCAGATCGGACTTCGCCAAGAAGTCGGAGATACGCGGCGGCGTTATACGGCCTGAAATGAGACGAATTAACAAGTATGTATCCATTCAACGATGAAGTGCTGACAAACCGTGCGTATTTTATTCAAGGCCACTCCGTAAAGGGTCGATGAGTAACCTGCTACGTAATCGTCAGCTTCTATTACTATCACTCTCTAAACTAATCCGTATTGCTATGCACTGCGTGGCTGTGCTAATGTGTGTGTGTGTGAACTCTGAACACTTGGCATGGGAGAAACAATTTCCCCGTCGGCCTGATTATTCCGTACTGCACGCAATAATACACCACATTGAGGCGCAATTCACGACAACGAGACCAAGTGCAGAGTATATGCAAATCTTGTCGCTGTTAACTCCAGGGGGCAACACCCCATTTGAGTTGCCGTTGCTTATTTTTGTTTCGTCTCAGAATCTGCCTTTACTAATCGCTTCTACGTCCGGATTATGAGTAGCCTTTAAATTAGAACCCCGAATCTACAGTACCTATGTTTTTGCAACTGTTGGCAGTCTACTTTGTAACTGGCCGGGAATGGACCCCACGGTGGCCGGTCCCGACAGGCTCGGTTAGCTTTCATTCTACCCCGACTCGGTTGGCCGAACGAACGATCGCAATGGATCCTTATTCCTTGCTGGGCCGATCGACCGGGAGCATGAAAATCGGCACAACGTTGCCGTCTCTTGTCTTCAGTTCGAGAGGCAGCAAGCACCGGCGATGGCCGCCAGGGCAGGTCGAAGCGAGCCCAGCCGCTCCCGCACATTTGTGCGGGGCTGTGGGGTCGTCTTGGCGTTCTGAAACAATGGAGCTCAGCCGGTGCGACAAGCGGGCTGCAATATGAGTGGCCTGCCGTGTTCATAAGGTTGTACTCCTTTGGTTGAGACTTCGCGCCGGCCTTCTATCCGCTTTAACCGCGAATATCTATGTACCCCTGGATGCACAGCAAAAGCATCACGAACTACTTGCCAAATCAACACAAATTGCAGCCGAATTTCAAGGCTGTTGCTGGAGAGAGATTGTCAAATGCAAAAATCCAGGTAGATAGATACCTAGGTACAATGCCTACCTATACAGGCCTACACGTGTCTAGCCTTTTATGGTTGCTGAGCACGCACGGGCACTTCCAGTAATCCGAGCTCCCCCCAGTCAGCCCCTGAGCCAGCTTCAGCAGCTACTGAAACACACTTGTCTCACACTTCACTATGGCGCGTCGCAGTTTCGTCGGACAGCCCCAAAACCTCAGACGAGGGTCGGCGCAGGTCCATGCCAGCAAGCCTCACAAAACAGAGCAGGTGTAAGCTTACCTATTGCTGCATTTCCACCTCGCTTCCAATCGTCATCTTCGCATGTCCTCCATTTCCCTCCCAACTCTGTTTTTCTTCTTCTGCTTGGCAGGCCAAGAGCTGGTCCTTTTGCCGTCCTCGGTTTTATATATTATCAAATTCAACAAGGGTTACTTGTAACTGATAACCCACATTCTTCCACTCAGTCGTTGTAAGAATCTGAGAAAATGGAGCCACCTCGCAGCTACCTGCACGTCCAGCACCAAGACCAGCACCAGGACGATGTCGATGCTAGATCCAGCACCGAGGTTGACGAGTCGCTAATGGGGGACGAAAAGCATCCCGAGTGGCACCAACCGTCACGAAAACGAAAGTCGAAGCGGACCAAAGCTGCTTCGCTGTTCCAATCATACCGCTGGATCATCGACACGTCCCTGCTCCTCGTCATCCTCGCCCTGCTTGTGCGAGACCAGTGGCGCCAGTCCTCACCAGCACATCCGTGGGACTTTGGAGGCGACTTCACAGGAGTTGGCCCAAAATGTGCGGTTCCATTCACCACCACCCTTATCAAGGTATCAGACGCAATGGGCTGACATGCAGCCAACCACTCCAGTCTCGCAGCAAATCACAAAATTCAAGTCGGACCAATCATTCGCCCCCATGAACACATCTGAGTTCTTCACCGACGAGGTTCTGATGAAGTGGAACATGTTGATGCCGAAAGGCATGGGCTTCGTGTGGGTCAACGAGACACACAAGTACCACGATGTATGTGCCCCTGTGTCTGCCCACCTATCATCCTCAGATGTCAACAGCTAACCATTTACCTTCAGCTCCCCACACCCGTCGACTGGCCCGACAAGACCGTCTTCACCACGTCCATGACGCACCAGCTGCATTGCTTGGTAAGACGTTCCCTAGCCCCTTGCCGAGCATCACGGCCTCTCTCTAACATCCCCGCTCTGAAATCAGTTCGCCATCGTCCAGACGTACTCTGGCCTCAAGGCGAACCACACCATCCCCGACGACCACCATTGGCACATGATCCACTGCTTTGACTATATGCGCGAGGCCATCATGTGCAGCGCCGACATTGCCCTCGAAGGCCACGAGACGACGTTCCCCGACGACAACGGTGGGTCCGACGGCTGGGACTCGAAGCATGGTGAGTTGAAAATTTCCGCCCATTCTCGAAGTCCAACCCCTTCATTTTTCATCCGACCACGAGTTTCAAAGACCGCTCAAAACTAACAACACCTCCTCGCAGTCTGCAAAGACTACGGTCAAGTCATCAACTACCTCGAAAGCGTCAGGGCCTATGACGACCAGCTGATCTATTGATCACTAGCTGAGAGTGCAGTCAGCACGATCTCACGTATATTTATTCATGCCCACTCCTCTCGGTCGCGGGAGCGACGGAATGCCTAGGGCTTACTTGAGCATTGTACATACACTATTGAATGACATATGGATGTGACAGTCAAAAGAGGATGGTTGTTAAATAAAAACTGGACAAGGTCCAAAAGAAATGTTATATCCTGTATCTTAGTCACGTACCTACTTTATTCTCTTGTAGTTATCGGATTCGGCAAAGGGTGCAAATCCTGCGAGATTCAACCCCTACAACATGAATATCAGGGTACATAATCTCTTTCACAGATTCTCCAAACCGCATCTATTAGTCAAATCAAGGCATAAACTTCGTCTAGACAAGCATCCTTCCCTCCCACGGCCGATGTCCTTCATACACACAGTTCAAAGCCTGGCTCTCACTCATCCTTAATATTTGGTAGCTCACCAACTCATCAACCTCGATATACCTGAGGTATCCATCAACCTGGCCTGGGCCATTCAAATATCTCATACACTTTCCGATTTAAAAGAACACTGGTTTATTTACATAACCATAGACCACCTAACTAAGTAGCAGAAGCTCAACACGGTTTGGGGATCGCCTCAACCCAAAATTTACATTACCTGATGCATCCGACCTCGGGAAATAGGCATAACAGACTCGAGACTGCTAGAAGAAAACTCCATTCGGGTACCTATTTCGCTGAAATATTTGTTAGATTTGGCCCCAATATGTGCCAAGCGTCTGAGACGAAGAATACGTTGCGTGCAGATTTATTCAGGCTTAATTACATTAAGGCTCAGACTTTAAATCCCCCTCCCCATGACCAAGGTAAGGTACCTTGCAAATGAACCTGGCCCGAGAATGAAACCTGCCTCGATACAAAATACGGCACTCTTCGCTGCCGACTACGAGAGATAGCCCTGGACTAACACTTATTAATTAGACCTCAGCGATCAAGCCATAAGTCAGTCGTGCATGTCAGCTATGAACTAAGAAGTTATTGGCAGAGAATGGACATGGATTGGTGACGGAGAGGGTAGCTATGGGAACAGTCTTTCGACACTTTCAGCACCCTCGCCTCGCCTCGTGTTCTCGAGGAAGGAACCTAAGAAGCAATATTGGTAACCCTTCCATCTTCCCTTCCTTTGCCATCCATGGCCCAGTATCGAAGATTCGATGAGTGGACAGAACTATTTGAACCTGCAGCCCGCCAGGCCAATGTGCTCTGGATTCCAAATCCGAGGTGCGTGTCTGCACGCTAATGTCATCTTCCCACGTAAACCTCCTTGGCCGTGGCCCCTAGACGTCCATCACCCCCCGATAAGTTCCACAGCCAGACAAGCTTCGGTATGCCTGTTCCCAAGCAAACAAACCCCAGCCGAGAACAGGATATACTGAAGGGTGTTCGGCCCCAGCAAGAAGGTGAAAAATAGGAAGATCTCCTGAACGTCCTGCAGCATCGCCATAATCCAGTGCCGAATGTCGAAGTCATCAAGTGAGCAAAATACCCGACTAGAAGCGAAATGATAATACCGGAAAGGGGCCCAAATGGAACACCTTGGACACGACGCCCAAGGTAGAAACGCGGCTTGAAACCCCCAGACAAAAATATCGTTGGTCATGTCTGTTTCCCGTTGCCAGCTCATCGCGCCCAAGACAAGAAAGAAAGAAAATTCGTAAAGCCCTCGCAAGATGAAGGCCCAAGAACATGGAAGCACTGCAACCAGCCTTGAGCTCAAGCATCACCGAGTCGTGAAGGAGAGACGCGGGGCGTAATCGTAATTAGCGTAAAATGTATGTGTCCTGGTTTCCTATCCTCCCAACAAGCTTCCGACCTACATAGCCGTCTTGCGCCTCTCGGCGCTAGTCAGGACAAGCATTGGTGCCTTGCGCTGTCCGTCGACGGCCTCCGTCTTGGCTTCCCTGTTGCTCTTCTTGAGGAGGCTGGCGAAGCTTCCCGGGTCGCGAGCACTCTCGCTGTCAGATGAAGCAGTGCTATCAACACTGGTGCGGTTCACCTTTTGTCGGGAGCTCGGGCGATCGGATCCAATTGCACCCCAACTACCAGTGCTAGTCCGCGAACTAGGCAGGCTGCACTCGGCATCGTGGTCAACCAAGCTTCCAGAGCCGCTACGACCAGAATCACTGTCGTTGTCCGTCATCGGGGTCTCGACCATCTCTTCGGTGCTCTCAGAAATGGGACTAATACTGCCGGAGCTGCGGGCTTCCTTGCGCCGCTCCAGGCCTGCCCGGACAAGATTGCTGATCGCCGAGCGACGAGTTCGAGTGACGAAATTCTTGCTACCTTCGTGTTTGGCAGTTGGCTTCGCCTTGAGCTCATCCATCGATGGCGGATTACGGGGCTGGCGAACGGGGTGCTCGCCAGCTCGAGCCTGTCCGGGACCATAACCAGCAGTCATGGGTGTTAGCGGGAAGGAGGCTGTTTTGGGACCCGTAGACTTGAGCGAGTCATCAGTAGCGATTGACAGTTGACCCTTGTTGCCATTAGCAATTGACGAGGACTTCTTGTGGCCCCGGCGGAAAGCATTTGCGCTGGGCGGTGGAAGAGGAACGGGATTCTCAGCCGGCGACTCGAAACGACGCGGAGGCGACGGGTTGCGGAATCCGGTCCTGCTGCCCTCAGCGGGCGGGGGAGACACCTGAACACGAGGGGTGCCAACGCTGGACTGCTGCATATTCGAGTACGCGGTGGACAGTTGAGCCTGGTTGTAATATTGAGGGTTCAGTTGGTTCGTTTGGCCCTGGTCCATGAACAGCGTCTGCTGGCCAGTCGCAGGATCGTAGACGCTGTAAACCTGGGGCTGTGTCGTGGCAGGTGTCATCATGGCTTGAAGGTTTTGAAGGTTCTGGAGATTCTGGGCTTGCTGCTGGTAGATGTTTTGATACCCTGATTGTTGCGAGACCATCTGAACCTGAGGATTGATGCTCAAACCCTGGAACTGCTGCGCTGCGGCCTGGAGCGCCCTGAGCTGTTGTTGCAGTCTCAACTGCTGTTCCGACAGATAGGCGTTGGTATACAAGAGTTGAGCATGCAGGTTGGGATCGATCTGCTCCTGAGTTTGATCGTCGAGCTGAATTTGAGGAGGTGCCAAAACCTGATCGGCAGTATACTGCTGCCCATACTGTTGCTGCTGCTGGAGCTGCTGCTGGAGCTGCTGCTGCTGCTGGAGCTGTTGCTGCTGTTGTAGCTGTTGTTGCTGCTGTAGCTGTTGTTGCTGCTGTAGCTGCTGTTGCTGCAGTTGCTGTCCATAGCCCATGCTAGAGTTGTGTCCATGTTGTTGCTGATGACCAGCACCGAACCGAGGCAACGATGTCTTGGGTCCGCTTAACAAACTGGCATTGTCGTACATGTTAGAAGTCATCGAGATACGATTCCGACCATTGGTTGCGACGGTTGGCGAAGGGAGGCCATTTGAGAAGCTCGCAGCCGACGCAGACTTGGGCGCGGTACGGAGACCAGCAAGCAGGTGGGATCGGCTGGTTCTTGGGGTGGGAGCGCCATTATCGATATCGGTCGGGGACTTGGCCGTCTCGAATGACAGCGGCTTGATGTTCTGGCCGCCTCGTCGGGATGCTAGGGCCGAGGGGATACCGAAAGAAGGATGCGACATTTGGGCGATACCTCCGGCGTCCATAACGACGTGTGGCGACAACGATGTATCGGTCGAATCTGTCTCGGCTCCTGCGGAATATTGGACTGACACGCGTCGTCGAGTCGGAAGCGAGGAGTGACAGGTAGCGTCGTGTGGAAAAGGCGACAAGGCGGGAAGCCGACCGACTGCAATTACGAAGAGAATTGACGGGAAAATAGGAGGTGAATATTAAGCATGAGGCGATGCAGTTCTTCGCGGGCAAAGAGGACGTGTTCAAACGCTCGGCTTTGTGCGACTTGCTCTATAACTCTCTGGGAGGGATGCGAAAACGACAAAGATTCGGAAATGCCTGGTGCCAAAGAAAAATCCAATCCTTGAGTTGGTGGAGTCGGAAAAAAAAAGAGAGATCCGCAGGCTGCAGGGAAGAGTCGATTAACGATTTTGGGGGGCTGAACGGGAAAAAAATATCGGAGGTGCTGAATGAGCGACAGGGCGATAAGAAAAAGACTGGCGAAGAGAAAGCTGGAAGAAGAGTGATTGTCGAATCCGTCAGGCGAGGGAAAGTGATGAGGGTGGCTCGGTGGCGAGACACAACCCTGGAAATCAAGAGACAGAACTGTGGACTGCAAGCAGCGAGCCTTGACCGTGGGGACCGAAACGCACCCTGCGAAGCGAGACGGCGCGTTCAAATCGGCGGGTCGCGCCTTGTTCCCGGAGTCAAAAGAATCGTCGCGGACTGGCCCAGCTAGCGGTTTTCCCCTTCTCCTCTAGCGCGGCGCAGGCACCTAGACTTGGTTTCCACTTTATTGTCCGTTGTAAAACCGCAGGTCTTGTCTTCTGATGCAAGTGTCGCAAAAAAAAAAAATTTCGATGGTCGGCTGACGAGGGTTGGAGACTTCGTTGACGATTTGGAATGTATGCGTGCCTTGTCCCGAACACCACGAAACTTCCTTTCCGATCTGACTGTGTTTGCGCGACCGCGTGGAATTATGGCTGTCGAGTCAAGCCGAGGCTCGAGGATGCTGGCGAAGAAATGGAGAATTGCGCAAATAAAATACAAGGATTAAAAAGATGATTTGCTGATAGCTTCCGAAACTCTTTTTTTACGGTCGAAGTGCTCTGAAATCTCGAGGGAATGCGACGATGGCTGTGCTTTTTTCTCGACAACGACTATGACGGGGCAGCAACGACAACGCCGACGGCAAGACGACGGCGCCACGAAATGGAGGAAGAGGGAAAGAGGTCGAGGGGGTGAAAAGGAAGGGCGGTGTGCTGGCGAAGCAGTAAAGAAAGAGAGAGGAAGGAGGAGAGGGTGCAAGCGAGAGATGAATATCGATGAGTGATGGCGGAGGGATTGGAGAAGGGGGAAGTGGGCGGGGTCAGAGAGCGATAGGAAGCAAAACGACTGGTGGACGGCGGTGGGTCGTGGCAGGGGATGACTTCGGAAGCAGGGGCGAGCGGATAGAAAGCCATGGTGATTGAGCGAGCCTGCAGCAAGGCAAAAATGGGCGTGTGAAATCGTCGTTGAATGGGGCCAGAGCCCAAGGATGGGGCCGCTTCGGCCAATCAGGGAGCCAAACGCGGTGCAGAAAGATGCGAGATGAGCTAAGCAGCGACAGGGAGGGCTTTATGTACCAAGCTATGAGCTAGAAGGCAGTAACGAGAGGGGCTATGAAGACGCGGCAATGGCTGCTAGTGCAGGGGGCAAGCCTGCTACGGCCCTTGTACCCTTCGGAATGCACGCCAATGGCCAACTCACACTCGGCTCGCCCAATCAGGCGCAATAAACGTTCTTGCCCTCTGGGGAAGAGGCCAATCGCCTTCGCGCGACTGGAAAAATTGGGTGGTCTTGCGCCAGCGATTCGAAACGGCCCATCCCTGTACCATTTTCCCTTCTCCTGCGTGGATGCATCAGTTGGCATCAAGCCGATCTTCGAATGTCCACACGAGACCCGCCCGAGGTTGCTTGTCGCGGGCTTGACGGGTTTGAAGGCAAGAGAATTGTTGTTTACTATAGACTCTTCGCCATTCACACTGATGTTAGCAGAGATGGCAGCAGGATTGACGCGCCTCTGGCCGCCATCTTCATAACGCCGCAGCCGATTACTGTCGAAAAATAGCCTTGCCATGGTTTTGGAGGCCCAAGAACGGGCCAGCTCGCCCATCTACCCACTAGCTAGGATCCACGCTGATGTCAGAGACGGATTGCCCAGAACAGACGGTCTCAGACCTGAGGCTCGCTCGCTGCTTGTCTGCGGGCTTGCGGCGTCCTTCCGGCCTCGCAGTTACGAAGACTCTTGTTCGCCGGCGTGCTAGAAGCCTCCATCGTTGTCGAATCTACATAGAATAATCCCGCGCGAAGCTGCTCGTCAGGCCTCGACTTTTGCTCTCGCGCGACTCAATCCCAGTCCAGTTCCTGGCACCGTTGCTTCGCATTAACGTTGGAAAATCACCCACGATCGGATCCGCCACAATCGATGCGCATCAGACGGGTTTCCCGGAACTCGAGGAATCACCAAACCCCGCAAAAGATTTGCCCTAGCCTTCGCGCAGCCCTGTGTGTGGGACCCCGGCCGACGAGACGGCGCAGACTCGTCGCGGCTGGCTTGTTTCTGGTTCTAGCGCCAGCCAAAGAGCATCCGCCTTCCCTCTTTCCCTAAGCAGCAGCTAGCAAGGCGGTGGATCGGCTCGATTGTTGGGAGGCTCATTCACGTCTAGGCGACACTCAAATCCCTCAAACATCGTTAATGCGGGCTTGCCCCTGATACGGCGCATTCTCTGCTACCTGCGTTAGTCTGGCAAGTCTGGTTGGGGAGCCACGAGCGGCTGTAGGAGGGTCGCACTGACTCACCTCGCTGCGCTGAAGCCAAATGTCGTGCCTCCAGGCTCCTGGGAGGCTGCATAGGGAGCAAATTTCCCCCTCGCGGATGCTAGCCTGCTTCGCGGACCTTCAGCGAGTCCTTTTACGCATGTATTTCTCCTTTCCTGGCCGAATTTGGTTCGCTTTCTGGGAATAAACTTTAGTTAACCGAGCAATCACTGTGGCTTGACTCTTGAGCAGTGGGTAGGTTTACAGGCGCACAGCCGAGGGATGGACAAAATCTGAGACACCGACCCTATCCAAAACGGCGGCGAAGCTCTGTGCGCTCGCTGTCCCTGATGCAACGCTACATGTTGGCGTCCACCTTCTGCACCTTAGTGCACGTGTATGTGCTCTATCCGCCGGCTGTGCGGGTTAGTAGAGTAGCAGTTGCACGTTCGAATTCGAAAAGATCGCCTACGAAATGCACGAGAGAGGCCTGTAAACCAAGACGGTCAAAAAGGGGGCCTATTGTGGCCCGACACAGTCACCACCTTCTTTGGCCCCCAGCACGTTCACAAATATTGCGGGGTGGTCTCGGCGTGTCTCCGAACGGCGGGCCTGAGCAGGAGAGAAGCATTTCATCCATCATCCATCCCATGTTGATGGCGGCTCTCGGCAGCTGGAGCTGAACCCACTCGATTTAAGTCCTCGGGAAGCGCGGGAAGCGCCTTTTGGGAGGCGCTTCGGGAGAGGGTCCTGGAACCTAAATTACTTGGAAGACGCGGCCTGTTTTTGCAACCCCAAGTATGGGGGTATCTGACATCGCTTGGTTTTAAAAGCCCCGGTCGGCGAAGTCCTGGGCCTGGATGGTGAACAGGTGTTTGTCCGGGTTGCCGATTGATCTGGACCAATTCACACAAACCAGCCGATAGATGCGCCACGACGATCTGGGCAACCGACAAGCGCAAGCGCGCTGATGATCGACAAGATCGAGCTCCTCCTATTCAGCTATTCGGATTTGGGGGCTTTCTGGGTTTGAAAGGCTCGAACAGCCCAGCTCACTCCAGTCAAGTCATTCGGGTTGTGCAACTTGCCAACTTCAGCCTTGGGCTCGTCGTGCTCCCCCGATCCTCGCATTTCCCCACTCCCCAGGCTTCCCTGTGAAACTGCAGCTGCATGCCCTGCGCTCCTCCACTTCTTCCCAGGGTGATTGCATCATTGGCGTCGGTTGGCAGCCAAGCGTCTCTCCGCGCAGCAAGCACCTGTGCCTTCGCTGCTGCACCGCAAACCCAAACTGAGGTGGGCTGCACGCAATGCGACAGCGCTTGCTTGCTTCTCCTTCTTGTCCTACACCCTCGTCGAGCTGTCGTCATTTTTTTTCGGCCCGTTCATCCAATTGCGGCCCTTGTCTCGGCGAGCGAGAAAATGGTTGTGGAAAACGTGGCTCCACAGCATTCGCCTTCCATCAATGTCAGTGAAGCGTCAACTAACAAGAACAGTGATAGTAAATGGATATCCCTAGAAGACCTTGAATAGCAGTCCATACGAACAAAGTCTCGTCAATGCTATGAGCCGCAATCCTCCATCAGGTTATCAGCCAGCATGTTGCTCTGTCTGAGTGTCCGCCTTGGCAGCCAACAGTTCTACAACAACAGGGCCTGCTCGGCGCAGCTTGCCCCTTCGTATCGGGTCGAGCCACGCCAAAATCCGTGCCGCAGTGGCCAGTGTGTCGTGGGCGGCACAGGAATCAGACCTGACAGCTGCACCTGCTGCTGCTGACCGAGATCACGAGTTTCCTGACATAAAATTCGATTCATCATTTTTCCCTTTGATTGAACGACGGGCCGGGGGTTTTCTGTGGGTTGAGGTTGGTGGTGCTGTGGTGGTGTGGTGGTGTGGTGGTGCTGTGGTGTGCAGTGAGTGCATGTCTTGCCTCCGAGGGACGACATGAACAGCCATGCATTATGTCTCTGGTCTCCCCTGCAACCCCATCATTTCATCTCAACCCCTCCACCAACCCCCATCTCCTTCATGCAGGTGTCTTTATTTAGATATGCACAACCCATCCCCTTCCTCCAGGCGCCGTACGGCTGGGGCAGAGCTGACCTCTTTATTCCGCGTGTCCACTGATGTTTCTTCCTTTCCCTTCTACCTCCTGTTGACTTTCCCCTCTTCTCTTTACGGGGTAATATTGCAAAGAGTATGCACTTTCGTG